TTTATGTCATTAGAGCATCTCCAGTGTATATCAATTTGATGTACTTCAAAACATCAATTTTGCTGTTTTGTTGTGTGTTACAGTATTGTTCTCTCCAACCCATAGCATTACTTTTTACATAAAAAAAGAATATTCTTAATATAATTCCTTTTTACTATCATCTTTTTGTCAATTTACAAAAGAACCCAATTAATCACATAATAACCAAAATATTTCTTTGATATTTTTGAGTTTTATTTCCATTCAATATGAAATAACATCAATTAAGTAAAAAGTAATAATGTGTTAATTAATTAATGATGAAAATAACAAGATTTAGATATACTTGTAAATAAATAAATTATATTATCAAATAAAAATACGACAAATAAATATTACTAGCGAAAATAATAAAACAACAATATCAATGAGATTTTATATCGAGGTATCTCTCAATTTGAAATGAGCATCTCTGTCCCTAATTTTACAATATCGAGCAATAAATTCCCGGAACCGAACATGTTCATTTGATAGCCTTTGTACTCCCAATCATGGTGCTTCTTGTGCAGGTAGAATTGGTCCATGAGGATCATTTTCATCCTCCACAATCATGTTGTGCATAATAATACATGCTAGCATGATATCATGTAACACTTCCTTATCCCATAAACGAGCATGTCCTTTTATAATTTTAAACCTGGATTGCAAAACCTCAAAAGTACGTTCCACATCTTTTCTACAAGCCTCATTCTTGGTTTCAAAATACTTGTGCTTTCAAAGCTTAGGATATTTAATTGTTTGCACTATTGTGACCCATTTCGGATAAATACCATCGGCTAAATAATATCCCATATGATATTCTTCTCCTTTAATAGTATAATTAGCCAGAGGCGCAATACCTTTAGTGAGGTTAGAAAACACATGTGATGATTTTAAAACAGCAATATCATTATTTGTACCTGACATACTAAAATAAGTGTGCCATATCCACGGGTTTTAGTCAGCTATATCTTCGAGAATGATTGTTGGCATGTCAGAACGTTCTGCATATTATCCAGCCCAACCCGTAGGATAATTTTCCCACCCCCCAATGGAAGCAATCTAGGTTTCCCAACATTCCTGGAAAACCACGTTGCTCACCAATATGAAGTAGTCTTGCAATGTCATCCGCAGTTGGTGATCTAAGGTATTGTTCTGCAAAAATCTCAACAATTTTACGACAAAATTTCTTACAACAATCAACACTAGCTGACTCACCCATTTGGGGGTACTCATTCAGCTCATCTGCAGATTTATCATATGCTATCATTCTTATGGCACCAGTTGCTTTCTGTAGAGGTGAGAATCCAAGTCTACCAAAAGCATCCCTGTTATGCTCAAAGTAGTCATCGTGATTTTTAAGATCATCAACAATACAGAGGAATAAATTCCGTGACATACGAAAACGTCGTCGAAATTATCGGTCAGTGAAAGTTAGATTTTCAGAGAAATAATGACCAACTAATCTTAAATGTGCACCCTCACGATCACGGTTGATCATGATCCATCCTGGAATCGACCCACCTCGAGTAGGCTAGTTTTGTTGACAATTGAGTTACAAATTCATTGCTAACGTATTTCTACGTATAAGGTTATGTACGATTGCTTATTGTTGTAGTTGTTGTTGTTGCAGTTGAAGTAAAACTTCATCATCACTCGATGATGAAGAAGATGATGACCGATGATTTTTAGCATTGGAAGGACCCTTTCCGTAGTAATTTATTGTTTTGTGTATAAAATGAAAGAAGCAAAAGTTTACCAATAGGCAGTGGTAGAGAGAATTTGTTGCATAATATGTTCTATGGTCATATTGTTTATATCTAAAAAAAATAAAATTGAATAATGAAGATAAAGAAAAACCATTGAACGATTCTGATGGTACTGAAATCTATCCAATGGTGTAGATATTAATAAGGAAAGATCTGTATTATCTGAATTTATCAACTTTGAAGACAAAGGCTGCCATGCACAACTATATGTAGACAAATTTTTTTTTTTCAAAAATCATGAATATAGAGACAAAAACTTCAATTAATGCATAGGCAGATGTATCTAACAATTTTGAAAAGAATGATAAACGGAATTTTGTGCTCTTCAATATAAATAATTTTTTTTAGAAGAGAAATCCAATAGATATGGTAAATATCCAGGAAACGATTAAGATTTAAATAAAATCTATCCAACGGTTGAAATGATGATAGTGAAAAGTATATTTTATCATACTTTTCTTTTTGAATACTCAACTATTGTTCATTAATATTGACAGAGACGAAAAAAAAATTGAAAGACGGACAAGAAAAGAAAGTTGCTGTCATCTATACACAAAAGCAAAAAAAATCAGAATAAAAGGACAACACTTTATTGATTGCATGTGAAAGGGGAAAAAAAAAAGAAAAAGACATAGGCAACATGTTTTTTGTTGAATGTGTAAATAATTATTTATCCAATTGAGATGAAAGAAAAATTCAATGAACGGTTTAAATTGTCAATGCAATCTATCGAAGGGTGTAGATGAAGATAACGAATATTATACCTCATCTTTATTTTTTCATTACGACGGGTGTACAAAAACTTTATAAATAGGGGTTTAGGTATAACGAGTATTACACCTCACCTTCATTTTTTTTCTTCCTGAATCAACATTTTTCCTCCATTAGTACCCAAAAATAATTTGTCTTTCATTGGAAAAAGTAAGTCGATCTGCATGATACACCATTGCTGAAGACATTGCCCTCGCAGAAGCTTATGTCCATGTTTTGCAAAATCCAATTAATTGAAGGTACTAAGCAAATGATGAATTTTGGAAAAGAATATTGAAAGAATACAATAAAGAAGCAATTCCCAAAGGGTGGACTGCTCGTAATAAAAAAATCTTTGCTGCAATGATGGCGAGAAATGGAGAAACAAGTCAAGAAATTACGCGCAATTTATAGACAAGTAGAGAATATACATCCTAGTGGTGCAAACATAGAAGATTATGTAAATAATTACAATTATTTATTTTGTTTTATATTATAAATTTTTACTTTTTTTAGCAATGGTTTAATATGAGATATTACTTTCAGTTGGATCAAGCAAAAAAGTTGTTTGCACTTGAGAAAGGATTTGAAGGAGGATTCAAATGCGAACACGTCTGGAATTTGCTCAAAGATTTTAGAAAATATAATGATGATGTCAAGGCAGCTCGACACATTTTCAATCAAACCTCCAATTTTGTATCATCTAAATCCGATAATCTAACACCTGAATCACAGGTACCCGAATCTCCTAGCTTATCTAATTTTGATTCTCAAACGGTGCTTGAAAGTGATACTAGTGGAACTTTCTCCAAAAGACCTATTGGTGATAAAAAAAAAAAGAAGGCCAAAAATAAGAGAAAAATAAATAAACAATCTGCTCGTGAGGCGGAAATGTATAGGCAAGAGAGCCAACAACTTCTTGATGTTTTAAAAAAGTCAAGTGAAGACCAAAAAGAGCTAATAACACTACAGAAGCAAAGTTAGCTTTGAAGCAATGGAGGGAAGAAAATAGAATTATGGCGGAATATGTCAGCAAAATTGAAGATCCTGTTTATCGTGAATTAATTATTGCTGAAAAACAACGAATTCTTCCATAATGATTGGCGCAAATGTAACCACCAAACACTACTTCTAGCGATTTATTGAACAATCTTAGTGGAGATGCTGCTAATCTCGAGGATGATTTTTCGTAGTTTATTTGTGTTTATTAATTCAGTATTTCACTTAATTTCTTAATAAGTATGCTTATGTATATTTGGTTTGTTGTTGTTTTACTTTTCGGTAATTTGGTTTTTCTAATAATGATGTTTTTGTATTTTATTTACTTTAATGCGATTTTATTACAAGCAACTTTATTTTTGTTCTAGTTGCACATTAAATTTTTGCATATTGACAATTACAATAAGTACAAGGGCTTTTAAATAAATTTAAAAGTAAAAAAAAAAGGGAAAAGAAAAGATGGGTCGCGTCCACTTGCTGCTACAGTAACGCAACAAATCTGAAATGTTACTGTAGCAGCATAAGCAAATTGCTGCGCCCATTTACTGTTTTGCCGCAACATTGGACGCCCCAAACAGCAAAAGCGTGCAACAAATAGGTGATTTGGTGCACGCTGGGATGCTCTTATATTTCACTCATATCCCAATTCTATTTATTTAAATTTACAGGAAAAATTTTAAGGGAACGATATTTCAATTATCAAAATTATGTCTTAATCTTAAATATTTTAACCTCAAATAGAAAGTGTTAAAAATGAATAATTACGATTGATTTCATTTAAAATTCCCTCTAAAATTTCTCTACACAAATCATTATCTTTTTTCTTTTTTCCCATTGCATAAAAAGTCAGTTTTGGTCAACGTCGGTTTCTCGCGTCAACTCTCCATACATAGTCAATGCTTTGAACAGGATTCAACCCTTTGATTCTTTTCTTTTCTATTCTCTTTTTTTTTTCATTTTCTTTTCTTGTTTTGTTTTTATGGGTTTATTTCTTTTTGCAATTATTTCCATGAAGAAAAATGGTGTTGAATAAAAACCAGAATTTAAAATAATGTTCGGTTGGTCAACGAGATTCGACAGACCAATTTTGGGTCTCATTCAAATTAAACTCTTTTTATTATTATAAGAAGTTTGATTTGTTGTTGGCGTTGACTATTGCAGTCTTGAATGATAGTACAATTTTTTAAAAAATTAATATGTGACTAATCGTAGACATCATGTATGGTAAGATTTACCAAAAGAGACTGAGATCAATCAAACACGACAGTAATATACATGAAGAAAGTAGCACGTATATTTAACACTTGTACGTATTTAAAATAAAATCAAGTTTTTAAAATCATTTTAAAGAGTTAAAAAAATTGCTCCATTCTCTTAACCTATAAACGAAATTATCAATAATGCAGGTCACCTGATATCATCAAAGTTGACACAGTGATTAAGACTTTAAAGCTCCAACAATAAGTTGCCGTAGGACAGGGGAAGACCTTTCCCCCCCAATAAATAAAAATGGTGCCACAAACTGTAATCCTTAACCAGAAACTTACAAATGGGCATTGTGAAGCCACCAGCACTAATGTCACATTCAACGAAATTTTTGTATAATTGTAAAACCATTTTACCCAGTCAAGCCGACTTTTATTTTCATACTTACTCTATATCCTCAACCTTCTTTGTTGTTGTTGTTTGTTTTTCTTTCCCTTTTCAAACTCAATTATCTTCCAATCATCCATGATCCCAGATGAACCCTTTATTAGAAATTGCAAAATTTTGGTTCTTGTTGATCATCTTGGAGAAATCTTCTGTTGCTGTATTTGCTGTTGATCAAAACTATGTAGCTTGTGTTCCGAGAATGTGTGGCAAGCTTAATGTTAGTTATCCTTTCTTCATTCAAGGTCAGCAAGAATCCGATTGTGGGTTCCCTGAATTTGGAATCAATTGTAGTAATCCGGCTAGTCCGATGATTCATGTGCCCGGAAATGATTATGTTATTGATGATATTTTCTATCCAAACCAAACTATCCGGGTTCGTAGTGCTGCAGTTTCAAGTGCCATCAACTGTACTCTGCCTCAAATTGGGAATTTAACAGAGCAAACCCCTCTTTTTGTTACTGAAGGATCAAGTTTTCTTCGTCTTTTGTCGAATTGCACTGGAGAAATCCCTCAAGTGTTGCAGAAATACAACAAGTATTATTGTAATTCGAGTGATAGCAAGTCATGGGGTGTGGCGATTTATGAAGATGATCAACACCTGAATGTTACATTGGAGATATGCGCAACAAATGTGTTAGTACCTGTCGAAAAAGGCGATGAAAGTGTTGAAGATAATGGAGTTAAAGACAATGAAGGGCTGTTGAGAAGGGGGTTCTTGTTTAACTTCAACTGGTCTGCTATTGACTGTGAAGTTTGTTTGGACAGTGGTGGAAAATGTGGGTTCAGCATGGCCACTATTCCTTATCAGTTCAGGTGTTATTGCCCGGACAGACCTCATCGAGAGAGCTGCAAACCTAATCGTAAGTCCTCCAGTTTTCCCTTCTGTTATCTTTCTGTTTTACAGTTTCTTAACCATTTCATTATATTTCTGAGAAGTATTGCTTTGTTGATGATTAGGAATTTAGTTGAGTTCATTAACTAGTCAATTTGTTTCTTCAGTATTGTGCTTCTTGTGGAGCTAGTTAGCCTGTTCTTTTCCTCTTTGCCTTTCATTGATGAAATAGTTGACTTATCAGAAAAAACAAGTACAATGCCAAAATGTGCTTTATCTAAGGCAGGTCATACCCTAAATGTCATGTCAATCAATTAGTTACCTGTTCATGTCCAATTCATTGTGCTAAACCAATGAGTTGATAGTAAGGAAATTTGATCAGAAACCTCTTGTCAACAATACCGTCCACAATCCTACATAGTAATCTTGAGACCCATTTTCAAAAAAAAAAAAAGAAAGAAGTAATCTTGAGACTTGCTGGAAACTTCTGCACAACAATCCGAGTCCTGAGATGATTGACTTTTGAGAACTCACATAAATGGACAGCTTAACTGACATAGTTTTCGCTTCCCTTAATGAGTTAAGTATATATGTAGTTATACCATAGCAAGATCCCAAAAGGGACCACAACTTTCACCAAGTCAAGGTAAGGAAGAAGTATGTAGTGATATAGCAAGTTTGTTATTAGCAGCCTCACAGAAGTAACTTAATCAGCTTGAATGAGGATTCATTTGAGTGCGGTATGTTTCCAGATAGGATGGTACACATTGAGACGGTATACTTTACCGCAAAAACACAAAAACCAAAACGTTATCAGCAACCTATCGTCAAGTTTTTTTTGCTTGCTTTGTTTGACAAATCATAGATGGTATACATTGAGAATAATTAGGTGTTGCAACAATGTTTTATGCTGTCATCGATCTATAAAATCATTTGTCATATCTTCTATGATTTTAGTTTTGTGTTCGGCTGGTATTAGTTCGAAATGGTTATGTTAGCAAGATTGAGTAAGGTCTCTAGTTCCATCAGGAAGTGAAAAACTGATGGAAGGAAAAAACAAAGAAAACTGAAGCACAAAGCTGAGGCAACAAAATTCCACAGGTACTTCTAGGCAGGCTTCTGATTCGTCTGCAATTCGAAATTGTTGAAAAGCAAAACACTTTTAAGTATAGATCGGGTTGCACACTTAAAGCAGCACAACTTTATATCACCGTCTAGATTTCCAGTTAACCTTCTCAGCTCAGGCTGCAGAGAATTAGCAACTTCTTATATACAAGTCATCCCCGGTCAGCAGAATGAGGATTTGAGGTCTGCATGTCTAGAAAATCTGGGAATTCCCCAAAAATCTTTTTCCTGCAGACCAAAGATGTGAGAATAGCAGGATTTTGTTTCTACAAGACCTTTGTTCTAAGGGATTTTGCAACCAAGAACAATTTACATTACATCAGGCCTCATCTGCAATAAGCTCAAGGAAGAATTCCTAATGGTCACATAGCTTCTTTCAGTAAGTGAAATGCAGCCTTTAGGAGTAAAAGTTTCTACTTTCTGTAGAGCTTGTTAGTTCAGAATTCAATCACCTAATGCCTCTAATTGTTGCATCCTTACTTATGTTAGAAAATACTGCAACAGTGCGACATTTAAACCATACAAGTCGACCCGGTGTAACGGAATAAGGCTTAATACTGGTTCATTGTTGCTGGTACAAGGGGCAAGGAGTTCCACAAAGATTACAACAGTAAGTAGTCAAGTCATGCTAGAAACAGACTTACGAAAGGAGTGGAATTTAAACTAAAGGAAACAAAAGTCTCATGTCCAAATTTCAGTTACCATTACCATAATAATCATCAATTTCCATGCTTCCTCTTTTGACAATAAACAATGATGTTTGGATTCTTTTTTGACTAGTTCCAAACTCATAATATAAATTTGTTCTCTGACCAATATGAATATGATCAGAAACGGGATCTTCTAAGTTGCAGTCACACGGGATTGCCAGATGCAAAGACAGTTTAAAGAACATAAAAATCATTAGTAAAAATTGAAAAGTAAAGGGTGGTGATTTACAAGATACTTTTTGCAAATGAGATTAGTAATTTGTAAACTGCAATAAACTGAAAATTCAACGAAAGGTTTGTTTAATGGCGTACAGTCAATGAAATTTGAAAGTCACTTTCCGGAGGTGGGCAGGAATTTCTGGCCATTCTTCAACCCTAAACAAAATATCGTAGTCTTCGAAACAAGTCATTGTACACCTTTATTTTTCCAAGTCAACTGGTGTGTCCAAAGTCTTTGCCTTCTAAGTCTTTCTTTTGATCATCATTTGATTAAAAGTAGATTCAGAACTGGAGATGATTTCACTCTGGGATTCTGTCAAATTCCACTATTCTATGGGAGAAGTTCTTATGGATTCTGGGTTGTTTTTCGCTATTCTTTTGCTCTATCAAGCTCAAACTTTATCATCTCAAGAACAGACCTTGAGGGAGGCAGTAAATGCTTCTTGCCCAAAAAATTTTCCTTGTGGAAAAAACCTGAGTTTGTCGTTCCCTTTCGCCGAGTATTCGCCTTATGATTGTGGGTTGTGCCCAGTGAATTGTAGCAATGAATCTTTCCCGACGATTGCACTTGGGTATCCAGCAGAGCAGTGGTTCAGATTTGAAGCCTTAAATAGTTCTACTTCCACGATGACCCTTTACGACGATTATCTTCAATCTTTGTTGGACACTCAAAATTGCTCCGCTTTCTGGTATCCAATTTATCTTCCGACTTCTCCTCCTATTTTATTTACTATGTTGAACAACGTCACCTTGTTCAGATGCAACAATAAAGATCCTCAGACGATTCAGAAATTAAACAGCTCTTTCTTTGAAAATGATTATGATGGGTACTATGGTGGATGTGGCGACGATGTTTACTATTATCAAAAACATCCAAACTCCAGTACTCCTCCTCCTGCAAATATTGATCCTTCGTGTTTAGCTTTCTCCCGTCCCATGAACAAATTTTTTCCTCAGTACCTTACTAAAAAATCAGACGATGATGTCTCTGAAGTATTTCGTTTATTGAGTGGTGAGTTTGATCTTCAGTGGTATGTTCCTCGTTGCTACAGTTGCCGTCGTGGAGGCCGTTGTCCAACTGGATGTGTCTATTCTGAACACAGCGGTTAGACTTGGAAATTTTACCCTATTGGTTCTGTTCTTGCGTTTTCCTTCTCTGTTTTAGGCGGGTTGGATTTTCTTCCATGGGTAATATGAATTGCTTCTGACTGACCCTTTTGCTTTGTTTATCTTTGATGCAGGAAAGACGAAATTAGGACTCATTCTAGGCTTAGGTAAATTTCTGTCCTGAAAACTCAAGGTTACAACTTACAATGCCTGCAATGTAAATGCCTGATGCATATGATCATAACCTTTTGAGTTGGACTGATGTTTTTATTTGACTATCACCTTCATGTCCAATGTTCATAAAGATATGTTCTTGATATGTATGCCCTCTTGCGTTTTTTTCTCTATCGCAGTTGGTGCTGCATGTGTCTTGTTGATCTTTGCCATCTTACTCCTATTATGGCGTCGCAAGAAATGGGTTAATGGTTTGTCGTATATCCTATCAAGAAACTCCTCAAAACTAGAACTTGAAGATGACAGTGTCTATTTAGGATTATCTGTTTTCTCTTATTCTGAACTTGAAGAAGCCACCAAGAACTTTGATTCCTCTAAAGAACTTGGAGACGGAGGTTTTGGAACCGTATACCATGGTAAGAGTCTTAATTTCGCAATTCTATGTTTGTCCCTTTAGAGATTATTTTTACTCTGACCTACAACAAACAAAATGGTTGTGGACTAAATTTAGCACACAATACTGTGTACAATCCAGGCAAACTTCGCGATGGAAGAGAAGTTGCAGTGAAACGTCTATATGAGCACAACTATAAGCGAATGGAACAATTTATGAATGAGGTTGAGATTCTTACCCGTTTGAGGCATCCAAATCTCGTTACCCTCTATGGCTGCACATCTAGGCGTAGTCGTGAGCTTCTTCTTGTTTATGAGTACGTTCCTAATGGCACAGTTGCTGATCATCTTAATGGACATAGAGCAAACGATAAGCACCTCACCTGGGCACTCCGAATGAACATTGCCATTGAAACCGCTGAGGCATTGGCCTACCTCCACGCTTCTGATATAATTCACCGTGATGTAAAGACTAACAACATACTCCTTGATCATAACTTCTCTGTCAAAGTCGCAGATTTTGGACTCTCCAGGCTGTTCCCGAATGATGTCACTCATGTCTCGACTGCTCCACAGGGTACTCCTGGCTATGTTGATCCAGAATATCATCAATGTTACCAACTTACTGATAAAAGTGATGTGTACAGCTTCGGCGTTGTCCTCATTGAGCTCATCTCGTCAATGCCTGCAGTTGATATTAGCAGGCACAGACATGAGATCAACCTAGCCAACTTTGCTATAAACAGGATCCAAAGATGTGCGTTTGACGATTTGATTGATCCATCTCTCGGGTACAAGACTGATGCTGAGATTTTGAGAATGACAACATCAGTAGCAGAGCTGGCTTTTCGATGCTTGCAGGGTGAGAAAGAAATGAGGCCTGCAATGGAGGAAGTCCTGGAATCCTTGAAAGAGATACAGAACTTCAAAGAAACCTTACCTGAGAATGCTAATGGCACCTTAGAAGAGTTTAACAAGACCAGGAACAATCCAAGCGGCGTTGCTGCATTCTCACCGGATTCGGATGATAGAGTATTGTTAAAGAACGTAAAGTTCCCTACTTCTCCAGTTTCTGTTACAGGTTTGTGGGTAAGTAGCTCTAGTACTACTACTGCAAATTCCAGTAGCTGAGATCCTTTATTTCACTCAGCTTACTGCAAATGTCAAAAGAACATGTCAATATGATGATATTCTGCTAGCTAGAAATATCAAATATGTAGCTTAATTGGTGATAATTTTCGACGTTTTGCGAATTAATGCTTTTTCCAAGCACACTAAGAGAAGGAAAAATGGTTTAGGTGCAGAACAAGTGCTCTATCTGTAACTGCAGCTGTGTTACTCTTTACAACAAACCCAACAATACACGAATAAGCATGTACATCCTACTATATCAGGTTGGTTATATATCTCGCTCTGTACGTTGTATAGAGTGTATCGCATTAACCTAATGTTACTGTCATAATGCAAATTCTTACTGGTTCAAGCTTGGAGAATGTTAAGGCAGACCATACCGAATATATCATCCAAATTTCATAATTTTTGTTTACATAGATAGAGTTTATCACAGATGCAAAATGTAGTTTTGGGGTCTTTCACAAAAAAAAAAAAGAAAAGAAAAGAAAAAGTGTTAGAATCTATTCCATTTTCCTTTATTTTATCATTCTAGTTTGTTGAACTATAACAATACAAAAAGTGGTCTATTAACAAAAGAACAGTCATTGATAAGAAGGATCTCAAATCATTGCAAACCCACACTTGGACATGGTTAAAAATATTTGAACAATATACAAGTCTAGCATTTGAAGTTCATACAAATATTTATCTTTTTTAAAGTTGTATCTATGACGAGGCTAATGCTTAGTGATTGCTAAATGAATAGATGATAAAGTTATTAGGATAATATCATGTTCTAACTAAGTACCTAATAATTTTATATAAAAATTGAGTTAGTGATTCAGACAACAAACCTAAAATACTCTGAAGATACATCACTGCAAACCTCAATATTTTAAAGAATTTCCCAAAATTTCAATCAACATCAAAAAATTTGATGACATTATTGAAGTTTCCAAATTAAGCTAATTTGCTTGTCCCTTTCAATAGTTTTGTTATTCCTTTGGTCCTCCTCCTTACCCCTCCATTATTGAAAAGCGTGCCCCAATCTATACGGTTACGCAAAACTTCCTATTTACAAAGTCCGCTTTCTTTACAACTCTTGGTTCCATTCAAAACTATTGTCAAACACGTCCGAAAGCAGCTTAGATCAACGCAACCGCCTCATAAAGAGAAGAAAAAAAAAGATTGTAACAGTGACGATTGGAAATTCGATATATATATATATATATATTCCAAATTTAGAAGATTTTTTTGTACATGTTTTCACATAGAATTATTATCGGAATTTCGCATTGAGGGGTGGAATCAAATTGGGAAAGTTTTGATTTTTAGTACGTGATTTACGATGGCCAGCGCCGCCGGCGGCGACCATCGGAGCGCTCGAGAGATTATATGCGATGCTGGCGCCGGTGCCGCGGCAGGTGGGTTCGCTCAATTTTGGTAATTTTATAGCCTTTAAACCGCTGGTTTTATTTGGGACTCTGAGGTTTACTGAAGTGGGTTTTGTTTGATTAATTACAGGTGCAATAGCTGCTACGTTTGTATGTCCATTGGATGTTATAAAGACAAGATTGCAAGTTCATGGGTTGCCGGAGATTTGCCATTCTCGCCATGGAGGTGTGTGTTGCTTTGGATTCTCTTTACTCTATTCCCTTCGTTGTACATTGTTGTAAGCTGGTGTTGTTAGATAGTAAGTTGGGCTGTAATCATATCCTTCTTATTTTACAATGTATCGCATTAGATACGTGGGATTTGGAAGAACTCCATGAAACAGAGACCAAGATTTGTAATCATCGAGAAATCTGCAGTTTTAGACTCGGTTTTGGTCTTGTATTAGAAATGCAAGCAATTGACAATCCACTAGGGCCTTGATTTCTAACAGGAGATATAGTGTGGGATGATCTTTCTCATTACAGAATTCCTTCCGTAATGGGGCCATCTAGTTGCCGATTTCTATAAAACATTCCAATGTACTGGTGATACAAGCGCCAAAATGGTTTGGAAAATATTGAGTTGCTGTACCCCTGCCTGAATATTTTTGGGAAACAGTATCGTACCTGTAGTGATAGTACCATCTTTAGGTCACGGATGGATGATCAAATTCATGTATAGGTCATCTGTGAGTAGAACTATTGCAAACTCTAGTTGAACAAGTTATAAATAGCACCAATTTCCTTGTGTATGTGTGATTTATTGAAATGTCAGAATTTAATTTACATGAAACCTTAAATTGCATTGCCCTTACCAGCTGGTTTCTCAATCAATTCATCCTTTTTCCTCGCTTTTCTGGATAATAATATGTTCTTCCTGCTTTCTATCTTTTTGCAACAACAGGGAGTGTCATTGTTACAAGCCTACAGCACATAGTACGAAATGAAGGTTTTCGGGGATTGTATCGGGGCCTTTCGCCCACTTTAGCTGCATTACTTCCAAACTGGGCGGTCAGTATCATAAAATTGATAATGCAACTTATCAAAATTTGGACTTATCTAACATCCATTATTGAAATATTCATGAAAAATAGCTTATAAGTGAATCTTCTGTAATATATGTACAGTCACATTGCCAGTAATCCATGAAGCATATGTTGCTTCCAAGTGTATTTAGAGTGTTGCAATATTGACTAAATAGATAATATGGGATGTATGTTTATGAAAAGATAATCTGATTTAACGTTACCATCCTGCTAGGAGAACGAGCGCGCTCAAAGTTTTGGGTGATCCTAATAAAATTCATTGATTTTACGTGGGTTGATGGAGGAGAAAGCTGCTTCTTTTTTTAATAGTTCACTTCTTTTATCACTTTTTTTTTTTTTTTGGGTAGACTCTGATATACAAACTGTAAAATGTGCTACCATTAAATATTCAATCTTGTTAGTTGTCAGCTGATATACTAGACACATTCATTTTTGTAAGAATAGTTCTGCTAATTTCCTTTATCTTATAACATTCCATTAATATTAATTTTATCATCCCCTGATGACTAGAGTTCTCAGTTCCTGTGATATGCAGGTATACTTCACTGTTTATGGGCATCTCAAAAGCCTGTTGCATTCACATGGTTAGATTTCTTCATTACGTGCTTTTCCATCCCATTTCCTTCCTTCTTTACTTGCTGAGTTAGCATTTCTCAGACCATTGAAAATCTTGTGAGCTCGCTAGAACTATCTCCTTAATCAAAATTGTGACTGACAATGCAGCAGACAGCAGTGGACAATTAACGGTTCCTGCTAATATGATAGCTGCTTCTGGTGCTGGAGCAGCAACAGCAATTGCCGCAAATCCATTATGGGTTGTGAAGACCCGTCTCCAGGTATTCTTGATATTTTCCCCTTAATGATGGGGGTGATTTAGTGGATTGTTTTGATACTCGTTATTCAATAGATACTCTTTTAAATTTTGGAGGGTTCTTTCTTTATGTATGTTGTGTTCAGTATGAAGACTGGCCTACTTTGATCTTTATCTAGTGTGAAGATGTGTTCTAGATTAGTTGATCATGTCAATGAGGGTACCAAGAAGCAGTCCAAACTATGAAGTTGAGTGTGAGGAAGAAATTTTTGAGACAATTTTCCTTCTGTTTGATGTAATTGTGATTGTTAATTGGAATAAGCTTGTACAATTGCATGATCAAAAGTTTTATGGGTTGTGATCGGGCAACTAATCCTCTTAAAATGAATTAGTATACTTGCAACTCAACCTTAGGAAGATCAGTAGTATGGGATATTAAATTATGCTTGCTGCTGTTTCAGTTCTGTATTCTGCTCTTTCATGTTAAGCTCAGTATCTTATTCTTTCTTACTTCATCTTTAGACCCAGGGAATGAGGCAGGGAGTAGTTCCTTACGATGGCATAATATCTGCTTTGAGACGAATAGTACACGAAGAAGGATTCAGAGGGTGGTACAGGTGTGTGTGGCTTTCTTTATTCGAGGCCAAAATTTGAACTTCTTTGCTGTTTGACAATGAATATCAAACCCCATATTATCATCCTAATCGCCTGCGTGAATTGCGCATTGGCCAGACGAATTTCCAACCACTGTTGGTGCATGGCTGTTGTGGTGTAATTTTGCATGAACAACTTATCTGGTATTGATTCCTTTTCTCTGGTGGATACAGTGGTCTTCTTCCATCTTTAGCTGGGATAACTCACGTAGCAATCCAATTTCCAGCTTATGAACAAATGAAATCCTACTTGGCAAAAATGCGTAAGACCTTTAAACTCCTATATGCTGTTTTGTGTGTTATGTCTAACCAGATAATAGCCATAAATTTTTGGGTTTTTCAGATAACAAAAGATTGGATCAGCTTAACACTGGGGAAGTTGCCATTGCCTCTTCTGTATCTAAAGTTCTTGCATCTGTAATGACATATCCACACGAGGTATGAATTCCTGTTCATTTTTACGGGGCCCTAAATAACTTAGCAGCAAGATGCTTTCCCTATTATTCTGCTACTTTCTGATTTTTCCAGCCAAAATGCTGTGTATGCAGGTAGTCCGTTCAAGATTGCAAGAGCAAGGACAGTTGAAAAATCCCGAGATCTATTATTCAGGTGTCATAGATTGCATTAAGAAGATCCTTGGGAGGGAGGGTTTTCGTGGATTCTACCGTGGATGTGCAACCAATCTTTTGAGGACCACCCCATCTGCAGTGATTACATTTACAACGTATGAAATGATACATAGGTTTTTGCAGCATTCTATTCCTTCATCAGAGACGCTCAAAAGTAAATAAACTGAAAGATATGATGATTAACAACAGTGTTTCACAACAACCTCAAATTGCAGCTAACACGAGAACCCTTTCTTTTTAACCTTCACTTTCCTATCATACGAGGACCTTATTTGAGAGCTCCTGACATGCTAATGTTTAGACATTAGACACTGATTGTATCATCTCTTATGCACAGATTCCACATAATTTGTATCAACTGTAAAACAAAAAACACTTGATGTTTAGAATCTTTAGATGAAGGAACCGAGTAGAAAGGTAACGTAGTTTCAATGTATCTGGTTCTTCTGTTTTGATGAAGTATCCCTCTTGAGTGCGTGTTTGTTCATCTTAATACTGTGCCTCTATCTCCTGCTTAGTAGACGAAGAGGCGTAATCTAACATCTTAAATTACGGGTGAACACTACTAATGACGAAGAAGTAATTATACTTTGATATTCATGTAGTGACCAAATACATGATGAGAACATTATTGTCGCCAAAGCCATCAAAATGATTAGCTGCAAAATTTGTTACTGCGGAAACATAATGTCACCAGAATACTAGCAACAAAATTTCTTTCCCAAACACATCCTTCAGTACAACACACCTGTAATTGCTTAACAAAGAAAAGATGCACCATATTGATCCACACTTTCAAAATTGTAAATGGTTATTTGATTTACAAATTTTGGAAAAAAAAAATTACCTGCAAATATGTAAAAGGAAGGTTCATCCAATTAAAAAATTCAAACAAAAAATTAATAGTAGTAAAATTCAGACGTGGAAGATAAAATAATCTTTTTAATGAATATATATTTCGGAGGCTTGGATGTAAATTGCAAAGAAGACCCCTTTATCAGAAAAAGTTGTTATCTTTTCCAATCAAGACAGCTCATTTACTAAAAAGTCCAGACTTTCTCATTCATCATTATTTTCTTTCCTTAACTCATTTCCCCATAATTAACATTGTCTCCTATGATTCAACAAATGATAAAATAGTCCCATCAAACTAAATATCCTGTCCTTCCTTTCTTGATGCTTGTGGTGAATGATCCCTTTTGGTTCATTGTTTATTTTTTGTTTATCAATTGACTGAATCATATTCACTCATGAGTTCATATACTTTTACAAATTGAATATTCTGAACCCAGAATAAATCAATAAAACTGAAAGCAAATTGTGGGCTATTTCCTGTCCTTCTGCGGCAATATAGTATTAGTCTTGGGGGTTAGGTATGATTAGCAATTTACAGCTCATTTGGTGTCATCACTTCGCGTTTGATTTTTTTGGCTTGATTTCCTTCCCCTCAATTAACCTTTCACTGAAGAGAACACGCTAATTTGAGATCACTTTCAGATCTATATTTTTCTGGGTTTTTTTGTGTTTAGGAAAAAACACAGTACCAACAACAATTTTTGTTTGGTGTTCGAGTGTTTCTCGTGGCTGAACAAATCATGTCTTGAATGTTATGACGTATTGTTTTGTGATGGAGGCGTGGAGATGTGGAGTTTAGTGAATTGTTTGAAGTCTAAAGGTGTGTTCTTTAGAATTGTAGTTTTGTGTTGATTGGGTGATGACAATGGGGACTAGGGAAGAGAGACATAATCATCATGATTTTGTGCCGTTGGCTGCACTGATCGGCAAGGAATTGAGAAATGAGAGAATGGAGAAGCCAACAGTGAGGTATGGATGTGCAGCACAATCAAGGAAAGGGGAGGATTACGTTTTCACCAAGACTGATTGCCAGAGAGTTTTGGGGAATCCTTCCACATCCTTCTCTGTTTTTGCTGTAAGTAATTTATCTTCAGCGCTACTCTAATGCTGAATATGAATTTCAAGCTGTTCGTTTTTTAGGCTGGATATGTCTTTGGATTTAGCTAATTGAATCTGTGATTTAGTTGTCCATTTCCGTCTGCTGGGAATTTGTTATGTCTGTTAATAACTAAAGGGCAGCCATATCGGTGCACTTTGATGATGAAATTGTTCTATTATTGTCTAAATTGAGTGTTAGCATTTGACATTCTCATAAAATCTAATCTTAAGAGTAACTGATCTGAAAGAAGAGGGTAAATGTGATGAACCATCAGTGTCTCTTGATTGATTATGATGCTATATATGAACATAGTGGTGGAAGAGCAGTTGCAGGAAGTTGTTGAAATGATCACAAGCCGCTAATAAGTGCGGATGTTTTCTTTCCCAATCTTAGGTATTTGACGGGCACAATGGGAATGCAGCTGCAATTTATTCTAGGGATAATTTGTTGAATCACATTTTGAGCGCCATTCCTCGTGGTCTTGGACGGGAAGAGTGGTTACAAGCTTTGCCTCGGGCTCTAGTTGCTGGATTTGTTAAAACTGACAAAGAATTCCAGAGCAAAGGCATGATGTCTTGCATTTCCCTATCTTTAACATTTACATTCTTGAAAGAAATGTTTTGGTTGTGAAGAGTCTAATGCTGGTTATCCTTGTCTATTTTCCAACAGGACAAACTTCTGGAACCACAGCTACACTTGTAATAGTTGATGGTTGGACTGTAACTGTTGCATGTGTTGGGGATTCACGCTGTATTTTGGATACACAGGGAGGTGCTGTCTCGGCATTGACTGTAGATCATAGACTTGAAGAAAATATTGAGGAGTAATGTTGCTAAAATCTTTGAGCTCACCTTGTTTGATCCTCTTGGGAGCAGGGGATGCTAATATGGCTTCATTGTTGCAGGCAGAAACGCGTCACAGCAAGTGGAGGCGAAGTTGGGCGATTGAGCCTTTTTGGTGGACCTGAGGTAAAGTCATTTTTTGCCGCCCTGATAATCTTACTGAGGGCATGATTATATTTTCTCTATGGGGTAATAACATGATTGGTTTGATTCTCAGGTAGGCCCTCTGCGCTGCTGGCCAGGAGGTTTATGCCTGTCAAGATCAATTGGTGATATGGATGTTGGGGAATATATAGTTCCAATACCTCATGTTAAACAAGTCAAGGTGTCTGTCCTTGTTCCATTCACTTATTTTATTTCCCATTGGCTTAAAGAACATCAATTTCATGGTATTTGGGATGCATTATCATCTTGGCTGTCGAGGTTGTTAATTATTTGTTTCTTCCCATGTTTCTTTTCTAGTTATCCAAGGTAGGTGGAAGGCTTATACTTGCATCTGATGGTATTTGGGATGCATTATCATCAGAATTGGCTGCAAAATCTTGTCGTGGATTGCCTGCCGAACTTGCAGCTAAACAAGTGGTTAAGGTAATACTGCAACATTAATTTCCGCATCTATCATGTTGTTGAGCATTTGGCCTCTTGTGCGCCACTGGAGGAGTTAAAGCTACTGCACTAGATGGGGACGGAACTTTCTACCATTTGTCATAATCCATTGATATCCTGTTCAGGAAGCATTGAGGACACGGGGATTGAAGGATGACACAACATGCATAGTCGTGGACATAATTCCTCCGGACAACACTGTAGTAGAACCTCTACCTTCTCCAAAAAAGCATAATAAGTTCCTGTCATGCTGTTTCAGAAGTGAATCCCAAAAATCTTCGAGTAAGCTCTCAAAGAAGTTATCTGCGGTGGGTATAGTAGAACTATATGAAGAAGGGTCTGCCATGCTCGCTGAAAGGTTAGTTTTCCATTTTCCTTCTGTGCATTTGCCTTCAAGATTTCATTGTTTCTTCGAGTTGGCCGCGACAGGAAGTTCCTGATGTTGTATCTTGCAATGTCTACAGATTGGGAAATGATGATTCCAACGGTCAGACAAATGGTCTTTTTACGTGTGCAGTTTGCCAGATTGATATCGCATCGAGCGAAGGCATATCAGTTCATGCGGGTGCCATATTCTCCACAAGCTCGAAGCCTTGGGAAGGACCTTTCCTGTGTGCGGGTTGTCGTGACAAGAAGGATGCAATGGAAGGAAAGCGACCTAGCGGAGTAAAAGTATTGTGATTTCTCCATTATTATTCTTTCTCTCAATTTTCCCGTATTTAATTTCCTCCTGGTTGATCCCTGATTATTCTTGGTAAATTCCCTTTAATCTTAAAAGGTGTCAAAACCAATTTGTATATGTATAATAGCTGCTAATCATGTGTAATGAGCTCATTGGATGATATATAGTAGCATTCAGAATCAATGAAGTAGTTGCATAATAAATAGAATGATAATGGACGTAAGATGTTCTGATGCTTGCGAATCAAATTGTAACAATTATGGTTAGTAATTCGTTTTTTGTGAAAGTAAAAAAGAAATCTTGGATTAAGCACCATAATCAAAAAAAAAAAAAAAAAAGAATTTCTTGAACACAATTTGAAAATGATTCTTTAGTAAAGAAGTGTTGTCCCACAATGGTGACAAAGAGGATATTCTAAAGTTAGTAAGAGATTATGACATTTTGGTCACATATTGAGATTACAAAATCTAATCAAGTACTACTACTACTACTACAAAGCTGCTTCTTCTACTACTACTACTTTTTAAACCATGAAATTTGACAAAAGATTAGGTTCTCGATTCTAATAATTGCCCTTCACGCACTGTTTCTCCATCATTACCTCTGCATGTTTTCAGAACAGAATGCAGAACTGCTCTTCTTCTTTCTTGGTCACATCACCTTTTGCTTTAGTCATATAGTTTAGGCTTTATATGCATTATGATACATCCAAATTACCTTTCATCCGTTCCGTGACCCAAGAAACCCCACCCATAAGCTATAAAGTCTTGTAAATACCCCTCTCAAGTTTTATCACTTTGTAAAATTCCCCTTGCAATATCAATTATAGCATAAATTTGCTTCCACGTTTTTCAATTTCGCAGAGTTCGAATCGTTTTTCCTAACGGCACGAGTGAACAGTTGCGAAATAAGCTATACGTCGTGTATATTCAAATGCGATCAACTTCTGGATGAACCAAATTGTGTATGAATAATCTTTAGTGTTCGCACAATTCCCATTATGAATTTAGTAGAATTTAAATTTCGACATTGTAAATTTTATAAATGACAATATGACAAAAAACAAAATAAGAAACAGTAATGAGTATGCGAGTTTGATGAGTTGAAAGATTTTGGGAAGAATAATCGTCTCATTAGGGATAACTAGTAGGTAACCCGTGAATTGCACACGGATTATGAAAAAAATATATGTTAAAAACTTGTTTTGTAAGATAAAAAGTAATGGTTCAGTTTATAAGATTTTTTTACAAAAAAAAAAAAATCAATGTTGGTTAAAACTTTTGGACAAATAAGTTGACGGCAAATATCGCGATCATAAACGATGAATTTCATGATATACTCTTCAACAACTATGATGTGAACCTTTGCACCGTGAATGAGATTGATGCTATGAATAAATTCCAAAAACCTATCACCGTAAAACTGTCATCGGCCTTACGGGTGATACAAAAATTAACATATAAATCTCTAAAATCAGTGGGGAGATAGACATAACCTCATGGATTTCTTCTAAATAACGATGACAGACGACTCGAAAGTGTCTGCGAAAATAAAAAAATCATAAATAAGTGATTTTTCAATCCAATGTAACATTTAAAAAAAAAAAAATTATGGCCGAGATTATTACCAAACCATTGTCGGTAATATTTTCTGCCACTATGCACATGTATTCCACATCCATTAAGAGTACATGCATTGAACATAAACCCGTATTGAATAAAAAAAAAATGTATGAAAGCAACCCATTGAAACAAAAAAAAAAAAAACTATACGGAAGGAACAAAAACTTTCAAGGAAAATGAAACAGAGACATATCGGATTGGTTTGAATTGTTTACTGTCATGGAGTTTAGATAGAACAATGTTTAACAAAACCCGATTTAGGATAGGAGTAATTAAGGATAATTTGAACTCTATTTGAACTTTCATTTATCAGATTACTTATGTTAAAAGGTTATTGCATAACGTTAAAATAAAGTTATTTTTTTACGTCGAACTTAAGTGAGATTCTAATTTCCTGCCAAGCAAATTATTTTCATCCTATATATATAGATTTTATACTCAAAAAGTTACTATTAGCTGATTACGAAAATTAGGAACATGGAGATGGAGGTGACCATGCATACTATATTTGATCTTGTAGGGGATATTTTTATCAAATAGTGAAACTTGAGGGACACATCCACTTCATTTTGAACCAGTCTACTCTAACAGCAGCACGTCCAATAAATTCACATCACTAACAGCTAGAAAACCAAAAAGTAAAAGTAAAAACAAAATAAAGTAAAATTCATAAAATAAAACACACGTCCCCATGTCCCTCCTCCAGTAAAGAGTCAATTTCCCACTTTTTCAGGTTTTTTCAGTCCTTCCGTCTTCCCAAATTGAAAACAAAAACCCACCACCACCCTGTGAAAAAACCTCACCAAAAAAAACCCTTGTTTCTCGCCGGAGTTTTCATGGCGGCTGCATTATCCCGTTGCATAACATTTCTCCTGCTTTTTTCCTTCTTCTTCCACCTCAACAATGTTGCCTTTGGAAGCTCAGATTTGACGGCATTGTTAGAGTTCAAAGCTTCAGCTGACCCGTCAAACACCATCCTCACCCGTTGGACTCCGGCGAGCGACCCATGTTTCTGGCCCGGAATTTCTTGCTTTCAAAACCGGGTCAGCCGTCTCGTCCTCGAGAATCTTAGTCTTAGGGGTTCATTTCAGCCGCTTGCTCGGTTAACTGAGCTCCGGATCCTCAGTCTCAAATATAACCATTTCTCCGGCCCCATTCCCAATCTATCTAACCTTACATCCCTCAAGTTGCTTTTCTTGTCTCATAACAAGTTTTCCGGCGACTTCCCGCAGTCCGTGACGTCACTTACTCGGCTTTATCGTCTGGACTTATCATTCAACCAACTCTCCGGCGTAATACCGGCTCCTCAGGTGAACAACTTGAAGCATTTGTTAACTCTGCGCCTCGAGGGAAACGGATTTTCGGGTCAAGTTCTCGGTCTCCATGTTCCGAACCTTCAGGACTTCAATATATCTTACAACAATCTGTCGGGTCAAATACCCGTTTCTCTGTCGGGGTTCCCGGAATCAGCATTCTGGGGTAACTTCCTTTGTGGGTCTCCGTTACCCGGCTGTGCGACCCATCAGGGTGAGCCCACTCGACCCGGTTCTGGAGCCTTGGCATCGCCAGTGGGTCCGAGAGGGAACTCTTCCACTGTGGCTTCTTCCCCGACGACGCTACCGGATAACGGGTCACCGGTCAAAACCGGGAGGAATAATGGAGGTGGGAAAATGAGCACCGTTGCAATAGTCTTCATAATTCTGGGGGATGTCATTGTGCTCACCTTGATTGCTTTCCTACTGTATTGCTTCTTTTGGAGACGCTATTCTAAGAAAATGAGCAGGAAAAATGGGGAACCAGTTGAAAAAATTGTGTATTCATCTAGCCCGTATCCGAACCCGCCCCAGCCCGGTTATGAGAGGGGCAAAATGGTGTTCTTTGACGGATCAAAGAAATTTGAGCTGGAGGACTTGCTTAGGGCTTCGGCTGAGATGCTGGGTAAAGGAGGATTTGGGACTGCATACAAAGCTGTTTTAGATGATGGGAATGTTGTAGCGGTGAAGAGATTGAAGGAAATGTCTGTAAATGGAAGAAGGGATTTCGAGAATCAAATGGAGATTTTAGGGAGGATTAAGCATCCCAATTTGGTTAGCTTGAAGGCTTACTATTTTGCCAGGGATGAAAAGTTGTTGGTTAATGATTTCATGCCCAATGGGAATTTGTTTTGGCTTCTTCATGGTAAGCATTTCATAGTAATTCTCTTCTTTTTGTCTTTTTTCTCTTATTGAATTTGAATGTGGGGTATGTTTAGTACTAATCTTCTTGTCTGTAAATCGTGCACAGATCTTAAAATGCTTATATTCAACCAAGATAAATTTTTTAATCCCTTGGTCACATGGTTGAGAATTCTTAGAATTCACATTTAAATAAGTGAAGTATTCACTACTGTAAATGTCACATGGGTGAAGTATAGCATTGTTTTGTTTTGTATTGCTGGGGTTTGAATGTGGCATTCATGGATTGATTTCGTGTCATTGGTTTTCTAACTTTTGGGACATCAGATTATATAGGAATTCATTGTTTGGATTTGAATGCACACACGAGTAAGGAGCAAGCAAAATGAAGTTTTACTGTGTTCTTTTAGGGATGGTTCACAATGCAAATGGCAATTTGAACTTAGTGCTTGAAATGTTTCAAGTTTGATGAATGTAAAATGACCAGTGAAAAGAAGTAGCAAACTGTTTTAAACGGGCCTGTTACATGGGCCGGCTACATATACTTAATGTGTATGGCTTTGAAGGCAAAATACGTGTAGCCAAATGTCCTGTCAAATTTGAGCATTTATCAGAACTAGAAGTAAATTGCATTTAATGAATTTCTTGCTTTAAGAAGTATCATAGGGTACTCGTGATCTGTATGTGTTGTTGTCAGCTTCCTAAGCTCTATACTTGGAGGCCTATTTTGACCTGCTTGTTCTGTTTTCAATCTTTCTAGTCAAAAGACCTGCTTGTTCTGTTTTTCACACATTGGATTCGACTTGACAGCCTTTGTTAATCTATCATTTCTTGTTTGACCTTTGTTAAAAAAGATTAAGGGGTCAGCCTTTCGGTTGTTAGCTTGTTGAAATCGCTCCCATTGGTTCCATGGGGCCACATTTGTCTAATATGAAGACATGGTTCTCTGTTTACTCTTGTCACACTAGTTGTATGTTGTGATCTGTGTGGTCTTTGAGTTTGCTTGTTTTGTTTCCTTCAGGAATTTATGATGGTCTTGTACCATCAAAGTGTGTATTAGCTAAGTGACTTTTGTTTTTCAGGAAATCGAGGTCCTGGTAGAACCCCATTGGATTGGACTTCAAGGTTGAGGATTGCATCTGGAGCAGCTAAAGGATTATTGTATATTCACAACTCCTGCAAGCCCCTTAAACTAGTTCATGGAAACATAAAGTCTACTAATGTCCTAATTGACAAGACTGGTAATGCTCGGCTTACAGATTTCGGCCTATCTGCCTTTGCACTGCCTTCATCAGCTCCAAAATCCAATGGATATCGGGCCCCTGAAGCTTCTGTTGATGGCCGAAAACTCACCCAGCAGTGTGATGTATACTCATTTGGGGTCCTTTTGCTCGAGTTGCTTACTGGTAAATGCCCCTCTATTGCCGATAATGGAGGGCAAGGGACAGGATACACCGGCATATTAGATTTACCAAGGTGGGTGCAGTCTGTGGTGAGGGAGGAATGGACAGCTGAGGTATTTGACATTGAGTTAATGCGATATAAGGGCATCGAGGAAGAAATGGTTGGTTTGTTGCAGATAGCAATGGCGTGTTCTTCTGCTTCTCCAGATCAAAGGCCGAAGATGAACTTTGTAGTGAAAATGATAGAAGAACTTAGAGGCGTGGAGATGTCGCCATCCCACGACACACTTGACTCTGTTTCAGACTCACCTGCAGTGTCTGAAGATGCAGGAGCAGTAGCCTGTCAATGACACATGCTTTTTCTACTTACTAAAACTGAATTGCTAATCTCTCAAGTGAGTTCTGTAAAGAAGAAGGGTTTTCTTTTAGCTCCGTAGATTCTTATCATGCAAAGATTCTCAAAAATAGTTGTTCCAACATATTCTTGTTATCACCGCCTTCTGTGTTATGGTCAGATCCTCATTTGAGCTTTATCATACTCAGTGACCTCTTACATATCTTCTGGAAAATTAGGTCAGAAAATATTGAAATCAGTTACATTATTATACAATTGCTCTGCATCTCATTAGAGGGAAAAGAGTTTCAAAATCTTACCTAAATGTACAGTAACAGAAAGAACAATCAAAGAATGAGTATTAATCTATATCCGTATAAACCTCTTACTATATGTTGAATTGCATGACTTTTGGTGCAAACCGCAACAATCTCTCCAATGCATGAGGTGTGAACTTCCTTGCAAACAAGTAACAAACGTTGGTTTCCTCCCCATTGTATTTGCAACTCTTCCCACTCCGCATTTCCTCCAAGAATCCCATATGGACATCTTGTCTGTAAAAACTCCTGGGGTGAGGCCCCCCGCGCGACCAATCAACCCGAGTCAACCCTCTCTTTGCGATACGCTTTTCGAATTTGGTGTTCAAGAATGTTGGAAGGTAATGCTCATCAGCATAACAAGAACCTTTGCAATGGTCTTGGAATGCGCGGAAATACTTCTTGTCGGAAACAACCTCAGTTGCGAGTTCCCTGTCCAATTCGAACCATTGGGAACCCTTTCTCCAGTCCCGAAGCTTGATCAAGGGCTGCATTTGGCTGTTGTACCGGCCACGCCCGACGGGTCCTACTTCGTCAAATGCCTCCACAAAGCTTTGGGTGGAATTGATGAGGTAATTGTAGACAGTGGAGAAGTTAAACAATGGAATGCATGTTTCAGATAGGAGGACGAAACGTTGGTTTGACATGTCCAACAGAGCATTTGCTAATAGTCTTCTTTCGGCTTCAATCATGTTGACATTTCCCCATTCAACCTCCTACAATGTGTACAAAGAAACAGGGGAAAATCAGATAATCAAATGTTAGGAAAAATATTCAATGCAAAGCCCAGAAATTAATTTGATTGGGGTGATTTTGGTTGGATGATGATTGATATGTTAACATCAGGGACCATATAGGACAGCGTGCCCTGAAGATGGGAGTAGAGGCCACATTGATAGTGATCCAATCTTTAGGTATATTCCCAGTGTTGACTTTGGTCCTGCATTCTCTACTTAAGGCATGACTAGAAGAAACAGAGGATTCTGTAAAAATTGCAAAATTACTGTGACACTCCAAATGAAGTTTTAGTGAGATTATGAATTAAAAAGGAAGTCGAATATTTTTTTTTTGCACAAGTTTTATTGCAATACGCAAAGAACTTAGAATGGATTTTATTTCCAATTTTTTTAATTCTCCTCAAGCCCAATGTACACATTTTTTGTTTTAATTTAATGCATATTCGTTCTATAGAAGGAAAATTTAATTACTAGTGTCTAAAAATTTTTGGGCTACTAAAAGAGGCTGTCTCTCTCACAACTTTTGAAAGGTTGTTTTCCAATTTTTTTTTTTTTAATTTCCAGCCAATAGCCCTTTTATATGAAAACAAACAACAATTAGTCCAATGTCGGTAACTTAAAAGAAGTTTAGTGCCAATTCCGTTCCAATATCAACATTCAACAAACAAAACAATCATTTTTAGGCAAAAAGATACTAATCTAAGTACATGACATGCCCAATAATGCACATTTAATACAATAAGCCAGAGAGTCACTCTTCATTTACTGTTCCAAATGTATTTGTAGAACAGGCAAATTAAAGTTTTATTGCTAACTTCGATCCATAAAGATACTTTCACACTTGAATATTAAGTGCAATGAGTAATAATGTTTTTAAATTTCCTTTAAAGGAAAAAAATAGAAAATTTCCTTAAGGAATAGCATTCTTTTTAGCTTCCTTTTTCACTAAATAGTGCTTTAAAAACGAGGAGGGAAAACAAAAAAACTAAGAATATTACTACGGAATATTTACCGTCTAAAGAAACGTATCCATAATATGTTTTGTTTAACCCTTATTTACTTACTTCTTCCTAAAGTTATAAAAAACATACCTGGCTAGGAATTCTCCGGCCATGAAAGACGGAATCTTCCGGCTCCGATCCATTGAACGACGGACTTGAATGCACATAAATGGAGTAAAGCCCTTCATGCCCTTTGAAGAATTTCTCCCAAAACGGCGCCAAAAGCACCGGCCCTCTTACCAGAAACATGAATGCCACTTTCGGGATTCGTTGGAACGGAAACTCCTGAATTTTGGGAGCCATTGATGCTCTCCATAATAGCTCCTCATCGTTCATCCCATGCAGAATTCCCGGCGGCTCTATAAATCCCTCCAACCCTTTATCCGCCGGAGTCGGAGGCAGTGGCGGCGGCGGGTTTGGCTTTTCCCGCGGCGGCGGTGGTGGAGGAGGAGGATGAGGCGGCGGTGGTGATGATTGCAAAGTTGTGAGAGTGAGTTGACCGTGGTTGACTTGTAAGTTGAAAGTAAGGCTTCTGAATTGTAAGCAGAGGAAGAAGCCGGCTGTCAAACCGATGACAAAGAACAAGAAGAAAGCAAAGAGATCAAATAGTTTCAATGGAACATTAAACTGCTGAGTTGATGCTGTTCGAAATCCTAAACAGAAGCTATTGCTGTTGTTGTTGATGTTGTCGTTCTTCATTATCAATCATATGGAGAAAATCTAATAAGAAAAGATAGGGAAAAAAAAAAGAGGCATAGACAGTGGGACTAAAAAAGGGATTGATATATTGATGATGATATGGAGTCCATCACATATATGTAATATTGTTGATTATATAATAAGGTATTTTTGCTACTTTTGAAAAGGATTTTTAATGGGAGGAGCTAGAGAGTCCCTTTGGGTTTTGGCTTTTGGTTGGTTTGTACGATTTGTTTTGGAGTATGATTTTTTTAAGACCATAAAGGCACTGGCTGCCTGAAAAGGGGAGTCTTAGAATTTTAGTATATGTACAATTGTAATATTGTTCAAATTTGGGTAAATTGGTTACTCCTCCGTTTTACGATTCTTGTTTTGGAACGGTAAAATTTTTGTATTTTACTTGTTTTAAATTCTTGATGACAATCGGAACTTTGGTTTTACGTAGGGAATTTTGTAATTGTCTTTGCCTTTTGGTTTGGAGAGTTGAGGAAGAGATTAGGGTTGAAGAGAAACAAACCATGTTGGTAATAAATTGAGGTAGATTAGAATGTCATAGTAACGTAATAAATCCCGTATATCCAAAATAGGCGAACTTATTCATCAAATAGAATATATATATAATATAACAGTGGGATTTTTTTTCGCAAAATATTAGTTTACTTTTTTCCTTTATTATGATCGGAAAAATAGAATCACTGAACCTAATGAAATGAGACGGAAATCTTATTTTTGGTGTGATTTTGTAAGCAATTTCAGAAGAAATGAGGAAACAAAACCTCTATTGTGCTTGTAACATTTATTTACCACGAAAGTAATAATAATAATAATAATAAACCTCTCTTGCGCTTGTTGTAATAATTAAATATTCTTTCCTCTATATATATATATATTCAATTTCTAAACTTCTAAAAGAATTTTCAATATATTTTTTTTTTGGCTCCTCTCAAAGTTATGCCATTTGAAATGCGTCGAAAACTAAAAAAGAAGAGCCATGGGCATAATGTGTTAGGCATACCTGTTGAATTAAGGATGGCTTGAATGCTAATTGATGATCCTTTTCTTTTCTCCATACCTTTACCAGAAAAATAAAACATTGCATTAGGTCGAAGTAGCTAGTAAGTACTAAATAAATAAACCATGCACATGCAATATTAATTCTTCCATCTTCTTATATCTCTTAATTAAACGATTCTTCAATCCATGAACTGAAAACGATTAATGCGTTTCTAAAATTACTTGACCCCATCACCCTATAAAAGCTATACATAGAGCTTATTTTTGTTGAAGATTCCAGGACGGCCGGCTATGAATCCAACAACCTACCAAAACTTATTGGGTCTTCTCTTCAGTTTGCTGCCTTTCTTTCCCCTTTGTATTGTCTCATTTCTCTCTCTTTTCCGCGCCCGCCTCGTAGAATTGAATCAAACTATATATGTCGCCTAGCTAGCTATCGTAATTGACTTTCAAAAGAATGCTTATTAATTAACCAAAAAAAAGAAAAGAATGCTTATAATCATACTCGCCGGACTCTTTGTAAGCCCACGTCTATCTCTTTCTCTGAGAATTATGGAAAAGAGTTGGAGTTTGATTCGTCTCAAGTTGTTGGAGTTTAAGTACATTAATTTACCATTCATTGGTTATTAAGTATTAGATTGATTAAGCCGGCAGTCAAAGTTCTGTCGATGCTTTTGGAATGGTCGATATGGGGTGTGAAAATACGTGTGCGTTGTCCCTATTAAATACTGATATATTATAAGATTTTCATTTAAATGATTACATAACATGATGATTTGGAAGTACACGGTACTCCGGGCCATCAGACATTTTTTTTTTTTTTTTAAAAAAACAAGACTTTATATTAACTTTATTGGAAAAGAATACAACCACTGAACTATTACAATTGTCCACATGTATAATATTAAATTTAAAATTATTGTATTTACTATAATTCAACCTATACAGATATTAAATTCAAAATTGTTGTATTCACTATAATTCAACACCTATACAAATCTAGATCTATTCGGTTGAATTCTTCATTATCACTTGGATATGCCACGTACCAAAACATGATCTCGAACATAACACTTGTCTTCTGTTGAAAACTCAATTTCATAGATCTAATGAATAAATCTACGGTAGCTGCATCTCTAAAAAGACCTATGATCAACAACCCAATAAGCATCGATCGCCAAAAAAACTCTAAATAACTTTTACTATCATATCAGTAGAATAAGATCTACTGAGAGGCTCCAACACAATCAACAGATTAAGATATGATGTCGAACTAAAATTTAAGAATAATCCCACTTATTAAAAAACAAAATTAAAAATAAGATTGAATAAAAACTGTGGTGAGAAGATGGGGAACAAGAATTTTTTTTTTTTTTAGGGTTTTGGAGAGGGAGGGAGGCGGCTAAGAGAGAAGAGAAATTCTGTATGAATAGGCCATCAGACGGACACTTGATCAGCTAAACAAATGGACTTTGGAATTGAAGTCATAGATTCTAATTTGTTGTTTATTGTTTATACGATTCGAATGACTTTTTAGGGTTTTATGAGATCTTCTCAAAAGAGTGAGATTTTTGCTTAGAACTTGTTTTGGGAAAATATCTATAGTACTACTTAATTAAAACAGTAAACAAAAAGGATATGTGTCAGTATTACAATGAAAATTTTTTCGTTAAAAATCATTTTCAGTACAAAATCATTTTTGACACGTGACACTCTAACTAATTACAAAAAAAGGGATAGAATAAATAAATACGTAAATCCTTAATTATAAGTACATAAAAATTCCTTAATTATAGGTATATAATAATCCCTTAAAATAACAATATTTAGTTGTTAAAATCAAAATGTAAGGAAATTTCCTTAAATAAAATGAAACACCAGGAATGTCTCCCTAATCCCCAACCTCAAAAGGATCTCTTCCATTCTACTCCTCTCTCAGACCGGACCTTTAACTCAATTACTTAAAATCTAACATATATTATCAATCCATCTCTTTCTTCAACAGAGAAAAAATAAGCTGTCATGGAAGGAAATTTGATTTTTTTAAGGATAATTTGTTTTTTTTTTCTTCTGTCGTAGATATTGCTTTATTTATATGTAAACCCGGGTATGAGTTAACTGTTAAATGTTACAAACCCGAGCATAGATTTATTTGTAGTAACTCACTTCCTGTCCTCTCAATCGATTTTTTATTCTTTTATTTTTTTTTTATTCTTTTAAGGATGATTCGTTTTTTTTTTTAATTTTATCGATTCAAAAATACAGACAACAATTCGAGTATTCGATCGAGACAAGCATCTAGTTTGATTGATGACCTATGATGAATTCTCTAATAGTTCAAATGATTTACACTCAGTGTTAATTTAATGTGTCAAATTAGTATTTCCTTTTTTTTAATAAAAAAAATTTGTCACACAGTAATTGAGACACAACTCTTATAATACTGTAATGTGGGAAAATTTATATTTTAGTTCTAAGGTTTGGGAAAATAATAGATTTTAGTCCCAAAATATTCAATTGTTGGGATTTTTCTCCAAAATTCGAACAAATGATAAAAATTAGTCATTTTCATTAATTTTAGAAATCACTTAGCAGGTGATTGTATTTTTCCAAAGTCGACCATACTTTTTATTATTAATAATTTCAAGTGATCATTTTCTCTGTTTAATTAAATCTTTTTCTTTTTTTTTGCATTTTAAAATATTTCCTTTTTCTAGTAATCATTTTCTATGATTAAATAAAAAAAGTGATAGGCCATCATTTCATGTCAAAAAGGGTTTAATTAAACAGAAAAAATAATGACTTAAACACTTTTAATAATAATAAAGTGTAGTCAATTACAATTGACAAGAAATACTATTAACTCTTAAGAGACTCCTAAAATTACCGGAAAGAATATACTTCCATTATTTGTCCAGACTTTGGAAGAAAATCCCAACAACTAAAAAATTTGGAACTAAACTCTCAAAATCTTGGGACTAAAATATGGGGGTTTTTTTTTTGGGGGTTTGTTAATAAATATGGGTTTTCCCATTGACTATTTTAATAACATCAGAAAGCTACGTAACCCCTTGCTTCTTAATGCTAAGAGAAGAAAAATATAAAACAACGGAAACACTAAAAATATCCTTTGTTTCAAGTCCAGATATAAATAGAGAAACGGTACCTCAGGTTTGTTACGCCAAGAGGTGCGAATATAGAAATATCACTCTGAGACCACGGTAAAATACAGTAGTATCATTGCCTACAAGTAAAGAGATATTCATGTCAATTCGAAATGACGTCCATCAAAATATGGAGACTCGGAATTGAAATTCGAGCCCCAATGCCAAATTCGGTGTTCGGCTGCCAAAAAATAAAATGGTATTAGCATTGGCCTAATGTCAAAAAGTTTCTACTATCATGATTTTGGACTTCACATTATTATTTGGGATTCCAAAACTTGGAGTTGAACTGTTCGAGGGTTATAACCGGGTTAATACCGGGTCATAAGCTATCTGGATCTCCCCACCTTTTAACCATTTTTACGGCCTAATTTTTTTTTTCTTCTTCTCTCATCGACAAGTCTCTGAGCGGACGACTTCTCCATCTCCACCGCGGCGCAACACCGGCAACATCAACCTCAACGGAACATAGATTCTTTGCCCGATAATCCTGATAAAAATTTCTGGGAAATCATCCTCCGGCCTTCCGTGAAATGTTACAAATGCTGCATTGGCGGCAAGGAATTGGACTGCCAGAATACCCTGTTTCGAAGCAATTCGACCTTTTTCTCCGGCTTCCGACAGTTTCCTTCTTCACCATTCAGCAGTGACCACCTTGTATGTGATCCTCTTCTCCTTCTTTTTCTTTTCTTCGTTTTGAATTTTGGGTTCCATTGTTTTGAGGGATAGATTAGACTTTGATATAGATCTAAGCAAAAATCTTCGATTCAATTCATTTTCTGATGTTTCTTGTTTGGAGGTTCCTCTCTGATTCATGCGTTTGAATTTATCATTGCACAATTTTGATTCTGTCCCCAAAACACTTTAAGTTATATAGAGAAAGGTAAGTAGGTTTTTCTTCATAGGGGTCACTCAAAATAACTAGCAAAATTAGTAATTTTTTGGAACAAGGATCATGTGGATGATTATCCCAAGGTCCTGCTATACCACCAATGATGCATGAGTTCTATGAGGTTAGTGACAAGTATCATCAGTTTATTACTACTTATAGAAGCTACAAGACCTTGCTAATCAATGCGCTGCTATTTGTAGTATTGAATGTTGACAATTTTAAAAACTAGTCTTTCTCTTAGACAAGACCCTATGCTACCCATCTTTTTACGCTGTTTTGGACAAGTACAATCAAACCCATAAATAGGAATAGCCACAATCTATGAGGTTCTTACAGATGGAGGAAATCATTTGGCCAAATTTTATGGATTGAAATGGACAGAATTAGTACAGAGAGAGACATTTATGTATATAGATTGACATTTATGTATATAACTTCCTTTTTCTTTTTTTTTTTGCTTTTTTTGGCAAAGGTTTACTGGGTAGCCATCATCTTTTTCATACTGTGTGTTTATATTTTGTATCCCATTTTAAGTTATCATCAGTTCATTATCATCATTCGGTGTGCATTTCACTCGAGAAGTTCTCGAGAACCGGGTTTCAATTTACTGCTCAAAAGGGTATGTTGAACTTAATATTTTGATCGGTGTGCATTTCACTTGGGAAGTTCTCGAGAACTGGGTTTCAATTTACTGCTCAAAAGGGTATGTTGAACTTAATATTTTGATCGGGGTTTTTGTTTGATTGCTTTAGATTGATTGTATTACTCATGGCCATTGTTACTTCAGTTTGTTACTGTTCGATGTTATTGGAAATGAACTTTCTTTTTTTCGTCATGCTAAAAAGCCGTTTTTTTTTTGTTTTGGTTTCTGTTTTGATGCCGTGAAGATGCCATTTGTACTTCACAGTCCGTGTACATGTAAAGGGGTCACCTCTTCTGTGTATTTTGTGGATTTTACTATAGATTTTTGTTATGAGAACTATAGAATTTGATTATGTTGTTATTACTATGTGGTGTTGTGTTTGCTGTACATGATGGCACAATTATATCGTTTTATTCGGTTTGAATTGTGGAATTTATAAGATTCCTTTTTTTTTCCGTTTCTATTTTTAAGTTTATGAGGAATTTATTAGTGATAACTTTTAGTTTAAAGGTAATAATCCGAATATGTATCTTGTTTATAATCGGGTGTTTATAATATCTTTACTGCAGTTGATAGGAGGGTTGGTAGCACAAGGTAAGCTTTTATTTCCATTTGGCCTCGTTGAGATTAGAGATGGTGTTTTTAGTCTAAGTTTATTCCATGCATATGTTATGTTGATATGTTATATGCATTTAAGTCTTTGGCATGCGAGGATTGGGTTCAGTTGTAGTCATTGGCAAAATTTTGGCATGCTTTTTTGTTTTATTTTTACATTGATTTTGGGCAATGTTGTTTTTTGCAATTTCATTTGTTGTTTGAGAATGTGTTGTGAATCATCCATTTAACTAGAAGTTTTATTGGTTCTTTTACTTTGTGGCCTTCTTACTGGGTTTGTGGTCTTCTTTCTGAAGCTTTTTCAAACTCCCTATTTGCTGGGGTATAGAGCCAAACAAGGAATTCTGATATAAATACAAATTCTGCAGCTCAGAACAGTTACCAATCTCTTCGGAGATGGACTGTGATAGCTGAGGTGTACAAATGGCAATTGTGTAAACTTTTTGAAGCATCCCAATCGAAGATGGCAGAGTACCAGAAATCCCAGTTTCAGCAAGGCCTAAAGTAACCAAATTGCTGCAGCTTCTAATCTCAGAAGGCAAACTGTCTTTGAGATTTTGGTTCCCACCCGCTCTGAAAACTTCAAGGTTGCTCAATTTTCCTATACTCTTTGGGATTTCACCACTGAGCATTGTCAAAGAGAGTAAGAACTTTGAGAGCTGACAAGTTTCCAATGTCATCGGAAATGCTGCCTTCAAGGTAATTGGTGTCGAGGTGCAAAGTTTGAAACTTGTTTAGCTTGCAGATTTCAACTGGGATCACACCTGAGATGGAATTGTCACTGATATCCATGGCAGTGAGCTCAAGATATCATCCAAATTTCCTTGGGATTGTTCCTGTTACGTTGGATTATGAAATAATGAATGTGTTCAACGCTGTGAGTGGTTGCAAATTTGAAGGCATTGGTCCCTGCAAGTCTAATGATCTCAAGCTTATCTGCCCAACTTGGGCTCTTGAATTGCATTGTATCTCGTCCCATTTACAGGGGTTCTGGTCCAGACCGTTCCATGAATTCAATATAGAACCATATTTCTTTGCTTTCTGCAACCATAAATTCAGATAGGTTTTTACGTATTGTTCTCGTATAACCATAACGGTCTAAATAAATTTCAATCGAAATTGTGCATGTTCAACTGAATGTTTAATTGATAATGATTCAAAGGCAGACATTATCTCAATGATGTGATGATGATTCAAATGCAACTTTATCTCAACCGGTTAACTTATTTTTTGCACTAAGTTTTCAGTGTTATCGTTTACTAGTATTTAAGGTATTCTTGTATTTTTTTTATGGTATATACGTGTGATAAATTTACGGGTGCAATCATTTTAATGAATATTTAAATAATTAATAAATTTAATTTTTTTTAAGAGTTTTTTCTTTGTCACTTTAAAAATGGTAACAAAATATGTCTAGCTATTACTCTAAAAATGACACTATTTAACAAAACAAAAAATTAAAAATTGAAATAATTTCAAAATAAACCCAATTTTTTCTTTTTTTTCTTTATTTTTGTAAAAAATAAGCAAAAGTCAAAACCAACCCAATTACTTGACCATCCGACAGAGAATTTAGAATCCTAATTGAATTTGTGACCAATTCCATAATTTTACCGAACAGATGAATTGGTATCAAATTAAAATATCTTGAATGCGAATTGAATTTCAAAATATTCTAATACCAATGTAATTCCAACGCCAAACAACCGAACACACCCTAATGGAATTTATACCAGTTGTTTGATTAAAATTTGCCGCGGGCTTAATTTAAGAACTGAACTCCATTAGTTTGGAGCAATCCTTAACAGTGGCTTAAGGGCATTTGGATGGAACTTCCTTGCAAAAAGATGACAGACTGAGCTGAACCCACCATTGTAACTGCAGTTGGTTCCATAACGAACACGATTAAGAAATGTTTCACTAACTTCATTTCTGACAAATGTCCTCGGATGTGATCCTCCGACTGACCAATCTGTCCAAGTTATGGTCCGATTCGATGTTAATTCAGGGGATACTTTTGTCACCAATGTTGGCAAATAATGTTCATCCATGTAACAAGGAGGCAAGCAATGATTGCTGAAGATTGGGTATATTTTTGTATCAGACACTATTTCAATGGCTAACTTTCTGTTCACTTCAAACCATTGTGACCCTTTCCTCCATTCTGACAATGTAATGGTTGGTGACATTCTCTTCTTGTATCTTCCTCGCCCGACCGGCCTAGGGTCGTCAAAACAGCCCAGATAACTACTGCTTGATCTGATGAGGTAGTTGTAGATTGTGCGGAAGTTGAATAAAGGAATGCATGATTCTGAGAGTAAGATGAACCTTTCATTACAGAAATCAAGAAGCGCGTAAACGCCTCTCTGCATCGATCATTGTTGGTTTTCCCCATTGAACATCCTGCAATGACAAACCAAAGGCAATGTTAGTTAAAGAAAACATGATCTGCTTTGTTTGTTTAAAAGTTAGCATTGTGAAGTATATGTGAAGGTATGAACCTTGCTTGGGATCGTACGCTTGTAGAAGACCGATGTTTCAGGAGGCTCTTTGTTGAACTCTGGTGAGGTATGGAGATAAATGGAGAAATACTTTTGATGCCGTTTGAAGAATCTCTCCCAAAGTGGCCCTAAGGCAAGCTTCCCCTTGTTAGGAACATGAATGCGACTTTTGGAGTACAATTGAATGGGGACTTGACATTATGAGGTACCATTGAAGCTCTCCATAGCAATTCTTCATCACTCATAGAATGCCAAAGATTTTGCGGAGACATTGTCTCGAATAGACTTCCAGTTTCATTACCTGAAGTTTTAACAGATTCCGAAGTTACAGAGGAGCTGCATAGGTTTTGTGAGGATGGAGGGGCTAAAGACGTGGATGGCTGAGGAAAGTAGAAGCCATCATAGATCGAGTACTTCTTCATCCGATCATTGATGAACATTCCAAGAAGCAAAATGAAAAATGCCGTAGAAATACAGAACACTACAGTTGTGATGATTTGGAAACTCCCTTCTCTTCCAACCGGAACGTACAACTTCTTAACAAACATTCTCTTTTGCTATATTCTGCAACGCTTTCCCCAATCTCACCTCTTTACTCACCGCATTTTGGTATTTTATAGTCGCTTTTTTATCTCTAAGACCGTAATTTAGGGAGCCGCTGGGGGTAATAATCGAAGCAGCAGATGGCATGAAAAATGCAAACACAGGCACATGGATCATATCACCAACAGAGAGAAAGGGCAAATAGACGAATATAAGGTGGTAAAAAGCGTTTTCTGCAGTTTAAATGGCAAGGAAACCAAGGAGGTTAAACAAGTAACATGTGATGTGAAATCTTGATTGGTGAACATCAAGATTTAATGCTAGCTAAAAAGATAAAAGTAAAGAAAGAATAATTGAGATTTAATGCTTGGTGAACATCTTCTTTACAAGACTGTTTTACCATGTTCCATCAAAGTCGACCTACCACTACTTATGACATGATTTCATGATAACTTATTTCCAGTAAATTACAGTAAAACCAACCACTGTCATGGCCCCAAAGATCTATGCTGTACATAATACATATTGTTTCTTAAGGAATGTTCCAGCAAGGTAAGCTTGCAATCTATGGAGTGAAAAGTGAAATCGGCATGATCTCTGAAATTGCTGCACTGAGAATTCCTAGAGATAGCACAAATAGAAATATGTCAAGCTCACCATGTGAGTTCTGAGTTTTTCTTTTTTTTTTTCCATGGTTAATGCGAGTTAGAAATTTTCAAGTCATATGTAGCAGACCTTTAAAAAGAAACATGTCGAAGGAAATGCAAAAATTCCAACCTAGAGCAATCAGTATAGCAGGTACTATTTCAGCCCTTTCTCCAGAGTGATTCATATTTAGCATACTTGGTCACTAAATGCAGAAAGCTGTCCTTATTGTTCTCTATAGAGAAACCATGCAATGGAAATATGGAAGCTTGCTTATACAAGAAACAAATTAAATAACAAGTCAGCTATTTGGTTGAATTCTATGGATTATCCCTCAGTTTCACAAAAATATCCCTGTTTTTACTAGATGAAAGGAGTATGAAGCACTCATCAAATAATCATTATTTCAATTCACTAAAGAAAACTGGTTTTCTAAGATTATATTAGGCATATGGAGTCCAGCATAATATTTCGGTATCTGACTTGTTGAATTGGCGATAAATCAATACTTGTCAACTAAAGGAGGTTGTCCATTTTACTCATTCCATGATTTCATCTTTAAAATTTTTTGCTACAACAACACATTCAAGTGATCAATAAAGAAAAACAAAAGAGTTTTATGTGCTTGTGAAGGTTAACCGGAAAATATTACCTTTGGTAACTTGTCCAGCCGGACGATATGATGTAGCTTAAAATATGATCTACCTTTGGTAAAGCATAGGTGAATGAAACTGATGTAGGAAAAAAAAAAAAAGAATTAGGGTTTAAAAATTATTAGGAAATTTTAATTTAGGGAGGTTTTGGTATTTTACAGAATTTTAAGTCTTTTTAGATATTTTCTTTTTTTAAGTTTAGGGTTTTAACTATAAATAGGGTTGCTGTACGTTTACAAAGAGAGTTAGTTTTTATTGATAATTGATTTTAGAACTGCGAGTTCTCTTTCACGGCTGAGTGCCTGTGTTATGGTTTTTATTGATGTTTGTCTAAAAACCATTGCCTTTGTTCATGGTGATCATGAATCAAAGTGGTGTTCCTTCTTTTTATGCTTCCACCCGCATCAATTGGCATCAGAGCCACAGGTTTAAGCCAAGCCGTCAGAGCCGTCAATAATGCATGTTTGCGAGAACTAGAGAATGTGCCGCAACAGATTGAGTGGGTGCATCAAAGGATTGATGATCTCCAGGATGGAATCATCAACTATGTTGTGTTGTTTCTTCAGACTTACTGGAAGGTAATATGAGGGGTGAGATTTTCTCATGTGAATCAGAATTTGATTCAAGTGAGGACCAAAGCAGGTCACCAATTTATGATGTTTACCCAGATGATTTTCTGGATGAACTGGTTGAAGATGGTGCTCTTGGTCTTGTTCAGATTTCTCCGCCAACTGAACCAGTAGTAGACAAGGAGGATTTGGAAGAGCTTGATGAGATTGAAGGCGAAGATGTTGATTTTTGTCCTTTGGCAAAACCTGAGAACTAAGAGGTGACTGGTTTCCAGAATTTAGGCAGTGATGGTTTTTGGATGGATCTGATGAAGATTAAATTCAGCAAAAGTTGGGCTTTATTAAAGAAATTTGGTGACCACATGAAGTTATGATCCTTGTTAGTTCTATCAACTTAAATCCTGCATATCCGGTCATGGTGAGGAAAATTTATGAGTTCATGATCTGCTCAAAACAACAAATTGTTTATGCATGGAGAAGACGAAGAAAGAAGGCTTTTCGAAAGCAAAGGAAGCAATGGGTTGAGTTAATTGGTGATCCTTTTGATTGTGGAAAAGGCAGGCAAAACTCGAGGACGAGTTTTCTTTGAAGCAGGGGAGAGTTGATGCAGGGTAAAATAAGAATTAGGGTTTAAAAATTATTAGAAAATTTTAATTTAGGGAGGTTTTAGTATTTTACAGAATTTTAAGTTTTTTTAGATATTTTTCTTTTTTAAGTTTAGAGTTCTAACTATAAATAGGGTTGCTGTACGTTTACAGAGAGTTAGTTTTTATAGATATTTGATAGTTGATTTCAGAACTGCGAGTTCTCTTTCAGGCTGAGTGCATGTGTTATGGTTTTTATTGTTTTTGTCTAAAAACCATTACCTTTGTTCATGGTAATCATGAATCAAAATGGTGTTCCTTCTTTTCATGCTTCCGCCCGCATCAGAAACAATGTCAAACAATGTTTTTGCCCCATGGCTTTCAAAATGGTTGATTCTCTTGCCCTGCCATTCCAGAGAATTAGAATAAATTAAATTAGTTTTAAAGTAAAATGTAATAGAAGAGGTTCAGCAGCTGATCAAAATGATCTAGTATCGAACTTTCCCACGGATTGGTGTTCATATGTGATTTAAACCAGTATGTTTGCAGATAGGAGAAAATGACAGAAAGGCATAAGCACAAACTGGTACATGAAGAGAAAGAGTAGAACATATTCAAGGTATGAACATAGCATGTGTTTTGGCCACAGGTACTTTTCCATGCATGGGAATCAAAGTTTGGGGAGAGAGATCCATATATTGGTAAGTGGTTCGAAAATTATTGCTAAATAAGTTGGAGGTAATAAAAGAAGATAACTAGGTATCCTAGAACTGGATGAAAGGAACTTCTGTTCCTGTCAAAGTCTACCTAGAAGTCATATTTTGCTCTTCACAGTGTGCAAGGAATCGAGCTAACTTAAAACACTTACATATAGTGGAAAGAGGTTCTAATAGTATATTTGCCTGAAAAAAGCCTGCTTTGTGATCTAGCATGTTAACAATGATTATAGTCTGCACGTTTTTTTTTTTTTTTTTTTTTTTTTCCCGCATGGTGAAGAAACACTTTTGATGTTTTCTCGAAAGCTGTAGAATGGAAAATGTCGATGAAATTTTATGTTGTATGATTTGTAAAAGATGGTAAACAGTAGTAGTATCTTCTCTAAGAAAACCCTACCCAACACAATGATCAGCCATAATCAGCGAATAGGTGGTGACATGAAGTAATTCCATGTGGCTATCTGCATGGCCCTAAATGTGAAATCAAGGAAGTTTACATGTAAAATCAGCTGGAGAGAATACTATGACATCATAAACAAACTGCCAAAAGTGAGGCAGAACATAGATACAAAATGACAAGATCTCCTACCGCCGTCTTTCACAAGACATAAGCTTCCAGTTATAAATTTTATCCCGAAAATAATCCACTTAGACGTACAACCGGATAAAATTCTGCAAACTAAATTGTTTCCTAAACCTCGCCATCTTTTATGTTTCACCACTAAGAACAGTGACTTACAGTTGTGTGTAAACTAGCTTGTTAGCTCAATAACTGGGATCACCAAGGTTCAATACGCAAGTTACTGAAACAATATCTCCCAAAATCTCAAAGGTGTAAATGAAATGAAGTTGAACAATACTCAGGTAATAAATCATTTAAACAAAATCCAAAGGTAACTCCGGAATCATGCATACAGGAAGTAATGATGCGAAACAGATGTTACTGGAGCTGTATAAAATGTAGCTGACCACAAATGCAGATCTCTTCAGAACCGCAAACTGAGACACTTCCAAGAATCAATTATATTTATAAGACAGTTGCAGTTACAATTGTACATCAATTTTGAATCCTTCAGGAATGTCCAGATAAACTGAAAATCTCAAAAAAGTCAATACAGTGGGTCCAAGAAGTTCCCATCAAAATCATATCCTTAAGGTATATGTGTGCCAAGAAGAGTGATACAAATTTGTGTAAGTAATACAATTTGACATTAAAAAAAAAAAAGAAAATGCAAAGGAAATGAATATTGAATTGAAAAATTCAAAACGACAGAGGTCAAGAGCAATAATTTGGACAAGGATTTGTGTCAGGTGAAACTATGAAACTTATGCATATTGTAGTTGACAACAATTTAATTGAGCAACAAACAACTTTCACAGCAAACTCCATGTAACAAACCAGCAATAGAAAATGATAAAATTCACGTCTGCATATTAAGAAAAACTATAAGTAATAGAAATTCCAACCTTTCCCAATTCGACGAATGGTTTCTTCACAAGCCATCATGAAAGCGTCACTGTTGCATTTCTAAACAACAGAAAGAACAGCAAAGAGGTTACAAGCAGTGGGTGCTATTCTTAAACTAGACCAACCAATTTTCCAAAAGCAAATATCACCTGCCATTACTACAACAACAACAACAACCACAACCCAGTATATTCCCAACTCGGTTGGGGTCTGGGGGGTCAAGATGTACGCAGCCTTGTCCCTGTATATCAATACAGAGAGGCTGTTTAAGTAGTACGACCCAAGATGCATTGGTGCATTGATACATTGATTTCCGGAAACTTCACCAAATTAAGAAGCGCCGGAATTTAGATGAGCCATTTTGATCTAATCCATTATTAGCACAAAGCTGAAAGAATTGTCAAAGATCACCTGCCATTACTAATGATATTTATTTTATTAGGAGAAGAGTGTGAAGAAATTCTGTTTCTACATGTACCCAGATTTGTCTATTTACTAAGATTTCCAGGGATAGCAGAAGCATATTTGTCATCAATTACTTGTATGGAGCATAAAAAGCTTTTGCAAATTTATACAGCAGATAAGTGACTTGATACCCTCTTATGCTATGAAGTAGAATTGCATACATAGAAAGAATTCTCATCTCCCGTTTAACTCAAGTTGAGTCACCAAAAAAGGCATTTAGCCAACTATATAAACCACATACATAAATGAAGTGAACCTGTAAACTCCCTTGCATGGCCGTTTTAGTTTCACTCGTCTTCCAGGGAAAAAATGGCATCATAAGAGCCGCGATAGGAAGTTCAGAACCCTATAGCTGATTGCTTGAGCAGAACTTGCGGTTCTACTTTGTACAGGAATAAGTTTAACGCCAGGACGGAATTCTTGACAATTAAATAAGAGATCCAGAATGAGGAACTGGTAGCAACTACGAAATCTATTGATAGAGAATTTAAATGTGCAGAAGAAGAAGTATGCAGCATAAATATCTCAAGGAACCTGTTTGTCTGCAAACAGTAGTTACCAGTTTTAGAAATGTAAAACATAAAACTTGAAGTTGTAATTACTAGTTATAAAAATGTTAAACATAAGACCTGAAGTCGCAAGGTAGGCGTAATTTCCAATTCTCAAATGTTGCCAAGTCATTTAAAAGGCCAAGAGCAACGAATGACCCAATGCAAGCACTGCCAGGTTTCACTTCATGGTGCACATTGTGGCAACTTTCAACTCTCAACCACTTGCAATGCTCTGCAAACAATCAGGACCCAGCTATTAACGTATGGGAAGAACTGAGGTCAACATATGAAAGACAAACTTTGGACTAGGCTTCACTGCATTCAACTAGCACCATTAGTTTTCTGGAGGTAAATCTATAAGTCCCTTGTGCTGTGAAATGAAAATGCCCTATCCAAATGGTTGTAGCTCTAACAGAATCAATTTGCTGATCACATTATAACAAAGCTTATGACTCATAATAACAGGATTATTGAAACATGATTTACATCGCAATTACATCTTCGGCTACAGAACACAAGCCCATCAAAAAGAGTACCAGCTTTATCAAATATGCATCAGAGTTACCAGCTCAGTTAATACAATTTAAACTGAATGAGTCTGGTGTTTGGCAATTCACGAATCTAATTGAACCTACAGCATGTAATCAGACTACCGTCCTCATAAGGTCTTCGGCTTTGTTCAAGGGGGACAAAAAATAGGGCCAAACAAACACCAATCTCAAGTAGAAAACATTTCCACATTCAAATGCAATTAGTGGGTTATGCATTCACTTCTATAGGAGAAATTCACAAAGTTATACAAACATCATTAAAATATTCAGAGTGCAAAATAGGAAACTGCGTTTATAATTATTACCATGTGAACAGAAAATAATTAAATCTTATCAAAACCAAAATACTTATAAGCTATGCCAACCTTTCAGCTTCACATTGTTCGGCACTAAAAGCCCAAGAAGATACACCGTCTTCACAGCTGAAACAGGTCCAAATTCAGGCTCCTCAATACACAACTGGAACTCCAACTCAACATCGTGTCACAAATCCTAGTTGCTCCAATACCTACATTCAGAATTCATTCAGATTATCAGAGTATGAGCATAAGCCGCACAAAGCAAGAAACAAGAGGGCGAGAAGGAGTATCAGCCATCCCTAACCTAAGCCATTCGAAGCATTGCATACATCATTACTTCTGCAATCTATAAAGTTTAGTTTGAAGAAAGCAAAGCAGAGACTTATCAAAAGCCAAAGATTATTTCTTTCAATTACATCATTGAAGATTTATCAAAACCTAACCCCACTCCAAAAAAACTTACACAAGGGGGGAAAATCACAATACTCTGTATAGGAGGAACTTTTGTTACATAGAGATAGTAAATTTCAATCATAGTACAAAATTAACAGCAAGCACAACCATCGTAGTAATAATGGTTTTATGGGTTCCTTATTTAGATAAGGAAAAGAGGATTGAAGCTTAAAAAGATAAACACTTTTCCATAAAAGATCAACGTACCCGGCGGGGTCAGAGCTGAAACGAAATCAAATTGGTTTAAACTTTAAACTGAAGAAGCTCTCCGAGGAAAAAAGATCATGGGTTTTGAAGGGGATTTGTGAATGTGATTGATCATGAGAATAATTCATATGTCGATTCATTTGTTGATCCCGAGAATGATTCATATGTTGATTCTGCGGCTTTCGATGAGTTCTATGGTGATGAATTGACGAGTCTCCGGGCGGGTCAGCAATATTTTTACCATTGCCGGGTCGTTTATTTCTCCTTTTTGGCGGGTTGTTTGTTTATTCTCCTTTTCTTTTTCTAAAAAAAAGAAAAGAAAAAAACCTTTTGTGTTATTTTTATTTTTTTTCCTAGTTTCTACTTTCAAAAATATAGGGGGAAAAAACACACCCCCTGAATTCAGTTTTCAAAAATGTTGCTGCAGTTTTTCTTGTCACTTCCTTCCTTTTCTTTTATTTTGCTTTGGTGCTGTAAAATTTTGTTTTTTTTTTTGTGCTTTCGAATAAAATTAATTGTTTTTTCAATTCACTTAAATTTATTGTAAGGATACCACCAAAAAAAAAGGGAATGAAAGAAAAACAAAGATAAGTACTTTTAAAAACTAAAATTAGAGGATGAAATTTTATTTATTTTTCTATATTTTGAAAATAGAAAATAAAATAGAATGAAAGGGGAAAAAGAAAAAGATAAAATGACACATAAAAAGGGTTTAAACTGTTGTCACTTTAAGTCTCCAAAAAGTGAATGTGATTTTAGTTTTATCATTCAACCAACACCTTATTCGAATTATTAGTATTTAACCATATAATTTATTTTTGAAGAACTTTTCGATTTTCATTAAAGAACCTTTAGCATTATCTCACATTCTAAAATTTGTTGGCACTTGTCTAATTTGCACTCGGAAATTATTTGTTTTAGTTATAGTAAACTGCAACCTAAGTTTCTTTTGTGCACTAGTCATTAAAAAAGAAAAAACTGTAACCAAAGTTTCTTATAATAGAAACTTGCTTTTTTTTTAACCGAAAAAAAATGAAGCTAGTTTTAGTTGTTCCCAAACCAAAATCTAAAATAATAATGTCTATACTATATCTCATGTATATCCATATCTTTAGAAACTTTACCTTATCAAAATTTCAATTATTTGTTCATGGTTGTTTTTTTCTTCTTCTCTCTAGCTTATAATTAATTTATATAATATATCCTCGAAACAAACAAGACAAAATTATTTTATACTGTGTTCCACAAACATGATTATGCGTGACAAGAAGAGGTCAAGTAGCACATGATCCTATCCTATGATTCTTGTTAAAAAGCTTCCATAGTAAGCATATAAAAGTGCATCTATGTACGTCCAGCACTGAAAAGGTGAAGTTGGTTGTTTGTAAGTGAGCTTTTCCCGAAAACCATATAGAAGAAAGCTCTTGACTAGTAGGGAAAAAACACACCAAATTTCTCATCAGTAAAAATCTCAGGGGATGGAAATTCCGTGGACTGTAAACACGTCGAAATTACATTAAATGCAAAAATCATCTAAACCTTAATTATCTTATTTTTAAATATCGTCTCTTTTAATTAACTTCACTTTTGTTTTTGTTTTTTTTTTTCCTTTTTATGTTGTTTGGTGAAATCAATAAGCTTTTTATAGTATTTATATTCTGCTGGCATTAGAAAATTTGTTGATAATTAAAGTTGGTGCAGGGAATATACTTTGTGCAGTTAACAGCTCAACTTAAATGTTGATTTATATTAAATAGGCCAAGGCAAATTCAGCAGCCACCAAATATTCTCCAATTTGCATATTTTTATTATCCATAAAAAGATGTCGGGCAAGGATTAATAGAAAATTATAATCATATTCTAGTAATTAATAATCTATATATATACCACTAACCTATTAAAAAATGGCAACCAACCCTCGTTAGGTTTCCAAAACCAACAAACCCAACAGTTCTCTGAGAATCTCTGGGAAAGGTCAGAAATGGCGGCAGCCGCCCCGAACCATTACCCTCAGATTGGTCCAAATTCCATTATCCCTCATACTTACCTGAAGCCGACAAACAATTCCTCCCTGTTTAGGTTTACATACAGGCCCCGGCCCTGTTCTTCGCTGGACTCACAAACACAAAGATTCAATCTTTCAGATGGGAACACCAGCAATCGACCAAGATTAATGTCTCTTACAGTTAGATCGACAGTCGACCTCCGAGCTAGGCCAACTGGTGGAATAATATCTGAAACTTTCTCCAGATTGAAAGAGCAAGGCCAAGTATGTAACTTTTATTTTCATACCCCTCCCTCGTTTCATTTTATCGTCAGTTGTTTTGTGTTGATTTTGCTGGTTGGTTTCTGGGTCGGACGTTGTTTGGAGAACAGAAAAGGCATCTTTATTACAGTACTTTTTTTTCTTTCTTTCTTTTTTTGAGATGTGTGTGTTTTGTTTTGGGGGGAAGGGATCGGTACAGAATTTCCGCTAGATTTGTGCCTTAATTTGGGGAATTTTTTTTTCCCTTTTTTCTTTTTCGTTTGTAGTTGTATTTTTTTTTTTTTTTTCCTTTTGTTCTTGTTTTCCCCTTGTATAAATAGGCAAGTGCACAAGGGTCATAAAGATACAACAACATTCAATTCCTTTCATTAATGTGTTGAATCTTTCAGTCATAATTTTGTTAACAAACTCCAAATCTCCAAGCTAAGTGTAAATACACAGCTTTTTAATATGTTTAATGCCTTCAGATTGCATTGGCGCATTTACCATCAAAGGACAAGGACCCTTCGACAACAGTGGCAGCATTGAAGTGTCTAGGAGCAACTCATTCTGATGCTTGGGATGATGATCCAGATACACAGGTCTGCGATAAGGATATGATCACGTATTTAAGCTTAGGGTTTTGGTATCTTAAGCTGACTTAAAGTTTGTTTGTTGTTCTCGCTGTTTTCGCAAGGATGCTCTGGCGGCAGGGGCAACAAAAAATGATACAGTATTGTCCATGCGGAAGAGTGTAAGCCTCTATGAGTGATTGAGTTCTTCCTTATTTTTGAACTAGAAATACATGTGTTGGTTGAGCAGAGCAAAACTTAACATTCTTGTGAAGTTTTTTTTTTTTACTTAACTATCATTTATGAAATATAAATATATATATATATATGTGTTGTGGCGGAAAGGGTATAAATACAACAAACCACGGAAGCGAACCCCAAGAAAATCTCATTTCCTACTACCAATAAAATAGGACAACTACCCAAACAAGCAACTGATTCAAGAACTGATAAAATAAAGGAGGCACGCAAATTTACGTGGAAACCCAAATCGGGAAAAACCACGGGACTGTAACAACAGTCAAATCTCCACTATCACAATAATGAGAAAACAGTCTTCACCGACTGGTGGATACACAGGACTTCACCCAAAGGTGGATTACAACAATACTCTTCCACACACACCTATCACAAAGTAAGACTGGAAGGATCTAACCAAAAGAGAGCTAAACCGAAAACTAAACCCTAGCTTTCTTTCTTTTTCTCTCGTACAAAAACAATGCACGGCTGCCCAAATTTTTCTTTTCTCTTGGCTGAAAAATACACATCTAAAAATTATGCCAAAGCCTTGCTTTTATAGAGCAAAAAAAAACCTAAAAAACAAAAACCCAATTGGAGTGGGTTTTGTTCCTAAAACCAAATTGATTTGGTTTCAATCACTGCTGGGCCTAATTTGAGGGGAACTCGGGCCCAACAATCTCCCCCTTCACCTCAATTGGGGTAAAACCAAACCCGCTTCCTGTCTGCAAAACAGGAGCTTGTCTCTACTCACAGTCTTCGTCAACATATCGGCACCGTTGTCATCCGTATGAATCTTCTCAAGAAACAACGCCTTGGACTCCAACACATCTCGAATGATATCTCACATCAATATGTTTTGACCGCGAATTAAATGTGGAATTTTTCGCTAAGTGAATAGCACTCTGGCTATCACAATACACCACATACTTCTCTTGCTTCATGCCAAGCTCTTGTAGAAACTTCTGCAACCAAAGTGCTTCCTTACAAGATTCAGTAGCTGCGATAAACTCTGCCTCTGTAGTAGACAAAGCAACACATTTCAGCAATCTACTCTGCCATGAAACTGCTCCCCCTCCATAAGTCATCAAGTAACCAGAAGTAGACTTCCGACCATCCAGGTCACCCGCCATATCAGCATCTGTATATCCATCTAACATGGTCTTCCCATTGCCAAAGCAAAGACTCAATCTGGAAGTACCCCCTAAGATACCTGAGAATCCATTTCACAGCATTCCAATGCTCCTTACCAGGGATTGGAGAGAAACCGACTAACAACTCCAACTGCATGAGCTATATCTGGCCTTGTGCAAACCATCGCATACATTAGGCTGCCAACTGCCGAAGCATAAGGAACCTTTTTCATCTCTTCCTTATCTTTCTCACTTTTAGGACACTGCGTTTTGCTTAGCTTAAAATGCCCTGCAAGTGGAGTCGAGACTTCCTTAGCACCGCTCATGTTAAATCTATCAAGAACCTTCTCGATATACTTCTCTTGAGATACCCAAAGCTTCCCATTCTGTCTGTCACGAGAAATCTTCATCCTAAGGATCTGTTTAGCCGGACCCAAATCCTTCATCGCAAAGGATTTATTCAACTCCTTTTTCAACCTAGCAATCTTTGCAGTATCATGACCAACAATCAACATGTCATCGACATAAAGCAAAAGAATTATAAAATCACCATCAGAGAATTTCTTCACAAACACACAATGATCAGCTGTAGTCCTTTGGTATCCCTGCCCTATCATAAAGGCATCAAACTTCTTGTACCATTGCCTCGGAGCTTGCTTCAATCTATACAAGCTTTTGTTGAGACGACATACAAGCTTTTCTTTCCCCTTCTCCTGGAACCCATCTGGTTGCTCCATGTAAATCTCTTGTTCCAAATCACCATGCAGGAAGGCTGTCTTCACATCAAGTTGTTCAATCTCAAGATTCAAGCTGGCTGCTATCCTAAGCACAACTCGGATCGAAGACATCTTTACAACAGGAGAGAATATCTCATCAAAGTCTACGCCCTTTCTCTGATTGAATCCCTTCACAACCAATCTGGCTTTGTACCTCGGATGTGAGCTGTTCTCACTTGTTTTTACTCTAAACACCCATTTATTCTTGAGTGCTCTCTTGCCCTTAGGCAGCTTCACCAGGTTATACGTGTTATTCTCATGCAAGAATTTGATCTCATCTTGCATGGCTGCTAACCACTGATCTTTCTGCTCATGACTAAGAACCTCTTCATACGACTCTGGCTCTCCCCCATCAGTAAGCAACAAATACTCATGAGCACTGTACCTGGTGGAAGGTCTCGTCTCTGGTGGACCTCCTAGGCTGAACAGGAGGTGATGAAACCGGTGGTGTCTCTGTTTCATTAGCAGGATCATCATCAAACTCACCATCCTGCTCTGTCTCAACTCCCCCTTCAGGAGAATCATCTGATTGTGGAGGAACTGAATCTAAATCAACAAGAATTTCAGGTGAAGATTCTGGCATCTCGCCTTTTCCCATATCATCAATGGTTTGGTCTTCAAAGAAGATCACATCTCTGCTTCTGAAAACTTTCTTCTCTACAGGATCCCAAAGTCTGTACCCAAAATCATCATTTCCATACCCCAAGAATACACACTGCTTGGATTTGCCATCAAGCTTCGACCTTTCATCTTTGGGAATATGAACAGAGGCACGACAACCAAAAACTCGCAAATGCCTAAATGAGACATCTTTCCTTGTCCAAACTCGTTGTGGTAGATCACCATCCAACGGAACTGAGGGAGATAGGTTGATCAAATCAACTGCTGTCTGCATGGTTTCACCTCAAAAAGATTTAGGCAGCTTTGCATTCGAGAGCATACACCTAACCTTTTCGGTAATAGTTCTGTTCATTCTTTCTGCCACGCCATTCTGCTGCGCAGTCTTCGGAACACTCTTCTGAAGTTTAATGCCATGGTCTCGGCAATACTTCTCAAACGGACCCCTGTACTCACCACCATTATCTGCTCGAACACACTTCAACTTCTTGCCAGTCTCTCGTTCAACTCTAAGGTGAAAGTCTTTGAACACATCTAATACCTGGTCTTTAGATTTCAAAGAAAAACACCAAACCTTTCGAGTATAGTCATCAATGAAGGTAACAAAGTACAATGCTCCACCCAACGACCTATCTTTCATGTAACATACATCTGTATGAACTAACTCTGGGGGACTGGACTTCCTAGATGGAGGAGAATTTTGAAAGGAAACCCTATGTTGTTTACCATAGATGCAGTCAACACAAGATTCTAGAACAGTACCTTTCACCTTTGGGAGAAATTGCTTCTTACCAAGAATCTGCAACCCCTTAACACTCATGTGTCCAAGCCTTCTGTGCCAGAAATCAATGGAGGTATTGTGAGTCGCATTCACCTCTCCATTCTTCAACTTTGCATTCAACACATACAAAGAGTTCAACTTCTTTCCTCTAGCAATAACAAGATTCCCTCTGGTAATTGTCCAACGGCTACCACCTTCAGTGCTATGATAACCCTCATCATCAAGTTTACCAACGGAAATAAGGTTCAAACGCATATCCGGAACATGTCTGACATTCTTCAAGACAAGAGTACAACCTGTATTCGTTACCAATGATACCTCTCCCATGCTGACAACATCGCATGAGGCTTGGTTGCCCATTCTTACACGACCAAAATCTCCAGGTATGTAAGAGGTAAAGAAGTATCTGTGAGGCGTCACATGATAAGACGCACCTGAATCACCAAACCAATCACTGTGTTGACTCACAACATTAATTGTATCATCATCACAGTACACAAATACATCACTGGTAGTTACTACTGCAGTAGTGTCATCATCACTTGATTCATCCTTCTTGCCTTTACCTTTTCTCGCTGCTAGTTCTCTCTTGAGAACCCTGCACTCCCTCTTAAAGTGCCCATTCCCTTGACAATGGTAGCACACGACATCTTTCTTGGATTTAGACCGTCCCCTGGACTTGTCATTCCGATCACGTGGCCCTCTGCTTTTACTTCTCCCTCTTCTATCTGACTTTTTTGTCACCAAAGCCTGCGACTCAGACTCAATACTCTGCTCTTTTCTCCGACTTCTTCATTCATCAAAGCCTCTTTGACTGATCCAAGGTCAAGACACCATCCTGGGTTGAATTCTGATTGATACTACCAAAGTGTCCCAACTATCCGGAAGAGAACTAAACAATAACAAAGCTCGCACCTCATCATCCAACTTTAAACCTACATTCACAAACTTAGTTCAACAAACCCCGAAACGAACTCAAGTACTCATTCATGCTAGCACCATCTTTGTACCTCAACACAGTAACTGTTTCAGTGCAGATGACTTATTGATGCCGGACTTCTTCCAAGACATATTCGGATTTTCTCCCACAGATTATCGCCTTTTGTTTCTCCCGAAAAGTGATGAAACACACTTTGATCAATCCACTGTCGAATATTACCAACAGTCTTCCTGTGCATATCAACCCACTTTTTATCAGTCATATCACTTGGCCTACCTTCATCCCCTAGAACAGGATCAAACAAATCTTTGCAATACAACAAGTCTTCCATTCTAGGCTTCCACATATGATAATTGGATGAAGTCAATTTAATCATCGTACCAGTACCCGATGACTCTTCCATTTTATTGGTGTAACACCTCAACTACCAAACCGTAGCTCTGATGCCACTGTTGTGGCGAAAAGGGTATAAATACAACAAACCACGGAAGCGAACCCCAAGAAAATCTCCGTTCCTACTACCAATAAAATAGGACAACCACCCAAATAAGCAACTGATTCAAGAACTGATAAAATAAAGGAGGCACGTGAATTTACGTGGAAACCCAAATCGGGAAAAACCACGGGACTGTAACAACAGTCAAATCTCCACTATCACAATAATGAGAAAACAGTCTTCACCGACTGGTGGATACACAGGACTTCACCCAAAGGTGGATTACAACAATACTCTTCCACACACACCTATCACAAAGTAGGACTGGAAGGATCTAACCAAAAGAGAGCTAAACCGAAAACTAAACCCTAGCTTTTTTCCTTTTTCTCTCGTACAAAAACAATGCACGGCTGCCTAAATTTTTCTTCTCTCTTGGCTGAAAAATACGCATCTAAAAATTATGCCAAAGCCTTGCTTTTATAGAGTAAAAAAAACCTAAAAAACAAAAACTCAATTAGAGTGGGTTTTGTTCCTAAAACCAAATTGATTTGGTTTCAATCACTGCTGGGCCCAATTTGAGGGGAACTCGGGCCCAACAATATGTCATGGATTAGCTTTAGTTTTTCAACATCTTGGATAATTCTTATCCATGGAGGATGGGAGTGAAAGAAAAAAGTTGTTTTGGGGGTTTTATTAATAGAGGAAAGTTTTGTATTGTTATAATCGTTAGGAGAAGCCTTGAAAAACAAAAGAGAATAAGAGCTTGGGGGGAGGGAGGAGGGAGGATAATCCCGCCAAGAAACTGTAATATGTTGTATAGAAGCCCATGGGGTTCCACCTCAAAACCAATTGGCAATAAGGGGAGCAACCCATGGTACTTATATACTGATACAAAGTGTCTCCAGAAACCAATGTGGGATAAATACTTCAACACTCCCTCTTAAGCCCCCCACCTCAAAACCAATTGGCAATGAGGGGAGTAGCCCATGGTGCTTATATACTGATACAAAGTGTCTCCAGACACCAATGTGGGATAAATACTTCAACACTCCCTCTCAAGCCCAACGGGCTTGGACTAAATCACCAGGATCAGGAAATAAACCGTGGAATAACATCACAGGCCGCGGAATAACATCGCGGATTTAAATTGGGCCACGGAATAACATCGTGGGCTTGAAATCACCACAAGCCGAGTCCACTCTGATATCATATAGAAGCCCATGGGGTTTCACCTCAAAACCAATTGACAACGAGGGGAGTAGCCCATGGTGCTTATATACTGATACAAAGTGTCTCCAGACACCAATGTGGGATAAATATTTCAACATGTTGTTGTTGAGGCAGGATGAACATGACACACTACTTTAATTATTGTCATTGCTTCATGGAATTTGAATGTTTTGGTCTCATCCTTTTGTTTTCTCGCAGACTGGATCTCAGTTTATTTGTCCAATTGCAACGTTGATATACTATAATGAAAGACTTAAGTGTGGTGTTGAAAAGCTCATGGCCACTGTCAGAGATGTCAAAGAACAAGGTTCGTGTTTAGTTCTATGGATTCCTTGCATGTACATGTTTTTAATTTTTCAATCTTCTGCTTTATGCTTTCGGTGCGCAAGATGGAACTCTGGATTGCATTCATGATTATAATTTGCTTGAGCTTGTTCCTGGTTTGCATAGAAGTCAACATAATCAGAGGAATGTCCAGATAATTGAGGCTTTGTTGAACCAGACACTCCTAAGTAAAATTTCAACTGATTCTTTTTGCTGCTTCCCTTGAAGACGTCTCCTTTTCTAGCCAGATACTCCCGAGTAAAATTTCAATTGATTCTTTTTGCTACTTCTCTTGAAGACGCCTCCTTGACTGCAACTCTTTCTACCTGCAAGAAAGCTGGGCGTACCCCGTCACTGCGGTTAGATGCCAGGACCTTCACCACTAATCCTCCACTCATTGGCAACTAATTCAAAATCTCGGATTGAATTTGAGATTTTGGTTAAGAGATATTTTAAATGAGAGTTTAAAATGATGTTTGGATAACTTTTGAATTAAAAAATTAATTTATTTACCACCGTCGAACTACTACTCGCCGCCAGGTGACTGAATCTCGGCCAACATCTGACGAGTTAGCTGAAATCTAGCCGGTCCGGCAATGGTTTGGTGGCGGCAAGTTGTGGTTCGGAGGCTGTTGTGGTTGAAAATTATTTAAAAGAATATTTGACATAGTTTTAAAAGGTAAATTAACTTGTTGTATGGATAGTATCTATTTTGTATTGAAATTTGCATTTAAGATGTGTTTTAATTTATTTTTTCTTTTTTGTTTTGAGTAGTTGAACAAGCATGCACTTAACCTTGTTTGTTGAATTTCGTGGTGTTCTCGTGTTACTTTTATTAATTGAAGCACGACGATCTGTGTTGATTGAAAATCACATTTTAGTAAACGAGCTTCCTGTTGACCAATCTTTCACGCTTTCTCAGAACTGTCCTTGTTTGAAATGCGAAGTGGTACAATTTTAGCGCCAACAATTTGGATCATCTTGAAATATACGCATGAAAGCCCAATAAAAAGTGGCCCAAATCAGTCTCAAAACCTTAAAACTAACAATTTAGGTCTTTATAATTTTTTTTTAAAAAAATACCTTCATTAGTTAGAGAAAGCTAGAATATTACATTGCACCCTGTTATATGCCAAATTATGTATTTTACGAACGTCTTGTATATGAACTTTAATCCGTTCATAAGATTTAAAAGAGGTCATAAGGGTAAGTAATAGAGAAACTACGTTGTGGGCTTCAGTAATCCGAAGATATTGCATACCCAAGGCAACTTAAAAACAAAGAAAACCTCTTGTAGACTTGGTCTAGTGTGTGTGTGGCATTCTGGCAAAGGCTATTGATAGAGAAATGATAATGAAGCATACCCCAGAAAGCGGCCTGAAGGATACATATCTTATATTGTGGCCGACATGCAAAAATTAGAAAGTGCTGAATTGCAATTTTTATTGCCAAATGCAATAATATCAAAGAACATGACCCGTGGAAGTCGATGGACTGGAGTTTGTTCTACTACCAAGTCGTCTAAAACCAATTCGCAAAGAATGAAGTGGTACAATTCAAGCATGTTATATATCCTTCCGTCGCTAAATGATTGTACTGTTGTTGTACTAAGAATGTTTCGGAAATGATTGACGAGACTTTGTTCTATTTTTAGTACAATAAGTAGGCCAGTTATTTTGGGTGAGAGGTGTAGGTCTCGCCTTAGCTTTGGGTTTTCAAAACAGGCCATTGGCACAATGTATCTAAAACATCTTCAATCTAATTTCAAAAGTTGAATTGCTCTAATATTGAAAATTAAGTTCAACCTAACATCTTCTATTTCGTGTACCACGTTGAACATCACTTTGTTCGGTTGTTGTGAAGACCTCGGACACATCAGAAAATAAAAATAATAAATATTGCAACTGTGTGTTCAGTTTTCTATCTTCCCATGGACAAATCGTTTTCTCAAGGCCTTACAAGTCAGATGATGATGCTGATGTCCCTGAAGTGTCTCGTTTATTGGGTCGTGCGTCTTCAGTGCCATGTTTCTGATGATTGTTCAACGGGTGTCGAAATGGTTGGTCCAAGGAACCTCTGTGTCAATGCTAAAAATGGCAGCCTTGACACATGTTAGACTAATGAAGAAAGCTAACTACTAAATATTCCGCCTCTACATTCTTACCAGTTTGATTCTGCTGAGTTTTTTCTGTACCATTTTATGGCGGTTGCCTTTTCGCAATGAAATGCTTAGGTTAGTCATTCTTGGTTCATTTCCTGACTGTGGCTTTGATTGTCTTGACTCAGGAAAGAAGAAATTACCACTCATTCTTGGCTCAGGTAAATTTCTGCGTTGAATACTTAAAAGTTACAACTACTTCCTTAAGAAGCCTGATCATTTGCTCATAACCCTCGTCAATAGTTGGATGTTTTCGTTCAATTGTGCCGACGTTCGTGGACAACTTTTTTTTTATGGATGTGTTTTTTAATATACTTTCTGTCGTTTTTTATGTATCGCAGTTGGAGCTGGATGTGTGCTTTTCATGCTTGCAAATGGGAGTTACAAGAAAGGAATTTACAATTATGCACATTTTCCTTCATGGAACTCCTCAGGAATAGAATTTGAAGATGAAAGCGTTGACTTAGGAGGAGTACGTATCTTCAGTGTCTCTGAACTTAAAAAGGCTACCAACAATTTTGATCCCACTACTAAACTTGGTAGTGGAGGTTTTGGAGCCGTTTACCTCGGTAAGGATGTTACATTAGCAAAGGTTTTATTTTTGTCCCTTAAACACACACTAGTTTTTCACTCTTTCTTTGCAGCAAACAAAGAAGTGGTTATGGACTAATTCTACCTTGCAATGAATATTGTGTATGATCCAGGCATACTTCCTGATGGAACAGAGGTTGCAGTGAAGTGTCTCTATAGACACCATAAGCAAGAGGAACAATGTATGAATGAGGTTGCGCTTCTGACCCCTTTGACACATCCGAATCTAGTTACCCTCTATGGCCGCACATCTAGGCGTAGTGGTAAACTTCTCCTCGTTTATCAGTATGTTCCTAATGGCACACTTGCGGATCATCTTCATGGCGATAGAGCCAACGATAAGCACCTCACGTGGGATCTCCGGATGAAAATTGCCATTGAAACTGCTGAGGCATTGGCCTACCTCCATGCTTGGGGTATAATTCACCGCGATGTGAAGACCAACAACATACTCCTCGATCATAACTTCTGTGTCAAGGTTGCCGATTTTGGACTTTGTAGGCTTATCCCAGCTGAGGCCACTCATGTCTTCACCGCTCCTCAGGGTACTCCTGCATATATTGATCCTGAATACTGTCAATCTTGGCAACTTGGTAACAAAAGTGATGTGTATAGCTTTGGTGTTGTCCTCGCTGAGCTCATCTCGTCAATGCCTGCCTTTGATAGACGCAGACCTGAGACCCTTTTGGCTAACTTGGCTGTTGACAGGATTCAGAAATGTGCATTTGATGATTTGATTGATCCATCTCTTGGGTACAAGACGGATGCTGAGGTTTTGAGGATGACAACATCTGTAGCAGAGTTGGCTTTTCGTTGTTTGCAGCTTGAGAAAGAAATGAGGCCTACGATGGAGGAAGTCCTGGAATCCTTGAAAGAGATCCAGAACTTGAAACAAATCTGAACTGAGAATGCTTATGATAGCTAGTCAAGATGGACTTCATGAGAGAAGATTCATCCAAGCGGCGGATTAAGTTCCTCCCACTTCTCAACGGCAGATAGAGTTTTGCAGAAAGAACGTCAACATAGAGTTTGATTTGTCAGAATTTGCTGTAGTTTTTTTTTTTTTTTTTGATAGAAGAATTTGCTGTAGTTTGAGTAACATTTAAATATTTTTTTCCCCATTCAAAACATTAATGATTATAAGCTGGAAGTCAAATCCATAATTTTGAAATAGTCAATATCCAGGTTACCCCACGAATCTGAAAAATGATTACAGGGAAAAGCAATGCCCGCGAAGAAACATTATCAATCTCAACAAAGTGATGACCTTAGTTTTTCCCGTTGCAATCCTGCTCCATTATCTTATAACCCAACACAAAGAAAATTCTGGAATATAGACTAATCTTTAATTTGCTTCTAACCTAATTCAAGAACTGAACTCCATTAATTTTGGAGCAATTCTTAACAATGGCTGAAGGGTGTTTGGATGAAACTTCCTTGCAAAAAGATGACACACTGACCTCATCCCTCCATTGTAACTGCAGTTGGTTCCATAACGAACACGATTCAGAAATATTTCACTAACATCATTTCTGACAAATGTCCTAGGATGTGATCCTCCGACTGACCAATCTGTCCAAGTTATGGTCCGATTTGATGTTATTTCAGGGCATACTTTTGTCACCAATGTTGGCAAATAATGTTCATCCATGTAACAAGGAGGCAAGCAATGATTGCTGAAGATTGGGTATATTTTTGTATCAGACACTATTTCAATGGCTAACTTTCTGTTCACTTCAAACCATTGTGACCCTTTTCTCCATTCTGACAATGTGATGGTTGGTGACATTCTCTTCTTGTATCTTCCTCGCCCGACTGGCCTAGGGTCGTCGAAACAACCCAGATAACTACTGCTTGATTTGATAAGGTAGTTGTAGATTGTGCTGAAGTTGAATAAAGGAATGCATGATTCTGAGAGTAAGATGAACCTTTCGTTACAGAAATCAAGAAGTGCGTTTGCTAGTAAACGCCTCTCTGCATCGATCATTGTTGGTTTCCCCCATTGAACATCCTGCAATGACAAACCAAAGGCACTGTTAGTTAAGGAAAACATGATCTGCTTGTTTTTTTAAAAATTTGCATTGTTTGGAGGTGGTGTATATGTGTGAAGTTCTGAACCTTGCTTGGGATCCTACGCTTGTAGAAGACCGATGTTTCAGGAGGCTCTTTGTTGAACTCTGGTGAGGTATGGAGATAAATGGAGAAATACTTTTGATGCCCTTTGAAGAACATCTCCCAAAGTGGCCCTAAGGGCAAGCTTCCCCTTGTTAGGAACATGAATGCGACTTTTGGAGTGCATTTGAATGGGGACTTGACATTATGAGGTACCATTGAGGCTTTCCACAGCAATTCTTCATCAGTCATTGAATGCCATAGATTTTGTGGAGACATTGTCCCGAACATACTTCTGGTTTCATTACCTGAAGTTTTAGCAGATTCAGAAGTTGAAACAGAGGAGCTGCATAGGTATTGGAAGGACGGAGGGGCTAAAGATGTGGATGGCTGAGGAAAGTAGAAGTCATCATAGATCGAGTACTTCTTCATCCGATCGTTGATGAACATTCCGAGAAGCAAAATGAAAAATGCCATAGAAATACAGAACACTACAGTTGTGATGATCTGGAAACTCCCTTCTCTTCCAACCAGAACATAGAACTTCTTGACAAACATTCTCTTTTGCTATATTCTGCAACGCTCTCCCCAATCCCACCTCTTTACTTACCGCATTTCAGTATTTTATATTCGCCTTTTTATCTCTAAATGCACAATTTAGGAAGCCGATGGGGGTAAGAACTGAAGCAGCAGATGGCATGAAAATGCAAGCTCAAGCACATGGATCATATCACCAACAGAGAGAAAGGGAAAATAGACTGGAATATAAAGCGGTAAAAAGCGTTTTCTGGTGTTTAAAAGGCAAGGGAACCAAGGAGTTTAAACAAGTAACATGTGATGTGAACTCTTGGTTAATGCTAGCTTGCAAGGTAAAAAGTAAACATAGAATAAATGTGAGTTACAGAGTAGTAAACATTTTCTTTACAGTTTCTTTTCCAAGTCAGCGAGAAGGATGCTTATCGCAAGATTGTATTCTATCGAAGTCCACCTACCACCACAGATGACATACTTACATGAAAAACTTAATTCCTGGAGCAGTAAATTACAGCAAAACCGACCACAGATATGGCCCCAAAGATCTCTGCTGTACGTAATACATATTGTTTCTTAAGGAATGTTCCAACAAGGTAAGCCCGCAACCAACGGACTAAAAAATGTAATCGGCATGATCTCTGAAATTGCTGCACTGAGAACTCCTAGGGATTGCATAAACAGAAAAGATCAAGCTCAGCAGGTGGTTAATAATTTCCAAGTAATACGTAGCAAACTTTGAAAAGAAACATTCAGCAGAAAATGCATTAATTTTCCAACCTAGAAGATTCTGTATATCAGGTCCTATTACATCCCTTTCTTCAGAGCAATTCATATTTTGCATACTTGGTCACTAAATGCAGAAAAGCTGTGCTTAAAGTTCTCTACAGAGAAACCCTGCAATGGAAATATGGGAGTCTACTTATACAAGAAATGAAAAGAATAGCAAATCAGCTATTCTGTATAATTTTATTAACTTTTGAACTTGGTTAAATCTAGATGTGCCTTAGTGTACTTGAGCTTTATATGCAAAGTTGTTGAACTAAACAACCAGGAATGTTGTCAATTGTCATGGGACAGACAAGTATGAAGCACTCATTAAATTATTACTATTTCAGTTCACTTATAAATATTAATTGCCCCACAAAAGCATAGACAGCTTTTTAAGATTCAAGCATGTTATTACGTAGTCCAGCTTATATATTGACATCTCTGACTTGTTCAATTAGTGATAAATCTATGGTTGTCTACTAAGGAGTTTGCCAATTTTACTCATTCCATGATTTCATTTAAAAAAATTTTACCAGTGACAATATACACAACTGATCTATAAAGAAAAACAAAGATAGCTCCTGAAAATTTACTACCTTTGGCAACTTGTCCTGCTGGACAAGATGATCCACATGTAGCTTCACATTTGATGCAGCATGAAACCATAGGCTACGATCAACTTCAGCATAGGTGAATGAAACAATGTCAAACAATGTTTTTGCCCCACCTTCAATGGCTTTCAAAATGGTTGATTCTCGTGCCCGGCGATTTCTGAGAATTGGAGTTGTGTAAAATTAATTTTAAAATAAATTTGAGATCTTCAGGTAGACGAGGTTCACAGCAGCCTATCAAAATGATCTAATATTGAACTCTCCCCATGGATTGATGTTCATATCTGATTCAAGCCAACGCATTTGCAGAGAGGACAATTACATAAAGGGCTCATGCACAAACTGTATTTGAAGAGAAAGAGTATAACATACTTAAGGTACGAACAGAGCATGTGTTTTGGCCAGATGTTAATCCTTCCATGCATGGGAATCAAATTATGAGGAGAAAGATCCATAAAATGGTAGGTCGTCCGAAAATAATCCTGCAAAAAATGTAGGAAGTCTCAAAATTCTACAAGATCTTAATAAAAATTAAAAATATATATATAAAAAATAAAATAAAAAGGAGATAAGAAGGCATCCAAGAACTGGAGGGAAAGTACTTCTGTCCAGTCATAGTCCACCTAAAAGTAATAATTGATTATTCACAGTGTGCAAGGAGTCAAACCAACTTAGAAACACTTTTGACAGTTACTGGTTGCATATAGTGGCAAGAGGTTCTAATTGAATATTTGCCTAAGAAAAGCCTGCTCAGTGATCTGAAATTTTTGCACAGTTGATATGGGAAGGGAATGGTTGAAACTTGTATCAATTTGTCACTGCCTGTGAGTCATTTGCGATGTGTAGACAAAAGTAAAATAAACTGTTCATCATCTGTCATTCAAACAAACATTTGTGCTCCACTTACACTCATATTGCCACCAGATGTCGAATCCAACAAAGCACTTCCTTGACTACAAGAGAAATTAGATTATAAGATTAGCTGTTTTCTGGAAAGATACAGAATAGAAAACATTGGTGAAATTTTATGTCATATGAATTGTAAAGATGGTAAACTGTAGTAGGATCTTTTCTGAGAAAACCCTACCCAACGCAATGATCACCCACAATCAGTGAATTGGTGCTGACATGAAGCAATGCCATATGGCCATCTGTATGACCCTAAATGAGAAATCGAGGGAGCTTGAACATTAAATTAAATCTAAAGACATGTTATGCCATCATAAACAGATATGCCAAAGTGAGGCAGAACACAGATACAAAATGCCAAGATCTCCAAATTTCATCCCAAAAATCACCTCCTTAGAGTTAGAGCTCTTAGAACTGGAAAAAATTTCTGTAAATTAAAATGTTTGTTACATAAAAATCAATGACCCAACTTTAAGTTTCCCCAGTTAGAGCAGTGGCTATTAATCTATTATCTAAGCTGTGAGTGTGAATACCTGGTTAGCTCAGTTAATATGATCTCAAGTTCAAATATGTTTACTAAGACATTGGATAAGCAAGTTACTGAAACAATAACTCCCTAAATCTCAAAGGATAAGATAAAATGAAGTGCAAAAATACAGAGTCAGTAAATTATCTAAATAAAATTCAAACGTAACAACAGAATCATGTGTACAGGAGAAATCGAAGGAAAAGTTGACAGAAAAAAAGAAAAGAAAAGAAGGATTGGAAACAGATATTACTGGAGCAGAAATAATTTGAAGTCGCTGACCACCAATGCAGATCTCTTCAGAACCGCAAACTGATACACTTCCAAGAGACCAATTATCTGCATAAAAAACAAGAGGAGTTTAGATTATACATCCACTTTGAACCCTTTAGGAACATCCAAATAAACTGGAAATATCAATAAAAATTGTTACTTGCGGGCTTTACAAGTCCTATCAAAATCATCCGAGGAAAGTGATATAAATTTGTGCGATGCATAATTGTGACATGAAATTGGAAATGAAAAGGGAATGACTTATTGAACTAAAAACTTCAAAACCAATTTGAGGTCATTACAAGAGCAATAGTTCGAACAAGGACTTGTGTCAAGACACACTATCAAATTTGTGCATATTGCAGTTGCAAACCAACACTCTAATTGAGCAACAAACCAGTTTCATAGGAAAAACTATGCTACAAACCAGCATGAGAATGATAAATTCCCTGCCTGTATACTAAGAAAAACTGTAAGAAAATGGAAATTCTAACCTTTCCCAATTCGACGAATGGTGTTTTCATGAGCCACAATGATAGCTTCACTATTGCATTTCTGCACAACAGAAAGCCCTGAAATAAAGATTGTTAGTTGTAGGTACTATTTGTACTCACAAAAGGCCAATTAATCTTCAAAAATCAAAAGATCATCTGCACTTATGATATTTATATTTTTAAGGAGATGAGTGTGAAGAAATTCTGTTTCTACAAGTACCTAGATTTGCTTATATACTGACATTTCCAACGATAGAAAAAGCATCTTCATCATCATTTACTTTTGTGGAGCATAAGTAGCCTTTACAATCACATACAACAGATAACTGATTTCTAATCCTCTGATGCTACGAAGTAGCAATTGCACATATATAGGGAACTCTAAACTTCTGTTTTATTCTAGTTAAGCTATTAAAATTTAAATATAAAATAATAATTAAAAAAAAAAAAGCAATTAGCCAGCCATATAAACCACATACATGAAAGAGAAAAATCCCATGCACGACCAGTAGGTTTCACTAGTCTCCAGGGGAAAAAAAAAGGTCACAATCACAAGACAGTCAAATAAGTTCAGAATGCAGTAGCTGATTGCTTCAGCGATCTTCCATTTCAACAAAGCCATTGATATTTCAATTAAACAATTGCTTACCATCAACATGATCATGATGGTGATGGGTCACAAAAACCACCAACTTTTTGGGCAAAGCTGCAACAATTTCGGCAAGCTTAAGATGGAAGTATCAGTATAATGGACAACCATAGAAGCAATGAAAATCAATTTTAGATTTGGAACCAAAGTTGCAGCAATAATATTCGATGAACTCTAAAAGTCCAAATTGTGGGAAAAAGAATGCAAAATTTTTCCATTCACGGAAGTCATGATTCTGCTTTGAAATCTCACTTCTCCTTCCAACTCAGTTAATACATTCATAAGATGTGGTAGTAAATTCATTGTAGTAAGATGATGAAAACCAAATTCTATCTGTTTTCGAGACTTACAGCTAAGCAGATAAATTGCTGATATTTTGCAGGCAGTTCCTCAAAGGAAAGAAAATATGATTAGAAAACCTTAGAAACCCTAACCTTTTGACGTTTTAGAAGTCTGTACTAACCGTTGGTGAGGCTAAACAAATACTCATACTGTACTCAAAGACAAGGAGAAAAGTTGATACCTCTTTGTGTAAAGAAGAGCTGCATCCTGGATCTACAATTAAGGCATCACCTTGAACGATAAAGTTAGCATTGGCGCAGCTATTGGAATTAGTCCCAGATACAAAGATAGCCAAGTTTGTCGTGCGAAATGGCCTTGCTGTTCTACTTTGCATAGGAATAAGTTTAATGCCAGGAGGGTATTCCTGATAATTAAATAAGAGGTTCAGGATGAACAACTGGTAGTAGTTATGAATACATTGTTGAAATGTGCAGACGATGCATGCTGCATAAAAAATCTTAAGTAGTTTGTTTGTAACAGCAGTTACTAGTTTTATAAATGTCGAACATAAGACCTGAGGTCGCAAGGTGGGAGAAACTTTCCATTTCTCCGATGGTGCCGAGTCATTTAGAAGGCCAAGAACAACCAAAGGTCCTATGCGATGATTACCAGGTTTCACTTCAAGAAGCATGTCATGGCAACTTTCAACTGTCAACCACTTACAATGCTCTGCGAACAATCAGGACCCAGATATTAAAGTATGGGAAATGGAAGCACTGAGGTCAACGTATGAAGACAACATTTGGAGTAGGTTCCACTGTATTCAACTAGCACCATTAGTTTTCTAAAAGAAAAACAATCTTTTCCTTGTTTTGGGCAATGCTACATCCAAATGGTAGTAGCTCTGACAGTATTCTTTTGGCGGTCACAATATATCAAATCTTAGCACTCATAATAAGCATATGAAAACAGAACTTATATCAGCATTTAACTTTGGCTGTAGACCACAAGCTCTACAGAAAGAAAATAAGCTTCATCAAAATTGCAACAGGATTTACTAGCTGGTTGGAATTTAAACTTGAATGAGTCTGGTGGTTGATAATGCATGAATCTATCTAGTCTACCCTACAGCAAGGAATCAACATACTCTGCTAGTAAGGTTGTATGCTTCGTTCAGGAAAAACTGAGTGCCAAACAAGCAGCAATGCCAAAAGGAAAAACACATCCGAGTCTTACAATTACTTGGTAACACAGACTTTTATATAAGAGCATCCACAGTGCAAACAGTAAATAGGATAAATTAATAAACTTTAATTGAAACAAAAATTTGTGCTATGCCAACCTTTTAGATTTGAATTGTTTGACCCTAAATGCCCAAGAAGATACACTGTCTTAACAGGTAAACCAGGCCCAAAGTCAGGTTCCTCAATACACTTCTGAAACTCCCACTCAACATCCCTGGCTGTTACAAATCCTACTTGCTCCAAAACCTACATTCAGAGCTTAATTCAATCAGAGTATGACCAGAAGCAGCACATTACACGAATCAAGCAGCACATGACCAGAAGCAGCATATTACGCTTAACCACTAGTAGCCTAAACTATACCAAGCATTGTACACATCACTACTTCTACAAGCTATCCAAAGAAATCAAAGTGGAGAATGAGAAAAGAAAAAGGTTATTTCTTTCAATTAATCTATAGATGATGATCTACATCTACCCTTAGCCCCACTCCAAAAAGAACTAAAAATGCAACTTTCATCTCATACTGAAGTAAATTTCAACAATAAAACTCCATTGACTTATAAGGCAAACATAATCACAAGAAAGAACCCATTTAAGAAGAAGGCGGGGAGCATCATTTTCTAATTTCCATATTCAGTTGAGGTTCAAAGGGAGTTGAAACGCGATAAAGATCAAAACTTTCTAATTCGGATTAATGGTGAATGAACTAAAATGTCTCGGCAACTTAGCATATACAAATTATTGATGTAAAATATTGAATCCCTTTTTTGCTTGAGACAATCCAAAACAGCAATAACTAGTGTCAAGTGATAAAAGATCAAGCACGTACCTGGTTCAGAGCTGAATTAAAATCAAATTGGCTTAAACTGAAGCTCTCCTCGGAAGGAAGATCATGGGTTTTAAAGGGAATTTGAGAATGTGATGAATCTTGGCCGGAAAGGGCAGTTAAGGCAGTGGAAGGCAAGTCCCAGAGATCAGAATCAAGATAAGAATCATATTGAGGGTCATTGAAGGGAGGGGGTGGAGTTTGTTTGATGAGGAGGAATTCTTCTACGTTCAATGGGTTCTTGATGATCACTGCCAGATTGTGAGTTGGAGTGGCCATTGACCAATTTCTGGAAAGCAAATAGTAATTCAGTATCAGAACGGGCTTTTTTTGGCCGGCCGTTTGATTGGCGGGCGTTTAGTCCCGACTCCCGAGACTGGTGATGAATACCGAAGAGTAACGATTTTTGAAGTTCTATGATATCAAGCACTGTTAGGAAGTACACATGGTATGTTAAAAAATTGTTAAAGTTAAAAAAGAGAAAAAATTGAAATAAATAATTAATTCCTAAACTTAATCTCTAAATGAGGAAAAAATTAAATTCATAAAATTAATCCGTACACTCTAGAGGACAGACTCCAACAGCAAAGATGTTGTTTTATCTATATTCTCTACATTCTCTCCATTCAAATCAAATTCTAAAAAATAGTTGTACAAATAAATGTTTATTTTAAAACGAAATCATCATTAAAATATATCCATTTTTTTAAATTACATATCAATTTTGTATAAGTGCCGACGCCGGTTCACTTTTCGTCTTTAGAGAAAAATACGATTTGTTGAACTAAAACAGTAAAGTACAATAAAATAAATATAGTTTTCACCGATTAGAATGATATATTTCTTTTCCACATAAATCAGAAAACAAAGTTTAATGCACGCACACCGAGGAGAAAAACACCAGCAAATTGCATATATTAAAATAACATTCACACACAATCTTACATATATATTTCTTGAAATATTACATGATCAACCGATGGAAACGACTTACAAGAAGGAAAATAACGTAACGACACATGCAGCTTCAAATGAAGCCATACAAATATGTTTTCACCGGGAAATACTTCGATTCAGCTGGCACTTGCAGTCTTCCACCATGCATGCATCTCCGAGGTGAACAGGTAATCAAACCAAACCATTATTATTATTAATCCAACAAACCAGATTTTTGAAAATGTAGTAAATTAAGCTTGGTTGAGATGATGAGCCTCAATGTCTTCAATGAGGTGAAGGGCAAAGGCGAGCAAAGTTCCGGGATGAGGGCCGAGTTCATCCAGCTTCTCGTACTCCATAGTCCAGGTTACCAAATTGTCTTCTCCATCGGTGTCAACATGATAAGTTATTACGAAGGTCTTGTACAACTCCAATAGATCTCCTTCAATCATCCTGAACTTGATTGATTGTTTCACTTCATCCACTTCTTCTATGATCTGCTTCGCAACCCTTTCCTTACCATCTATTATATTTATGTCACAAAATTAACCCCATAAAAAGTTGAAGATAGATGAAAAGATAAAAACGAATTAATATCTAATCCAGTAATCCAATTGAAAAAGCGATTTAGTGTTTGATACACACCCACCACTATTTTATTCAATTACTATAAGACAATTTTATTAAAAGGAGTAACTTTTATCCCTTGAGACTCATTCTGACTGAAACTAAGGGACGGATCTTTACGAACTTCAAAAATATTCGATTTTAGATTGAATTATAGTAACTCATCCAATTTCTAAAAAATAAAATAAAAAAATTAAATAGCGTAAAACTTTTAATTTTTATAATGAAATAGTTACGGAATCTCCATAAATAGAATTAATCTTTATTTGATTCTATAGTATTTACATGAAATTCCTCTTTCAAATAGTTTTCAAGAGGACATAGTTGATCCATGATTCATTTGTTTAGACAAATCTATCGATTTGCATATCGCTTCCGTAAAAGTCTTCAACGAGAGATAATCATTAATATTATAACTTCCCGATGATCATTTGGTTACCTTAGGTCTTATAATTTATTTTGTTTTACTGAAATTTGGAACACCAAAAATGTCATTTTTTTGGGGGCATAAGTTGGAGACTATAATGCAAAGAAGATATAAAAACAAAATTATAAAATGCGGGCTACACGTCCTTGTCATGAAATGATTGTACTATTTGAATTGCGGAGGGAATAGTATGTAAAAGGGGGGTACGTACGTACCATGGGTGTAGTTCCAGAAGATCATGGATCCGACAGCGCCGATGCCACCTTCAAGCTGAGCAAAGCCTTGAATTTTGTCCGGAGAGGCGATTGTGAGATCGTGTGGCCTTTTGCTGAACAAATCATGGAACACATCTCCAACTCCAGAGTGTTTTACCACAGTTTGCCCTATCATTTTGCCTTTCAAACCCATTTTTCTTTCTCTTCACAGAGAATTTGATAACAAAATAATTCTAAAGGGGAAATTGTATATCAGACAGAAAGTAATGTGTGCTGAAGTTTAATTTCTGTGGATGATGGATTTGTGTTGAAGTAGGGATGTCTGAATTTATAAAGTTCTAATTAACAAAGAAGGGATCAAGCAAAAGTACTACTTCTAATTAAGTACTGTAAGTTCATTAATTTATTGTTATTATTGTTCTCCTCTTTTTCGATGATTGAAAATTCAACGTCCCAACAGGCAACATCGTGGGGTTTTTTTTTTTTTTTAATCAATTATTATCCACCCGTAAACCCTAACTAAACAGCTGATTGAGACTTTGCAACCAGCTTATAGTTGACTTGCAGGATCCTTTGCATTTCATTGTATGACTTCGGGACTCTTCTTTGATATGTTTCCTGAGATTGATTTACTGGCGGACAAAATCATCCTTGAAATTATAATGCAAATTAGCATTATTTGGAAGATCTTGGACCAAGTACACACTTGTATAATTCATAGCACTCCTCCTGGAATTTAGGCCTTCAGGCTAATAAATACTTCACCTTAGTAACCACTTCTGCTTACCTTTCCACATAAATCATTGTTTCTCTTTTCTGATATTTACTCACTTAATAATTAGCGCTCGATTATATAATATATAGCCCCTCGATTGATCGTTACATCATCATTTCAAAAAAAAAAAAAAAATAGTTACATCAATTGTTACTTGCAATTACAAGCAATATCTTTTTGATTATTACATAATCCAGATTGCCAAATCATATTACGTATTAATTAGTTGAGCGACAGCAACTCGATCGATCACCATCACTTGAAAAATAAAATTAATATACCCACTTGATTAGTGTGTTGTCAAAGATAAGTAATGAATGACAATCTGTTTCCACATTGCTAACCTTTGGTACTACTTGCTCAAACATGATAAATCTTTTTTAGGAAGTAAAATTTTCTGAATAGATATTTTTAACCGCGTTCCTACTTTTTTGTATGCTATTGGTGTTGCTGTACGACAAACCAAACTAATCAACCCATTCATTATATGTTGTAAGATTTGAGCTATAAATTGGTGGGGGATGAGCTACTTATTCTTTATATCTGTTTTGAACAACGAACAAGCCTCGATCTTTAACTTCCCATTAATCATCGTAACACTAATTTGACAATCATATAGTTCACTCTCATTTCCTCACTCATCTTCTCCCTAACAAACCATTACAGTACCTGTGAAACTTGTGTTATTGTCATTCTTCAGGAAAATAAATCAAAACCCATGTCCATAACGCGCTCTATTTACATATGATCAATAATTTAATTACTTTCTAATGCTTACAAGCAATATAGATATATATACTTGACTCATTCATATAATAGCATCAAATGCATGCATATTGTTTTTAAAATCGATTGACTCGGGGAGCAACTCACCATCATCTTGGAAAAAATAATACTTTCTGATTTAAAATAATTGTTCAGAAAGACTAATAATAGTAGTAACTTTCATCGGTGATGCCAAATTCCATGAAGAAAACACAGAAAGCAAATAAACCAAAAACTTATGGCAATCAATCCGATTCCAAAAAAAAATAAAAATCATTTATTTGATTAAAATGCAAATTTTTTCCTGTCTAACCTAATGTTGGTTAAATTTATTTGGTGCATTCCATGTTCTAGAATTCTTCTAATTTTTACATTAGCACCTCGTTCGTTCTTCTTGATCGACATCAAATTGTTTTTTCTTGGTGTTGGTGGCACTTCGATTTTATGAAACTTTATCGTAAAAAAACTTGTATAATGACTACAAATTGTGCTTTGTTTGTATTTTTTAGGATTATGAAGTATTTTTTTCTTAAAAAAATGAATTAATTTAGAAAAGAGAAATAAGTCCAAAATGGGAGGTTACCAGATTTACAGGCGTGATGATAAAAGTTTTCATCTCAATGGTGAAAGTTGATAGGAAGTTAAGAAGGTGATAAATTAATAAATATGTTAAAATAATGTTAAATGATACTATTGGTATTTGAGAAAAATCTTACTTTCAATCTAAAAATTCTGCTCTCAATTTATCAACTCCCATGATGAAATGGATACAAATCTTTCATATGGAAATTCAGTTTTAAAATTTTAATGGTAGAAGTTGCGCTTTTATAATGGGACACAACGAGTTGTAAATATTATTTTGTTCCATGAAAGTATTTCTGATAAAGAATATTTAAACTTTAATGATAATTTGCTAACTTTTTTTTTTAAAGAAAAGAACTAATATATATTAAAACAGCAATGATACATCCAGTGACTAAGTACAGTGAAAATATATGATGACAAATGAAAAGACAAATGTACCATCCACTTACTAAACATATCTAGGAGAAAAATAAAACTTCAACGGGAAAGTAGAAAAAAACTAGGGGCCATGATTATTCCACATCAGTGATTATATTTTGTCACTATTTTAATTCATTCCACATCAGTGATTATATTTTGTCACTATTTTAATTCACTTGGCTGAAGTCTGGGGCGGCCCCATTTAATAAATTGATATGTAACTATAATAAAATATATATTATGCCGAAACAAAAAAAAAGACATATATTAAATCATGATTAAATAGTGATAAAGAATAAAAAAAATTATTCTCAATGATCTAAGTGTAAAATACATCCGAAAATGAACATCCATTCCTCAGTGTGAAATATACTGAAGTACCTAGTTTACTTTGATGACTATAGAATTATATATGATTATAGGGTAAAACTAAACAAAGAAAACTTGAGTCTGGACAGTTCATTTGGGAGTATCCTCCTGCAAATATGGTAGGACCAGTGGATTTGTTGGTATATCATAATGTTTATTGTGTCGAGCTGTAGCATTGAAGTTTGGATATATGTAACTGACCCTTTCTCGAGCTGTAGCCACATACATGCCCGTGTAATCTAGTTGATTAGATAAGATCATGTACTTATTCTGCAACCAAAGGATTATAAGAATCAAATGCAAAATCCTGAAGAACCATCTATTACAGTACATGACTATAACATATATGATCATGTGTAAAGCTTTCGTTCATGAAAATGAATAGAATATGCTTTCGCCCAATCTAATGAATGTGTCTACATATTGGCCAATTCATTGTTGATAATATAGTAAAGTCAATGCTGTATTTGATTCAAGAAAGCTGCATCATAAGCGTGCACATAAAATAATTCAGATGCATAAAAGCCCCAAATAGTTGTCTACATATTGACCAATTCACTCACAAGTATTTGTTTATGATTTTGCAAGTATCAGGATATGTATACACTATGCAGTAGTGAAAACATCATAATTCAAACGGAGAAAAGGTTAATCATCACACTCCAATCTTCTTTATAATTTTCCTACAAAAAAACTAAAAAAAAAAATCTATGCTGATTGAATTGCAATATTGAATTTCATATGGAAGACTTACCAAGACAAAAAGATCAAAACAAACCAAAATAATCCAGTAAAAATTAGATAGTATAATTAGACTACCAAATAAGCAAACTGGAAAAGAAAAAGAAAGAAAAAAGAGAAAAGGGGGATAATTACCAGATAGTCTTATCTTGTTGTTTATGGTCGTAGAATAAATTATGGCAAAAGAAGCCGATATTTCCTGCAGACAATAAAAGTAACAAATGATCAAATTATGATCACAAATCTGCGTGCATACGTAATTAAACAATCGAAGAGTTCATCCAATTAATACCAAAGGGAAAAAAACACAACTTGAATCTACACGTGCACTAAATGTTAAACTTGATCTTTTAACTGAAACTAATAATTAATTCATTAAACTAAAATCGTGGCCCAGAAAAAAAAAGAAAGCCATAGTTGAATGATCTGATTCATTAGCAAAACTCAAGAAAAAATTTGATAAACTTAACGCCCACCGAAAAACTAAATCACAACTTAATTGATTAATAAACAATGACCCAATTTTTTTGTTAATAAAACTAATAATTAATCGTAAAAAATTTGCTTTAGCCAAAAACTAAATCAACATAAGCAAAAAGGAAACAAACAACAAAAGTGTGCATGTGTAAAAAAGATGAACCAAAATGAAACGAAGTACTTAAATCACAAAATCATATTGATGGCCAAAATTAAAACCCAAAACTGCAGGGCTTATGACCAAAATAGTCAATCAAACTTGATTTAATCATCATAAATGCGAAACACAGCAATAAAATTACATACCTTATTGTTCCGATCACAGCCGCCCGTCAATGTCACTGTTCCGATCTCCCAAAATCCATTAACCCCCAATTGAATTAGAGTTTAATCAAACCCATTACGAAGTAGATTTACCTTGGATCTAGAATAATTAAGATTTTAATTAAACCATTACGAAGTAGAACCAGGATCTGAAATTAACAAAATTCAAAAAAAAGGCCACCATTACCGACCTTGATGTCTCGATCGTAGCTTCCGCCGATCCGTCTCTGTCACCGTTGTTGATGTACCTGCGAGATCTGCTTTAAAGATTGTTGATTTTGGCGGATATGAAGGTTGTTAACTTTGAAGGTTTAGATCTGAATGCAGTGAAAAATAGAGCGACGTATTTTTCTTCCATGGCTCTCTCTGCTAACGGAGATTATTCATCAGATTCGGTGGAGGGTCTGACTTTTCAGAACCGCCGGAGGAGAAAAACCATCGGGAAGTATAAGGAGCAATTCGCGGCATTTTTTTTTTTTTTCCGATGCTCCCTCTGCAATCGCAACTTCTCCTCGTAGATTTCTATAAGTTGTAGGATTTATATAACTAATGATAAAAAAACAGAGCGAAAAAAAAAAACACTGCTTGATTGCAGAGGTATCGTGATTAATGAAAATTCAAATAGATATCGTGATTAATGAAATAGAGAGGTTGATTTGAAAATTCAAAAATTGAATTTCTATTTCAAATTCAAATAGATATCGTGATTAATGAAAATTCAACCTCTCTATTAATGAAAATTCAAGCAGTGCGTCCCCAAATCAATATACACGATCCTCTATTTGAATTTCATTAATCACGATAATCCCCAAATCCTGCCTTTTTAAAGCAATGTTTTCAAATTAATCCCTAAATAGAGAGGTTGATTTGAAAATTCAAAAATTGAATTTCTCTATTTGAAATTCAAAAAAAACACTCCTCTCTATCTGAAATTCAAAAAACACTGCTTCAAATCAACCTCTCTATTTCAAATCAACCTCTCTATTTGAAATTCAAATAGATATCGTGATTAATGAAAATTGATTTGGGGACGCACTGCTTGATTTCAGATAGAGAGGATCGTGTATATCCCTTTAATTGGGGAGTTCGAGTAGGCAAAAAAAAAAAAAACACTAAAAGATAATGTTTCCACTTTTGAGATTAATTTTTTTACTTTTATTTTTGTAACCCATTTATTTCTACTGAATCAGTAGAGAGCCACGTATCGTGAAAAAAAAAAAAAGCTGACACGAAAAAAAAAACTCTTTTGACCTTTGTGTGTTTTTTTTTTTTTTTGTTTTAGTGAAAAAAAAACTCTATAAAGCTCACCCATGTATTAAGTGTCATTTGCTTTTATGAAGTGTAAAAGAATACTCAAATAAATTTGACACAAATCGCTTAAAAGATCTTATTTAGTATTCATACAACAAACAAGAATCACGTTACAACACTTGACATTTATGAATTACAACAAACATGATTTCCTTTTCGGGACATGAACAGCAGAACAGGATTATGAAACTGACACGAAACGCATCGAAACGTTACATTACATTGGTGGGCGTTCATAATCCCACACAAATAAAATACAGAAATGTGGACATACTATATATCCCAAAGTTAGGGCTTAATAAATCAAACACCAAATGTCGCGCCATAGCCAACTGGGATACAAATCGAATCTACACATTCTTGTATGCAGGAAGACCCAGAGCAAAAAAAGCAGCAATCTAGGGCCTCTACAATTGGTGGTTGTATAACTCCTCCATGAAAGCGGAGCAAAATCATGATCACCAGCATTATAACTCCTTGTTGCTGCCTACCCAAGCCATCTTATAATTATATGATGGACCGATTAACTAATAATTTGATGAGGAGAAATGGGAGGAGAAATTAAGTACGTAAGTGGCATCTGAATTGGTAGAATATCAAGTCTTTATATAGGGGCTATTCTGCTTCATGAACCCAGTTTAATTAATGTTAGTTTTTTTTTTTTTTGGAAAAGTAACTAATGTTAGTTAAACTAATTGTGCAGCCTCTTTTTTTTTTTTTTTTTCAATTTGTCGCATTATAAGGGAGTGCACAAGTATTAAGAAAATAATGATTGAAACTTTATTACTAATTTTTAAGTAAAATACATTTTTTTACTTCAATTTCTAACTTTTTTTTATATACTTTAATACTTTTAAATACGAACAAGAAATGTACTACCTCTGTCCCACAAAAATAGTCCAATTTTAGAAATATAAATCTTAAAATTAGAATTATGAGATCATTATAACCTAAAATTAATTATTAAATTGATAAATAATTATTCAATTTTTTATATTAACTTTTTAATTTACAAGATTAAAGTCATTTAATTTTTATATTATAGCCTCTCAAATTAGACTTTTTTTCAGGACGGAGGGAGTATTACACTTAAAAATTTAAGTTCCATGCATCAATATTTTTTTGATACCTACGTATACCCAAAATTGACAGTTACTAAAAGGTAGAGTGCTATTATGTTATTAAAAATAGAGAAAAATAAGAATGAAATCGTAAAAAAACAAAAATTTGTTAAATTTTGTATATTAAAAATGAAGTGCGACAGATAAACAAAAGTGTTAGATTCACTTTTAACACGAAAAAAAAAATGGAGATGTAGTACTTAATTGAGTTTAAAGATAAGGCGTTTGTTAGTTATTAGAATAATAAAGCCACCACCAATCAACTCATTTTTTATACAATCTTTTACCTGTTCTGAAATGACTGTTTTGTTCGCTTCTTTAAAAATCGTAAGAAAAAATGAATAATCATCTGGTAGAGGTGTGAACTGTGAAGTAACAAAAATAAAATGGTGCGCTAAGAACACACTCGATTAGATAAATTAGTCCTTGATTAAAATCATCTATTAATATAGAGTATAACTTTGTCAAATGCATGCGTACAATTAAATCCAGATTCCCCCACTTGTATTAAACCGATTCTCACAAATTAGGGACCGACGGATTTAATAGTTAACTGCGACGTATACCATTCTTAAACATCATGAGAAGATCGCAGTAACTTTTTTTTTTCTAAAAAAAATTCCTTTTCTTTTCCGACTAATCTGCACATGTATTGTTGTCCTGAAGTAATAAATCTAGACAGTACTAGTGATGTCTAGTCGCGCAATGTGCGACCCTGGTCTAATCTATCTATAAATCTTAGAAATATTTATATTTAAAAAAAAATTGTATTTGGAGCGATATATTTTAGAAATGTTTGAAGGATTTAAAAATATTTTATAAGTGTGATCCTAGAAATATTTGTATTTAACAAAAAGAGAAATTGAATTTCGCCATGTATGTTATAGAAATGTTTTATAAGTGTTACTTATTAAATATAAATAGACTTAATCGAATATATATGTTGAAGTAAATATTAGACAAAATATAAAAGCATCCTATTAAGTTTAAATATTAGTAAGATGATTTATTGATATTCTCCATTGGTTGTGCCAAATCAATACTTAATTTTAGAGATTTTTAATAGCTTTGTAATAAGTTTCATCCGAAGGGTATACGCTTAAAAGAAAATTGACATTTTGTAACAAAAACCTAATTGATCAATTTAATTTAGACTCCATAATTAAGAAAAGAAAACCACCCTAATTGAATGAAACATAAAAAAAAAATTTTAAAAAAAACGTGTCGCGTAAAGTGCAAAGGGAGATTTAGTAATTTAGTTATGGTTAAACAAAATGACAATTTAGTACTTTGCTCATGTCACGTGGCAATCATATGAGGTATTTAAAAGGGGATTTTTATTTTTAATATAGTAGGATATTCCCGTCACATTAGCTTTTTTGGTTTTATTATATGACGGAGCATTTCGTTTCGTTTTATCATAATGGCATTTCGTTTCGTGTACAATGACTGATTTTAGATCATAACTGTTTTTTTAAAATTTTTTTTTTTGAAGGCGTAATTTTTTCATACTTGCTCATCGACTAGTAATTAAACATTAAATTATAATTGATAAATCAAGAGACTAATAGTAATATATTATTAGACCATACTTTAAATATTCTCAATTAAATAAAATTTATTTTTTTGAATGATCTGATATGAAGTGAATAAATAACAAAAAAGAAATTATATTATTTTATGATCAATTTAAATAACTAGAGTAAAAAATAGTTAAAACAAGAAATGAAAAACTATGTAAATACACAACGTATTAAAAAATAATGTAATTGAAAAGATGAAAGAAAATAAAAACATAAAGACCGAAAATGAAATCAATAAATTTTAAGTTATGTAATTTTCGGTTAGAATAAATAAAAAGAGTCAAATAACTCGTAATGGAAAAAAAAATAGTTTCTTTCATCTTCTCATTTTTCCTTTTTATTACATTGTTTATACCTTTTAACTGACATATTAAATGTGTGTCACAGTGCGTTTAACTATTTGAGAAATAAGTAAAAAACACTGTGGCATTCAATTAGGCTGTAATTGTTGTGGATGCTCTTAACTAATAACAAGAGTTGTTTGAATGCCAACGTATCAATAGCACAAACAGAAGGGAAAAGAAAACAGCAAAACAGCACAGGGTTTATAAATTTTTAACCCATTTGGAAGATGATCTTGTGGGATTGCAGCTCAACTTGACAATTTCTCCAGATTTGCATCATTATTTTCCCATAAAAGGATTTCTGATATGAGGGTTGGTATTATTTTTTTTAAAATGATTAAAAAGTAATAAAAAAATCGCCGAGTTCCACAGCTCGATTTGATGATAGACGTGCCAGTCCAAAAGTGGACTTCAATATCCTATTCGGAGAATCAGAGAGCGGTCAAAACTCAAAAACTGTGTAATGGCTGGTGCTGCTGCCTTGAAAGCTAGCTTTTTCCTCCAGCTTAGGCCAAAACCCGACCCCCATTCTCCATCGTTTTCACAAAGAATCAATCTTTCAATTGGGAATAGAAGATTCAAGCCTGCCATGGCGGCCCTCAGCACTGTCCCAGCCGTTGGAATATCTGAAACTTTCTCTAGATTGAAAGAACAAGGCAAAGTATGCATTTTTACGCCATCCCTTTTGCCCTTTTCTTTCATTTATTCTCTACCATGTGTTTTTGTTCAAAGAGCTCTATTTAATGTAGCTTGAGTTCTAGTTGGGGATTTTTGAGAGAACTAGGAAAGGTGTCGTCTTTTTCCATTGATAGATAAGGTCATTTCATGTGATTTGATATTGGTTCAATCATCGATAAGGTCGAGTCATGTTCCTGGTTTTATTGATGCTTTGAATCTTTCTGTCGAATTTGTTAAACCCCTTGGAAACTCCAATTCGAAATTCTATGAATTCTACTATAATATGATGTCTTTTTAATTGGAATGGGGTTTTATGAAAGACCCGCCTCACATATGCTGTGACACATTAGGGAATGGACAGGATGTGATGGGATATCAATCACTGTAAACTTATTGATAATGGTACTAATGATTATGGGAAAGATATGAGGCTGAATGCTGCTAATATGAGTTCTTAGTTAAGCTGGATTTTTTTTTATGTGTATTCTACTGTTCTGAAGGTGGCTTTAATACCGTATATCACTGCCGGGGATCCAGACCTTTCAACCACAGCGGACGCTTTAAAGTTGCTTGATGCGTGTGGCGCTGATATTATTGAGTTAGGTGTACCTTATTCTGATCCTTTGGCCGATGGCCCAGTTATACAGGTTTGTGACCAAGATCACATTTTTGGTAGCTGGTATGATTTTGCTATTTTAAGTTACCTTAAATTTGTTTCTTGCTCTTTTGGCTAGGCTGCGGCAACAAGGTCACTAGCAAGGGGGACAAATTTCGATAAAATTATCTCCATGTTGAAGGGTGTAAGTCTTAAGAGGCCTTTCTTATGATTGAAATCTCTAAATGTATTGATCCCATCAAAGCTTAATATTCTTTTGATTACTGAACTTTAACTGTCAGTTGATGTTAGATGTGTCTATAATTGCACAAACATAAATATTAGTTTTAGCTATCGTCCTTCGGATCATGCATTTGGTGTTAGAGAACCTCATCTTATCATTAGTATTGCTTAGTTCTTTAGTGTTCTGTTGAATGCCTTATCAGGAGTCATCAAAGTCTTTATTCTCTCCTTTTTTCCTCAAACTTTTGTAGACCAGGAATTCATAAAAACTTGAGATCTTGGATTTAATTTCGTATTTAATTCCATCAGGACATATATTTTCTTTGCAGCTTTTTCTTTTGGGCTAGAAATCTTGGATCACAAATATTATCCGTGAAATTGATTGCTCGTTGTCAAATAACGTCATCCTTTCACCTTACAGGTTGTACCTCAGTTATCTTGTCCGATTGCATTGTTCACATACTATAACCCAATACTTAAGCGTGGTATTGAAAAGTTCATGGCCACTGTCAGAGATGCCGGAGTACATGGTTCGTGTTATTTTATGGATATGTTTCTTGTCTTGCAATCTTCTATTTTGTGTTTGGGGTGCACAAGTTAGTGTATGGAAGTCTGAATTGCATCCATTCTTAACTTTCTTGAGTTGCTTGCTTATTGTTTTCTCATTGGCTCTGATTTCAATATTACTAGTGATAAAGGTGGAGATCCTGTAACAAGATGCTCTCTTGAATCTTTATGTCGTTGAATTTGAATATCCTACACTTTTTCCTAGAAGACCTCGACTGATTCTTTTAATCTCAGAAACAAGTTATTTTCACAATCTGTTGTGGCATTTTTGTTTCAAGAATTGCATATTCTCCGTTCAATGGATTTTGCTAAATGACAAAAGCAGTGCGAATTGACATATTGGACCAACACCTAGGCCTCCTTCTGACAGGAAGTTTAGGTTTAATGTTCATCACAAAATATGCATTTGATGCAATAGTTTCTTTGCTGGTGCAGTAATTGCAAAATTTTTAGTCTTTTTTTTTGTCAGAAGTGGAACGATTCTGTGCTCAGTTTGCTTTTTAGATTTTGAAAGTGTTAAGTCTCCATCATGTCTAAAATGTTGTTCTCTTGGAAAGCTTGTTAGTGGTTATCATTTTTTTTGTCTTTTCCCTTTCCCTTCAGGAATTGTAGTTCCAGAAATTCCTTTGGAGGAGACTGGAGCTTTGAGAAAGGAAGCTGCCAAGTGTAATCTTGAATTGGTGGGCATATAGTTTTATGGGTTTTACTGTATTTTGGTCATATTTGATTATTCTGTTGTCGATTTCATGCTGAGTGGGCTTTCCAAGTCCTTGGAAAGTTCTCTACTTTAGCTGATCTGAGATTTTGAGTACTCTTTCTGGAAGAGCTTTATTCAGAGCAGATGAAACTTGAAAGGGGATGCTAAATTTACTGCTGTTCTAATGCTTCAACTATTAACCTTTTTAGGTTCTGCTGACGACTCCTACTACTCCACCTGCTCGAATGAAAGCTATTGCCGAAGCTACAGAGGGATTTCTCTACCTTGTAAGAAACCGGAATATCTTTGTAAATCTATAATCATGTTCTGAATAATATCTTCATCCAGATGCTTTAGAAAGTTTATCATTTGATAGGACTCCTGTCTCTTCAAGCTTTTCTCTCTGCTCGACTTCCTGTCACAGGCTCCTCACTGAAAGTATTAAAAGTTCATATTACTATCTAGTTCTGTGTTTGCCGTTTTGTTTGTGAAATTGCTTTCGTCTCTTCTCTCATTATTTCCTTTCAAAGGCAACTGTTCTTCATGGTCTGAAAGTTTTCTAGTTGGTTTTTTAATATTTATGATGTGTTGGATGAAATGCATTTGCTACCTGTACTGCTGTAAAAGTTTTTCATATCCCAAATATTCATAGGTGAGTTCAGTTGGAGTCACAGGCGCTCGTGCAAATGTGAATGAACTTGTGCAGTCTCTTCTGAGAGACATTAAAGAGGTTTGTTTTCTTGAACTGAATTGTAACTTTTTTCATAGAGCAATCTTCTTCTGATTTGATGCCCAAGGCACTTTCATTCCTCTCGCCTTTGAATGCATTTTTTCACTGGTTGAGCTCCTGCAGCTTTTGCGCAAGCACACTGTGCAGACTCCAGACTGAAGTGCTAATTGCTGAGAGACTAAGCAGTTACTGAATATACCTTTCACTAAGTCAGTTGTCTGTCTTGCAGGCATCAAACAAGCCAGTGGCAGTTGGTTTCGGCATATCAAAACCAGAGCATGTGAAACAGGTATGGTTTCCACTTTCAGAATAAACTTGCCATAAGGTGTTTCTGTAACTATACTTGTAACTGAGGCGGCCTTTTATCACCAGGTGGCTGGATGGGGAGCAGATGGGGTGATTGTTGGTAGCGCCATGGTACGAATACTTGGCGAGGCTAAATCTCCAGAAGAAGGCTTGAAAGAACTGGAAACCTTCACCAAGTCCCTGAAAGCTACTTTGTTGTGATGAAGCAAATGATACATCAGATTGCGGCCATCTTGTGGTTTTTTCTTGATTGAATCGGAGAGAATTGTGGCCAAAGTTGTGTTTTTTGTTCTGACATTTTGACTTGCAGAGACAAATGATGGGGGTGGTTCAAAGTTCAAATACACCAGAATACTAGTTTTAGCTCTGAGCCTCTAGGTGCTACTGGTTTTGCTTCTACCACATTTGGAACAAAATTACTGGTTCTATATCTCCCACATGTGGTCATTAGTTTTAAATGCTATGAACACTTAGAAAACAAAATAAGCACTGCCTTTAGTTTGGGTTCAATGTTTTGAAATTAAAACTAGAACCAAAATGAAAACAAAAACGTTATTCCCTTGTCTCCACGGCAATAAACGCAATTGGGAAGCAGCTTTTTGAGGGAATTTGCGCATCTTCAACAAAACTACTACTATTCTTTTTGTTCTCAATATATATAAGTGGAATGAAGAATCCGAAAAAACTGAAAGAGCAAATGGACCACTTATGAAACACCATGATAAGCACCGCCACTTATGAACATTATCCTAATTAACCACAAAGTTTTGTAGTTCTGCTCCACAAAGCTTTAGAAGTCTCTCAAGTTCAGACCCCCCATTGATAAAATTCTTTAATAATTTTTTTTTTTTTATCACAATGGAAAGTTTATATCTCTGACCTTTTTAACATACTAGTAGATAAATAAGATAGAAAAATTTATCACTTGAATTGGTGGGTGTCTTTACCACTTAAATTGGTGTACGCTGGCTTCAAGTTGTATCATTATTAATTATTATTATTATCCATAAGTAAACTTAGTAAAAAGGTATGCAACAATTAAATAAATTTTCAAGTCCTGGTCAGAGTAACTATAATACCATAACCACCATTATGTTACATTCTTTTCTTTTCATAGTTTAGCATCCCACTTCACTGAGTGCACTACTATGATTTATTATAATGCAGCACAACATAGAGATAAAGAAATCAATTAACTGTTTTCCCCTACACCCTTTACTTTTGAATAAGACTTTGAAACAAGTAATTACAAACCCATTGAGTTATCACTAATTGTGACTAAAACAGTAATCTCTTGATCTGTTCTACATTAACATGTTCTTAATTTGCTATACTATTAGTAGAAACTTTACTACAAAAGATGTGAAAATGATTTGAGTAAATTCTTTTAGGGCCCAAATTATCATTTTACAAAACATAATAAAGAGATGAAAAACTTTTTGAAAATGAATAAATAATAAATAAATTCGTCCAATATATATATGAAAATAAAACAAGAATTTCCCCATTGGCCATTTGCCTGAACCCTACCATAGAAAGTCTACAGGCTACACAATAAAGAACTACTTTCAACATGTGTGAGCGCGTGCCTCTTGAAATTCCTAAATTAATTTATCCCCTTTTTCTTGAAATAAGACGTCATCATTCCCTCCCCGTTTACTAAAGTTGACGTCACTCGTCTCCCTCCTTTCAACGGGTACGACAATTCAGACACGTTCTCAACCGAACTCGCACGTGCCATGCACAAATAACGACGAATCCCACGTGGACCCTATGTCCGACGTGGACCATTACTGCCACGTTATCAGACAGAAAATCCAAGCCCATCAACCGCCACGCCAGTCCCCCCAACTTTTGATTGCCTCCTCTTTATCCTCCAAAGTTTTCTTGATTTTACACTCACTCCCCACTCTTCCCGTCCAATCTCCTGAAAAATTCTTCTTTTTTTTTTTTTGCCCTCAATCAACAATTTTACAGAAATGGGCTACATTTATGAAATCTGAATCTGAAATCACCACAATTTCAATTTTCTTTTTTTTGTGGATTTGAGGAATTGTTAGATTTTTTCGGCTATAAATTTGGGAATGGCGACTCCATTGACGACGGCTGGGGTGCAAACCGGCGGGGTTGGAATGGGCCCGGGAATGGGCCAGAAAACGGAAATTGATCGGAATGGGACGGTGAACCGGCTGCTGAATAGCTCGGCTCCAATTCGGATTTTTCTTTTCTTCCATAAGGCGATTCGGGCCGAGCTGGATGGACTTCACAGGGCCGCCATGAGCTTTGCTACCAATGTTAATTGTGACGCTCACAACGATATCAAACCTTTGCTGGAACGATACTATTTCTTTAGGTCCATCTATAAGCACCATTGCAATGCTGAAGATGAGGTACAATTTGCTTTTTTTTTTATATATATAAATATTTTTATTTAATTTGTGAATATGTAGTCTCTGAATTGAACAGCTTAGTTTACTTAATATTTACATAATTGAACTGCGTAGTTTCATGGTTATGCTTAATTTACTGTTCTTGTTTTGAATTTTCCTTTTACGCGATCATTCTCTCAGTTTGCTGTTTAATTTGTTACTCTTTATGTTTATGCTTGGTATGATTGAGGAAAAGACTATTCACTTCCTTTGCATTTGTTTTCTTGAAGTCTATCTATTTTATTAATATTCTTAATGAAAAGGACTAGTAAACACATCAGAGCTGTTTGGGTTGTTGGTTTTAATGTTTTTCTAACTTGATCAGGTTATTTGCAAAAATTCTGATGCATTGTGGTGGCTTAATGATTTCTTTTTTATATGTTTCTTTCGAGTTGCAAAAGATATCTTTTCTGCATTTTTGAATATGTTAAATGCAAGTTACAAAAGCAACTTTTTTTACTGATTAGTCACTCTCAAGTAAGGATTTATTCTCTTTCAATCATTTGTTATTCCACCTACGGTAGAAGTAAAAATTTACAATATTGCCTCTCTAAAATATCAGGTTATCTTTCCTGCACTTGATATCCGCGTAAAAAATGTGGCCCGAACTTATTCTCTTGAGCATGAGGGAGAAAGTGTTCTTTTTGATCAGCTATTTGGATTGCTAGACTCGTATAAGGAAAATGAGGATAGCTACAAAAGAGAGCTGGCTTCTTGCACGGGAGCGCTGCGGACTTCAATCAGCCAGCACATGTCCAAGGAAGAGGAACAGGTATTTTCTTAAAAAATATTTTCAAGTATTTGTGTGGAACTTGTTGATGTATATGCGTGGAACTTGTTTTTTCAAGAATCATTTGAATGTCAGGGAAGATCATGCTTGGTTTACAACAAAATTAGAAGTTCGAATGGCGAGAATGATTCAGGAATGTTGCGATGTTCCTCTGATAGACGGGAAAAAGTAATGATAATGTGAACAAATTGTATTCACTCTGAGAACTTGTCTGTTAGTAAATTATTTTGAAGTGGTGGCTTCCAGATACCCGTGTTATATTATTTCTCTCTTATCTATTGATCTCTTACAGTTTTACAAAACTCTTTGGGCAGGTCTTTCCATTGCTCATTGAGAAATTTACATTTGAGGAGCAAGCTTCATTGGCGTGGCAATTTTTATGCAGCATTCCTGTTAACATGATGGCAGAATTTCTTCCGTGGCTTTCATCCTCTATTTCAGCTGATGAGCGTCAAGGGATGCGTAAATGCTTGTACAAAATAATCCCAGAGGAAGAACTTCTTCAAAAGGTGAGTGGACTTCTGCTTGAGAGATGCTAGAAATGTTTTCATCTCATTGTAATACCACTTTATGAATTATTTCCACACAGATAATATTCACGTGGATGGATGGTGTGAAAGTTGATAAGAAACGTAAAAGTTGTGGCAATATTCCAGTATTCCAGGGTGGTACCAATTGTGTGGCTTCAGTTAATGATAGTGCGAAGAGATCATGTGCATGTGCATCGCCAAGCATGGAAAAAGGCGATTCTTGCCTGCCGAACTCTGATGTCATTGGTCATCCAATAGATGAGATATTGCATTGGCATAAAACTATCCGGAAGGAGTTAAATGACATAGCTGAAGCTGCAAGAACAATAACATCATCTGGAGATTTTTCTAATTGGGCTGCTTTCAATAAGAGGTTACAGTTCATTGCCGAGGTGTGCATCTTTCACAGGTACTTTTGTCGGTTCTTGGGTTTCCAAATCATTGTTGAAGAGTAATATTATTCAATCGCCATATATCATTGTTGAAGAGAATTTTCACAGAATAACTACGTCTGTTCTGTAATTGATGTGATTTGCATCTTCAGGTTTTTGATTGAACTCAACCAAATAAATCAAATTGCTAGAAGTTTCCTGCTGCTTTATGATGACAAGCTGATTTTTGTTTCTTTAAAGCAGTTCATATTACATTCTTCATGATTTTACCGCTTTGCTTTTGCATCACATTTGTGACACTTTACCTTCAAAAGTTGCATGTAAAATGTTTGGCTAGAACTTCTAGTTTTTCAATTTTACTGACCTTTTGGGGCTGCTTTCTCATTTGAATGACTAAAATTATTTGGTGACTATGGCTGCAGCATAGCTGAGGACAAAGTTATATTTCCTGCTGTAGATTCTGGGCTGTCTTTTGCTAAAGAACATGCAGAAGAAGAAAGTGAATTTGAGAGATTTAGATACTTGATGGAAAGTATTGAAAGTGCCAGTGCCAACTCCACTTCTGCGGAATATTGTTTGAGTTTATGCTCGCATGCTGATCGTGTAATGCAGACCATAACCAATCACTTCCAGAATGAGGAAACTCAGGTGACCTTCCCTGCTGTAAACATTTGGAGTAAAATATGGAGCACTCCCACTTCCACTCGTTGATGATTGATGTTGTACTTTCTGCGTTAAGAAATTGATCTTCTCATCTTTGATATCGTTATATTTAAGTCTGTCATCTAATTTGTGTAGAATATGGAGTACTCCCATTTGCAACTAAAATCTATAATCGATTACAGTCTTATGAAAGGCTCTATTGATGTTTGATTGTATTGTGACCACAGGTTCTTCCACTTCTAAGAAAGAATTTTAGCCATGAACTGCAGCGAAAGCTTCTATACCAGAGCTTATGTGTTATGCCTCTCAGAGTAATTGAATCTGTATTGCCGTGGCTGGTAGGATCTCTTACTGAAGAGGAAGCAAGGTCTTTTCTTCAAAACATGCAGATGGCAGGTTCTCCGCTAGTTTCCCGAGTTCATATTTTTACTGCCATGCTGTTCCTGCCAAAGAAACTCAATACTTCCCTCATATTGTCTACTTCTAACTTATTTAGCTAATGCAGGTCCTGCATCAGACTCGGCACTAGTTACCTTATTCACTGGCTGGGCGTGTAAAGGTCGTCCAAGGGGCGTTTGCTTGTCAGCAGGTGTAAATGGTTGTTGTGCTTCAAAAGTCCGTGCAAGATCACCAAAGGAGTTCACTGGATGTGCTTGTGCCTGCTCTAGGTCAAGCATCAAGGTTCAAAATACTCCATTGGTTCACTCTGGTGGTAGTGAAATGCCAATGGAGTCCGGAAACTCATTGTTGTTCAAAGAAAGCATTGTTTCCAATCCTTCAAAAGCAGGAGAGTCACAGAAAGCATCTCTCAGTAACCAATCATGTAGGGTGCCTGGTTTAGGAGTGAACAACAACAATCTGGGGACAGGTTGTCTTGCTGCTGCGAAATCTTTACGATCCTTGTCTTTTGGTCCGAGTGCTCCTTCACTTAGTTCTTGTCTCTTCAACTGGGAAACAGAAACCAGTTCAAATGATTGTGGGTCTGAAACAAGACCAATAGATACCATATTCAAGTTTCACAAAGCCATCAGGAAAGATTTGGAGTTTCTGGATGTTGAATCTGCAAAACTTGGTGATTGTAGTGAAAGCTTCATCAGGCAATTTAATGGAAGATTTCGTCTCTTGTGGGGGCTGTACCGAGCTCACAGTAATGCTGAGGATGACATTGTCTTTCCAGCTTTAGAATCAAGGGAGACTCTGCATAATGTCAGTCACTCTTATATGTTGGACCATAAGCAGGAAGAAAAGCTATTTGAGGATATATCTTCTACACTTGATAAGCTGTCCATAGTCAGTGAAAATTTGAAGAACAAAAGTAAGGTAGGAGACCAAAATATAGGAGATTTTAATTCCTCCTATTCATATGGTGATTTGAGAGAATATAGTGAGCTGGCAACCAAGGTACAGAGCATGTGCAAATCAATTAGAGTAACATTGGATCTGCATGTCAAACGTGAAGAAGTTGAGCTCTGGCCACTATTTGAGAGGCATTTTTCTGTCGAGGAACAGGACAAACTCGTTGGTCGCATTATTGGTACCACAGGAGCAGAAGTGCTTCAGTCAATGTTGCCGTGGGTAACATCTGCTCTTACTCAGGAAGAGCAAAATAAAATGATCGACACGTGGAAGCAAGCCACCAAGAACACAATGTTCAGTGAGTGGCTAAACGAATGGTGGGAAGGGACTTCAATTGCATCAACATCAAACAATGGTGACTCACCAAGCTTGTTTATGGCTTTAAATTTTTTTATCCTCTACTTCTAACTTTTCAAAACTTGGCTTTTCATAGTATTACCTTATACTGCATAAAATAATTTCAGTAGTGTATGATACAAACAAATGATGCAATATTAACAATTCAACTGTGTAACTTTTTGCTTTGAATTCATTCTCAGTGAGCTATGATATGCATGAGTCAGTGGACCAGAGTGATTTCACTTTCAAGCCTGGGTGGAAGGATATTTTCCGAATGAATCAGAATGAGCTTGAGTCTGAGATTAGAAAGGTCTCTAGGGATTCTTCCCTTGATCCAAGAAGAAAAGCCTACCTTATTCAAAATCTTATGACCAGGTTTGTTAATTATTCTTAAAATTTTGTCTCAAGTACTGCTGGAAATTTGCATCTCGCTGCAAGTGATACTTGCCTTTTGTAGCCGTTGGATTGCTGCCCAGCAGAAGTTGCCCCAGATAAGAATAAAGGAGAATTCGGATGATGTGAATGTAGCTGGATGTTCACCGTCATTTCGCAACCCAGACAAAACTGTTTATGGATGTGAACATTACAAAAGAAATTGTAAGCTCCGTGCAGCTTGTTGTGGAAAGTTATTCACTTGTAGATTCTGCCATGACAATGTCAGTGACCATTCCATGGAGAGGTAACATTTTCTAAAAAATCACCTAGCTTTTGTTCGTTATTGAGCAATTATGAAGTAGCATGATATACTTTGTTTGCAGAAAGGCAACATCTGAAATGATGTGCATGAAGTGCCTGAAAATTCAACCTGTTGGGCCCACTTGCGCTACTCCTTCTTGCAAGGGATTCTCGATGGCAAAATACTATTGTAGCAGCTGCAAGTTTTTTGATGATGAAAGGTGATGCTATCTTACATTCTTTACATGCTTCTACTGGTTTTCATGGAAACACTATTTTTCTTGTAGATATGAAGACATGGGTAAGAATGTTGCTAACTTATACCGGAAAATTATGATAATTTATTGATTTAAATCACTCTGTTTTATCGATGTAAAGTACAATTTATAATCCTTGAGGATAGAATATACCATTTTAAGTGCTTGTAAATAATCAATTTGGCCCATAGTTAAAAATAAATGGGAGGCCTTATTCTGTTATTCACGCATGTTATGAATGTGCTTGAAACAATCTCATTCTCTAAGCTGAAAGGATTTTTTAATGAACTAATAATTTTATTCATCTTCTTCCCCCTTTTTTTGTTTCTCTCTCTTTACTAATTCCTCTACCTGTATTTTCCATGTCAACACCCAACCAATAACCATTGGCCCTGGCTCCATCACGGCATCTTGTAAATTGGATTTGCTGATGTTTTAGCTTTTAGGTTGCAGTGTCATGTATCAGAAGAATTGCATTTATGCATAGCTTCTTCAGGAACGGTTCTGATCCTTATTTTCTAAATGTCCTTTCTCGTTTCCACTTCAGGACAGTTTACCATTGCCCCTCTTGCAACTTATGCCGCCTTGGGAGTGGACTTGGCATTGACTTCTTCCATTGCATGACCTGCAACTGTTGCCTGGGAATGAAACTAATGGACCACAAGTGCAGGGAGAAAGGGCTGGAGACTAATTGCCCTATATGCTGCGACTTTTTGTTCACATCCAGTGAGACTGTCAGATCTCTACCTTGTGGCCACTTCATGCATTCTGCTTGCTTTCAGGTCAATTCTTTTATCTACTTCTCCAGAAGTTCTAACAGCAGGTTCATGAGAAGTTCAAAATAATGTAACAATTCCTTTTACCTCTCCAGGCATATGCTCGCACACACTACATCTGCCCTATCTGTAGCAAATCAATGGGAGACATGTCGGTAAGAGAATTTTGTAACCTTTATTTAACTTGTCTTCCACGAGTTATCTAAATTCCTCTGTTGCAGCGTCCCTCTGGAAATTTGCTCGAGTTGTAACTGGAATTCGCTTTCTTTGCAGGTTTACTTTGGGATGCTTGATGCTTTAATGGCTTCTGAGATTCTCCCTGAAGAATACAGGGGCCGCTGTCAAGTAATACAGCCTAAATCCGTTTCATATACTTTTTGCATCGTTTAATATTGGAGATGATCCCCTGTAAATAAAAGTAACTCATGTCTATATATATGAACATTTTCATGAGTGCATAACTTTTTGTTGTACAGGACATTTTGTGCAATGATTGTGGTTTGAAAGGATCGGCCCCATTCCATTGGCTGTACCACAAGTGCAGCTTCTGTGGATCCTACAATACGAGGGTGATCAAGGTAGACTCCAACCCTATTTGCTCAACATAAACGATCCACCTATGATGAGACCGGAACCATTCAGCTGAGTGATTGCATCTGGCAATCCAGCCTCAGTATCATTACAAGGGTTTCGGGTGCAACCTCACGATACCATTAGACATGGAGCAGTGTGAATCTTGTGATCGGGGGAGCTAATACCTCATGCGCCATTTTTGCCATGCCACTTTTAACCCTCGCTTAACACTCAACAGATGTTGCCTAGGCAGAAATATGGAACTGAAAGTTGTGCATAAGGTGAATGAGGAAGTACCGAAAAAGGGGTAATCTAAGTAAAGAGCAGTTAAGAGAAAGTAATAATAAGTGCATATTGACAATTCAAATTCATGTCAATTTAGGTTAGATAATAATTAATTAAAGTAGACAGATACTTATACTTAATGATATGCTGATATAGTTGTAATTTATTGTCTAAACTACGAATAAGTACCACTGTATCAGGCATCATCAATTAGCATAGGATGTAATTTTCTGTATTAAAAGCTTTAGGCCATACGAGTTGTTAATGTACAATTACATTAGTTCCTCGAAAATAGTCCTTTTCAAACTTTTTTTTGTTGAACCAAAAAAAAAAAAAACTTTTTTTTGAGACCAATGGGAAGAGCATTGCTCCTTCTGTCCCATAATTAATGTACAATTACATTAGTATAATTTTTAGTTCAAAGTGTACTAAAAGTGAAATCTAAAACTGGACAATAATTTTGGTACAGAGGGAGTAGAGGGAGCATTTATTAGTTCTATTTGACGAGAACAAATATCTATTTTCGCCAATGACACAATTTTGTTGTCTTGGACTAATTACAACTTGAATAAGTCTAAAGCCTATACTCTATTCAATAATTCATGAGCTCAGCTTAGACTTGTTAATTAGGGAGTGCATTTTCAACTCAGGCTTATGGACAAAACTACAAAAGGGGGAACTGCCAATTTGGTCTCTCATTTTTCTGGTAGTTTGATTATTAGGTCCTCTTGTTTGGGACTACGGTTTTTTTGGGGGAGAAGTTATTGTAATAGTACCATATTGCATAAGATACAAAGATCCGAATTCTAGGATAAGGAATAAATGATATCAACAAGTGAAAAAATTAAATTAACAATTGCAAATCATGATACATAAAATATAAATCATTATTCTCTTAAGTACTCCCTCTGTCCCAGAATTATTGTCCAGTTTAAGATTTCATTTCTAGTACAATTTGAATTAAAAATGAAAGTCCAAACTGGACAATATTTATGGGACAGAGGGAGTAACAAATAACAGATGTATCATAAAATATAAATCATTATCATCTTCGCTAACAAATAACAGATTAATTACTTGTCAGTTTTGTGCATTTTCATTGTGCTCTCTTTGAAATATTATCAAATTTGGTCCCATATAAACACACTGTCCAAATTAATTGCAAAGATAAAAACTCACGTATGACCCTAAAAAGTTTGTGTTTATTTTAAAAAGAAAAAAAATTATGTGGATCAATCAACTATTTTTAATTTCTAGTTTAGTCCCTATCTTAGAGATGGCGGTCCAGATTCAAAAATATTTACCTTATTTATCGAATTATTTGTCCTTTTATTCAACTTCAGCCCAAAAAAATAGCAACAATTATAATAATAATAATATAAAAGAGGAGGCATTTTTGGAAAAAGAAAGTATTTCTCTTCAATGGAACCTTCTTTATTAGCCTAGCCAAAAATTTTCGATTTTTTGGTTCACAAACAAAAGTGGGAAGCTGAAAAATCGTCGTCCCTCAGGTAAAATTTCTCTGATTCTGCTAGTTTCCCGAAACCCTGAATTAAAATTCAATGTTCTGTAAGTAGATCTTCGTTTTTATACTGTTTCTGCTATTATTATATTGTGAACATGTGAATTAGTCCCAAGTTGTAGAGATCCAAAAAAGCTTTTGATTCTTGGGAAAACCGTGATTGATTTCTTGGAGAATTGTTTAGCAATTTTTGACGGGTTTTGTGTGGGATATGAATTCGTTTTGTCTCTGATTTTGTAGACAAGGGGGATTCGTGTTGGTGGAAGATTCAAGTACTTGTGGAAATTCGGGAGAGCGGAAATAAGACGAAAGGAGGGAAGGTACTGTAGAAGTGGTAGGACGAATAAGTATAAGGTTTGTGGTAACGAATTTAAGGGAATGGCTGGTTCAAAAATGGAGGGGCCATCGGCTCCAGCGTTGAGAAGAGACCCATATGAGGTATTATCCGTATCCAGGGATTCTTCTGATCAAGAAATCAAAACTGCCTACCGGAAGCTTGCTCTCAAGTAAGTTCGTTTTTGTTTTTAAATGCTCATTTTGCTTTCCTTTTTGTATTCTTGTTCTGTTTTTTAGTGCTTCTCTCTGAGTTCAATTTGTTGTTCTGGTTTTTAATAAGCTCTGTATTTTTGTTTGTACTGATTATGGTTGCTGAATTCAGAAATTGATTGGGCTGAAATCTGAATGTTGCTTGATGGTTTAGTGTTTCCTAGGACATGTTTTATCTGAGAGAAGGGCATGTTCAGTTTTATTTTAGAGATAAAGCAGTTTTGAAGTTCCATAATGTTATTTTCTTGTTTCCTTTGTCAGCTGTCCAGTTATCGGCTTTTGTGTTCATGGTTTCTCTGGTTGTTGGTTGATTTTTTTTTGTATACGAACAGGAGTTTGCATTGATCAATGAAAACATTTTATCTTGAAAGTTGACTTCAGCTACTCAATTCTTGTGAATAGATCTCATGATGCTGGTTAATAACAACAATCAATGATATACAGGTACCACCCTGATAAAAATGCTAGCAATCCTGAGGCGTCAGAACTCTTCAAGGAAGTTGCATATTCATATAGCATTTTATCTGACCCAGAAAAGAGGAGGCAATATGACAGTTCAGGATTTGAGGTAGTTTCTAGTGATATCCGCAGCCCCCTTCCAAATGAACGCGCACAGCATATGAGTGGTTGCGAAATAATAATGAATAAGCATGTGATTTCTGGTAATCTTTATTTTACATGACTACCAGTTTGGACATTAAAACTTTGAAAAGCTGAAAATAATCATTGAAATTTCTAAGCTGCTATTGTCAATTCTTTATGTATGTGCTGGAGAATGAGTTATAGAACTTAGATGTGAACCTTTTTTTTCCTGCTTGTGATCAATTATCAATGTCTATCAATGTCTGCCTTGATTTGGCAGTGCCGTGGTATGTGTAGCAAATGTAACTGCTACATTACATACTGCTCTCTGAATGTAGGAAAAGTATGGTAAGTATTCGACTAAGGGATTTTGGGACTTTATAAAGCTGCTTTGTATTGAGTAGATCTGTTTATAAGAAGGGTTTGGTGAACATAGTTTTAATTGAAACCGTGAACATTGAATTTGTGGAAAGCAGTTTGGAGAAATGCAATTATAAATAAGATAATTTGTTTCCTTTTTAATTCCCAGTGGTTAGGAAGAATAATTAATTCAGATGCTGTTTGTAAATGAGTAAATCCACTTTATCAATTTACCATCTGGGCAGGCCCTTTTAAGAAAAATCTGCTTCTGTTTATGCATGTGATCAAGTCTTTGATCAACCTCAGCCCCGTGTTTTATTTCGTTTAACGCCTTCTCATGATCATATTTTATAATTGCTTAACTTGATTTGCTGATTGTGGAAGGCACTTGACGCTGATGGAATGGATATGGAAATAGATCTATCCAACCTTGGAACTGTCAACACAATGTTTGCCGCATTGTTTAGGTGAATATCTCTCAATATGATGATTTGCCTCTATTAATACCTGATAATTGTGTTATCACTTGCTTAATTGAGTGTTTTTTGGTAGCAAGTTGGGTGTTCCTATCAAGACAACAATTTCTGCCAATGTCCTTGAAGAAGCATTAAATGGGACTGTCACAGTGAGGCCACTACCGATTGGAACCTCTGTTAGTGGCAAGGTGAATATCTCTTTCTGTTTTTGCACAATGTAATTCTCTAGTGCTTTTGCATATCACTTATTTTTTGTTTTTTTGATTTCAGGTAGAAAAGCAGTGTGCGCACTTTTTTGGTGTAACTATTAGCGATGAGCAAGCTGAGTCTGGAATAGTAGTTAGAGTAACTTCCGCTGCACAAAGCAAATTTAAGGTACGTTTGTCTGAACGAGTGTTTATACATTGATTTTGCTAAATTGGAATTTTTTATGTTGATGTACTAATAGCACATGTCATGTATTTTCAGCTTTTATATTTTGAGCACGATGCCAATGGAGGCTACGGACTGGCATTGCAGGTAAAAAATGCTACTTCTGATTCCTTTTTGGAAAAATTTTGCTTATAGTCTAGATTCCCTCCCTTGGGAGATTGGAAACAATATATAGGTTTTAGTAGTGGAATTTAGTCTTATAATTTAAAAAGAAAAGTAAATAAATGCAAATCGGGTGATCTACTGTCACATGGGCAAACCTCAGTTAGATATATGTCTGGTAAAATTTCACCAAGTTTTTTAAGCATCCTTGTCACAAGTTTGTTTTAAAATTCTGTATTTCCTCATCATAATTGGCATCACGGCGGTTTCCACAACTGGTCAATTTGTGAGCAGTTGCTATAATAATTGAGTTCAGAACTTTTCGATGTTTTAGGTGCGGTTCGCTTCTTTTGTTGTGATTTTCTTCAAAATCCTATTTTCTTTCCGAGGAATTTCTGCCTGGAAATCTTGTAAGCATGAAGCTTGATTGATTTTTGGCAATTTGAATCTTGGTTGTGCTCTATTAGTTTTTCTTAATATGCTCAGTCTGTTAAATTGTCGCATTGCTGTCTTATGTCTGTTTTCATTTTCAATTATAGTTGCATCTCTGCTTTTCATGCCCCTGCATCGTAAGTATAGAGTTGATGCCAATTCATCTGTCACTATTGTATGTGTCGAAGAGTTTGAACCTGTGGAAAAGAAAGACCACTTTCCTTAAAAGTTGCGCATTTGTAGTCAACTTTAACCTGGGAATTGAATGACAACCTAGTGGTTAGGTTGCTGTCCTTCCCGGTAATAGACCAGGTTCAATTCCCACCAGGGGGTTTTACCCACATTTAAGTGGGGTCCACTGGGGTGGATAAAAAACTAGATAAGATTTAGAACCCTGCCTAGAGATGGTTTGCCTTGCAGCCTGTGCTTTTTAGACAGAAAAGTTATCAGAAGAGTTGATAGGTCCTAATTATGTAATGGATGATCCATGAGTTCCATACATTGCTGGGAGCAGAGATGTCTGAACAAATCAAAATGCCTTTTATGAAGATATCTCGATATAATGTAAAAATGTGTTAGTATGTGTCAACCATGTCTCCTGTCTCTCCATTTCTTCAATGTGTTCCCACTTTTGTCATGAGAATTGGCTCTCTGTTTAAAATCTCTATGTTATCTTTAGTGTCCAATTCGTTGAGATTGTATCATGCCAGTTACCTGAAAGATCTACAGTTATGTTACGGAAACCTTTGAGGCAATGATGCCCGGCTTCTTGATATTTGTGTGAGAGCTTATTAAATTTATTAATATTGCAAATTGTACGAGGTTTCATTTTGTTTGAACACCATGCAGGAAGATAGTGAGAAGACAGGCAAGGTGACATCTGCTGGGATGTATTTCTTGCATTTTCAAGTGTACAGAATGGATACCACAGTAAATGCGGTATGTTAGTTTTACTTCTTTCATTTCAAAGTATTGGAGAATTTTACACTAATATTTATTATGGTACTGCAGTTGGCAATGGCTAAAGATCCCGAAGCTGCATTTTTCAAAAGATTGGAAGGCCTTCAGCCTTGTGAGGTCTCAGAACTAAAAGCTGGCACTCACATATTCGCTGTTTATGGTCTGGACTAGTCTTCCGCGTGTTAATGTGTTGGGTTTATTTTATTGTTTATTTAATTTACTGGGCAGATGTAACTTAAAGTAAGTTCCGTATATGACCAAGGATTTTAATTTCAGGGGATAATTTCTTCAAACCTGCTACATATACGATAGAGGCTCTTTGTGCGAAGTCATTTGAGGAAACAACAAACAAATTAAAGGATATTGAATCTCAGATTTTGAGAAAGAGAAATGAGCTACGCCAGTTTGAGACCGAATACAGGAAGGTACCTGATGTGCAATTAACCAGTAGCAGCAGTCCTTGTGCTTCATTTTACATACATTTAATATACAATAAACTCTGATTATTGTAGGCATTGGCACGCTTCCAAGAGGTGACCAATAGGTACAGCCAGGAAAAGCAAACAGTAAGTTTTCTTTTACTCATTTTAAGCTGTTACAATCATTCATTGTAAATTTTGTTATATTATGTTGTTTGTATAAAGGTCTGATGATTTTTTGGTGTCTTCTCTGTTTGAATTTGATCGTAGCCAACAGTAGAATTTTTTATTTATGATTTTGGCTCTTATTATCTCATTTTTTGTTTCTTTGAGCTAAAATGCTTTTTTTTTGCTCTTATCTGTACATGGAAACAGGTTGATGAACTGCTCAAACAGAGAGACACAATTCATTCTTCTTTCACTGTTGTAAGATCCATAGTTACTGCTGGTGGTAGTGGTCATTTTAGTAATGGAAGCAGTAGCAAAATTCCATCAGATGATTTTAGGGCAGAGAGCCCAGGAGATGATAGCAGCTCCGAGTCTAAGGACAAGTCCAAGAAGAAATGGTTCAATCTGAACCTCAAGGGATCTGATAAAAAGGTCTGATATGGGCTAGACGTAAAATGTACTACTATGCTTCTGAGGTTTCAAGTTTTCAACCTGTCTTGCTTGCTTGCAAGTGAATGAGCTCCCATTGCTTCTGCCTTCAGAAGACACCTTGTTTCGCTGCAACTGTTCAAAGTTTGTTGAATGGGATATAAGTCATTGGATTGAGTTATCGAAAGGTATGTGAGATTTGTGTATTGTAAAATTGACTCTTATATTAATAGGGAAATCAGCTCAAAAAACTTGTCACGCTGTTCATATAGCCTAGTAGGGATAGAATTTGCAGAGCCGGTACTGCAGATTGCTTGATTTTTTGTTTGTACTTTTCATATTCTATTTTTCCATCGATCCATATGATAATTTTGGGTCTGGTATTATGTGTCTAGACAGGGTTTTGCAGTAACAATATGTAAGAGAAATGCTCGAACTATTCATTTATTCCAGTTCCCTTTTAAGTACCCTTTTGGTCCACGAAGCATTCGTTTAGTTTCTCAATTGGTCCTTTTTGCCTATCTCGCTATCATCATAGTTGTGCATTTTTTGTTTTCCAATGTCTCGATTTCATTGTAATTGTCATTTTACGCGATCAATACACGAGCGAATCTTAGCCAGACACAGAAAATATCATTCTGTTTTCATTTTATTTTATTTTCGGAAACCAGTAAAAACTCTCTAATTCCTTCAGAGATGATGAATTTACGCACTGGCAGACTTAATCATCCTGACTTTGTAAGAAACTTTAGTTGAATTACAAAAGGTCAAGAACTTAACAAAGTCATAACGTAGGTATGAGTTGGATTTGCGTAAACCGTACTACCTTAGTTCGTTGTAAATGAACATGCAACGTACTTATCGGGCTCGAATGGGACTGAGGGTGTGTCCTTTCAAGTTGATCTTATAGTTTGAGTATCTCTTAAACATTTTTGTCTCTAAAATATTTTTCGATTCAATTTTTATTATCTAGTAGTATGTTATAAACGAGGAAAATTAATATAATTGCAGTACAAGTTTGTGGCAAAATTTAGACAAATCAAATGGGAGAGAAAATCATCAAGATGGATAAAACACACCTCATAAAACATTAAGATCAGGTAACGTTATCATCAGAAGACATTGTTTGGCCATGCATCAAGATAACAAAATTTCAACTACGTAATCGTCTGGTTAAAAGGCTTCGATTAATTTACACGTTCACAAATCACTTTGGTACGAGTTCGATTCAGCTGGAACCTGAGCACGGGTTTAACAAGCTAATTACTCAAGCACGGGTTTTGAGACCACCAGGCATGAGGCCTGTTTCCAAGTTTGATTTGTTGACAAAGTATGAGAAACTTTTTTCATGTCAGATGCAAATTACACGTTCCATTTTATTTTTATGTTCTTTCTTTCTCATAAGAATGCAATTTCATACGCATTGAAAACCATTATGATTGGATCATTTTCAGGTCGAGGTATGATTTTGCGAGATTTTTGCGATCCAGTTTTCCAGTTTTTGATCGATTTTGAATGTAGTGTTCAAGAGGCAAGATTAATTATATATCAATCCTAGCATCAACGAGTAAGCAAATCAATGTGACAAGTATCTTATAGATACATAATATCTGTGTAATCCCTTAAAGATAGTATCCATTTTGATCCATTCTATTTGAGACAAAGAAAATTTTCCGGACCGTTAAATAATATTCCTTTCTTCTCAGAGGAAATATGTAGTTCATTTTTTTTTTAAAAAAAAAAAGAATATGAAGTATTACATCCGTCCCAAAAAAAATAGTCCACATTGAATTTTCAAATTTGTACTAAAAACAGTATAAAACTCAAAAATCAATGTGGACTATTTTTGTGGGACAGAGGGAGTAAAAAATAGTCCATCTATTTTACAAGGACAAAGGGATTAGGGAGAATCAAGATTTAATTAAAGATTTATCGTTCAACTCTTTGCTTGTTCGGCATTTTGTTATAGGGAGATTATTCCTTGTCAATTATCTACTTAAATGAGTGAAGGAAAGGGAGTGGAACTGTGGAAGGAAAAGGGTGGATAAGATTTTTATGAACTCCTTAGTACCTAATTTTTAGCCTGCATGAACCTAACTAAGCTAAACAATATAAAGACAAATATAGGTTAATTAATTAAGTTACACTATATCTTGTCCAGTACGTAGACAAATTTAATTAGGGTTTCCCCTGTCATGCATTTATTTATTTGACAATTTGCCGATGTATAATATATATATATATAATATATATATATATATATTAATAATTCCACGGTGAAGGCCGAAAATAATTATCCTACTAATAAAAAGAATGAAAAACTTGCAATATTGGGATTAAGCTAGCTAATACGCCAAATGTCAGTATTTCAAGGCACTTTAAAGTGTTAATTCTATTAAGAAATTCACGAGGAACGTGACTTAAATTGACGATGATTCTATTTCAACATACGTACAAAAGTGTAACTTGCTTTTTGATGTTATTAATTTTCTTGGAAACTTCTTGGTTGTCTTCATCTCTTCTTTGAACCCTAGCGTGTTTTGTTTCTAACTTTAATTAATTAATTTATTTATTTATTTGGCCTAAGTGTACTATCTTCTGACTATCTAAATCTATTGACTAATCTTTTCTGGGCACATCCAGAAGCCACAAAGAAGATCTACTAGTTTTTATATGTACTCCCTCTGGTTCTTAATATAAGACATTTTGATTTTATCATAAATTTCACGTAGTATGTATTTTTAATTAATGAAAAAACTTTTAAAATATATTTTCTCATTCGTAATGTTTTCTTGATTGTTATGAAATATTTTTAAGATTTTTTTGTCAATTAAAAATACGTACTAAATGAAACCTAGGGTAAACGAACTTCATCCTGCACGTTAAGAAGAATCTATCCAAGGACTTGAATGGTTCAAAGTGTTTCCCTGCAGCCCAAGTCCCACGTGCTAATGAATACTAGATTACAAACTGATTAGATTCTTTCATGGGTAGACAGATAGATTCCAATTAGCCACTGAACATAGTTGCATATGCACGTATGTCTTAACTAGGTTTAGGGTTTAACTAACTTCATCATGCATGTTACAAATATTTGCTTTTAACGGTTTGAACTTCATGAACATTTTTTTCGTTTAAGACTTTTAAAATTTTTTCATTATCAATAGTTGTAAATATTAGTAACAGTATTTACCAAAAAAGTACCAGAAGTTTAAGGAAGCATATTATACTCCCCCGTTCAAAATTATTGTCTATTTTGAGATTTTACTTTTAGTACAAGTTGAACTAAAAATGAAAACTTAAATTAGAAAATAATTATGGGACGGAGGGAGTACATGATATCTTTCCCTTTCCATAAACTCCACAAGTATAACAAATTATATCTTAAGATCAAAATGACGTTTTTTTTTTTTTAATTTAAGTCTTTCCATGCATACCAAGTCTCATATGCATTAGATTATGAATTTTCATCGCTATCAACTCCTGGCAATGTCTAATCTGATTCCCGTTTGTCCAACCAAAGGCTTGTGAAAGCTATACTCCTTTGACTTCCAAAACATAATTGTACGATTGATTAATTATTTAGAGTTAATCTAATCAGCTGCATTATCTTCCATATTATGCCAGCTTAATTTTAAAAAAGTATTCCAAAGTACGTACATACAAGCATTTCCAATATCCCGCAGCCATTAAATTAACATCTTTTGTTCTACTCTCTCGTGAGTAGACAAAATAATGAAACACCAAAAAGCTGAGAAATCGGGAAAAATCGTATCCGGAATTACTTGCTGAAGGTTAATTTAATTTATAGGATAAAATAATTCTTTGTGTAACTGATATTATATATGATGAAAAGAAGCAACAAACTACACCACTAATTCTCTGTTTCATCTTTTTTGGGGAGATGTTTTTGATTAATTCACATTTCCTTGGATGCTATTTCACCGAAGGAAAAAAGAAGTAAGAAATTTAGAAGAAAAAGAATCAGTCTCTATCATCAGCCGTGGTAATAAAAAGGACTAAGAGGGAGAAAGGGCAGACACGGAAAGACATAAACTAAGAAGAATGTCAAAAAAGGAAGATTTGTAGAGATCTTATGGAAAAACATAGGTTAGTGTCCACGTGTCCTGAAAATACGTGAGAAAGGAACAAGAATTATATACTAACTACTACTAAAGATGATGAAAAGTTGAGTGTATATAATTAATTAGCTAATTAAGAATTAATTAAGGTTGGGTTAGCATTCATAAGTAAAATATAAATGTAAATAGGCTCCCCCCTCAAATGACATGTGCTGATGTCTCCCAACTAATGTGTTTGCGTTACATGTTATGTGGTGTTTTTGTAGCCGCCTAAGTGCCTACTTTATTGGCTGCCCTAACCACATTTATTTTGTCTTACTGGTTGACTCCTTCCCTCTCTCTCATTTCACGGGAACCTTCTTTTCATTTATCAATTCTCTCTCTCTTTTTTTTTTTTTTTTAGTGAATAGGAGGGAACTGTTTATTTGCAACTGATGAGAATCGATCGATCTAATGAATTTCCATTGAGCATTTGAAGGTTTTTACTATGTGAGTCTAATTTAGTATGTTATGCACTCAGTATTTAAACTCATTATTTCGACTAATTCATATTCGAGTCGTGTCAGTCCTTTTCATGATACCTTACTTACATAGTCAATTAGTTTTGAGTCTTCAAACTCTAATTTCAGGTTTCATAAAAGGATAAATCAGTTTTTGATCAGTCCGAAATGCGCATGTCGAAGCGCGATCTTGTAAGCTGACTTCTTTTAACTTGTATGTTTGAATTGAATCAAGATGGAGAACTCTTAAACACAAGCTTAATTTTAGGGTTTCACTTGTAATGTGGATCTAGCTTCTTTAATCTAGGCATGATTTAGGGTTCCATGGTAATTAATTAGTAGCAATAAGTAAGAAGAAACAAAATGCTGTATACATATTTTATAGTGGATTGAGAGGAGAGGAGGGGTGTGGTCACTTGAATAATTC